CAATAGCCCGGGTCGTTATACAGAGCTTGAGCACAAGCCTGGCAGGTGCAGCAAATGCCATGCCAGGCGCACGCATGGCGCGCCCACGTGAAAGTCATGCGGCCGCCGCCGCCCCATGGGCTTCTCATCGAGCACTATATAGCTCCGAGAAACGATCGAGCTGCACCAGCCGGTGGGTTAGTAGCCGCATGTATGCACTGCATGAGCCGTCGGCTGGCATGTGAGTCCGGTCCGATCTAGCTATCGCCGTTGAGTGCGCGCCGCGGCCATATAAGCCCGGCAGACTCAGTCTACTGTGAGTCATCACATAATATGGTCTCTTTTCGTTCTCGCTGGAGCCAAATAGGCCATGTAGGCTTCTCACGGGATGCATGTATGATTGTGTGCCAGCCCATGGGCCCAATTTGCTAGCTGATTGTTCGTATCAGCATGAGTAGTTAGTAGGTTGAGCAAGAGTCGACAAGCCAACAATAAATTGCTGTCAGGCCAGTTGCACCAAGCTGGGTGCAATTGCATGGCAGCACACTTGAAACGTGGACGCAATCGGAGCTCTGGAGCCGAAGCCGTCCCGAAGTCTGCTTTCCAGGCGGTCAAGTCGACTCCAGATTGCTCTCACAGTTTCAGCAATACAGAAGACCTTTTGCCTGCCAGAAAACCACCAACGAACGCCGCCGAATCATCCAGGGGGACGCGATAGTGAGCCAACGTTGAAAAAGCAGTCGGCAGTCGGGTTGCATGGCATCTAATGAAGCTTATCGGACTGGCACTTCCTGCTATCAGCGGGTGTGACTCTCAAGTGGAACTTCAGGGCAGAATCAAGACCCTAATCAGTGACGGAACTCTGGAACGAAAACGCGTGCTCTCTCATCGGCCCCGCTGTTTTAAGGTATCGCTCAACCTGGCAGAACATAAAATACCAGCATAAGGATTGCGAATGGAGCTTGCTCCAGCGCAGACAGAAAGGACAAACTCTTTTTTCCAAGCTGATTTGACTATTGAGATTCCAGATACAGCCTTCTGTAGCAAGGTGCTCGATATTACAAGGTGCTCGATATTACAAGGTGCTCGATATTACAGCACTTCTCGTTCGTGCCATAGGAAGTGCTTCCCAAGTGCTTCCCAAACCTCCACCTTTCCTCTCCCGCTTGGTCGTGGAGAATTCGAAAGCACGGTCTGTCTCTCGCCCAGAAACTTGCAGAGTTATCTGGCCAGGTACCGCCCAAAAATCTGCCCGAACTGAACGCCAAAACCCTCATAACACGAGCTCCTTACGAGGTCACCATCTGATCATAAGCGAAGCGAAATTGCCAGGGACCTTAAGAGACCATCATACCAGCGACAGTCTGACAGAAAGACCAGCTTGCTGCAGACCGGTGACTCCAGATTGCTGCTCACTGAACACTGAGAAAGCGGTGCTTTGAAAGTACTAAATTGAGAAAACCCTTTCTGCAGTTGTGTCGAACACTTTTCAGAAGCTCGGGATGTCTCCCCTTATATGTCATCCGGGCCCTTTTGAAGCCACCCGAGGATGCAAACCGTGTTCTTTATTACTGTGTTCTCTGTAACCTTTCGCACAAGCCGAAAGTGTGAGATGAAGACTCACCAATCAAGGCCCTCAAAGAGGCCCTCCCCCTTGATCGCGCTCGTTTTGAAGATGGCCCATTGCCGGTTCTTTATCATGTGCAAACTGAGCCCCTCCGACACCGCTGCGTCGTCCAGAGCCCCCGGCAAGTCCTGCTTGTTTGCGTACACTAAGATGACCGCATCTTTCAACTCTTCTTCCTGCAGCCAGAGTTTTGAGTTTATGTGTCGTGAGACGTTATACAACCTGGCTCTTGTGTCCATATTCAAGCGACTTCTTCTTGGACTCTTTTAGCAACATTTCTGAGGCAAAGAACGGCCAGTTTGTGTGCTCGTAGATGTGTTCGAGACATAGGTGGCAGACCAAACATTGGAAACGGCGTCAAGTTCAGCGTTCAGAATCGTGACTCATCAACAAGCTTTTTGCGGGCAACTAAGCTGGTCACAGGCGGGGGTTTCGTTGATGCATGATTCTGTCTTCCTTCACCGGTCACAAGATGGTCACGACTTTTGGTGAACTGAGAATAGGGCGTGGAACACCCACCCATAAGATCAATCATTGGAGTAGAAAGGCTTTCAAGATTCTGTCCAGGGGCTCAATCAGGAAGAATATAGGAGAGGACAAGGAAGCCTGACGCCGCCACAAATGGTAGACCCTCAGTTGCTGCCTCACCTGCAATATTGCATGAAACTCTTCTTTTGCTATTGACATCCGGTCCGTGTCGCTCGAGTCAACAACGTAAATGACGGCCTGGGTGTTGGGGAAGTAGCACCGCCAGTAGGGTCTGCATCAAAACACAACCCGAGCAGATGTTGGTCATCAGTTCTGAGGCTATGCGCAACAGGGCGCGCATTTGGATTCAGCAAGGACTGTGGACTTCACACATCATCTTTGTTAAAGCCAAACTGTCCCTCAGCTTCAAATTGGGGGCAAATCCCCTGCCAAAACGGAAGTCAAAGTTTCTCTGGCACAGCACTCTGATCCGCGAAGAAGATTCAAAACTATTCAAAGCATATGGGACTTCAAGTACCAAGGGCAACACAACCAGTGGTGAAAAGCATCTGATTGCTAGTGGTGCATAGAGTGATCGGCTTTTTGAGGAAAACCCTAGAATGTTTGGCTGGGCTCACCTTATACTCGTCTGTCCGCCTAGATCCCAAACTTGGAATTTGATGTTTTTATAGGCCACAGTTTCTACGTTGAACCCAATTGCTGCACAAAACAGATGATAAATGTTGAGATATTGATTGCCGATGACCTGAGCATCAGGAACAAGGAAGGATACTGAAGGGTGTTTTATTAAGGCCGCATCAAATCTCCAGCTTCATTGCTGACTCCCATTCGGCTTGGATCAATGATCAATTGCTTGGATCAATGATCAATTGCTTGCATCTCCATCCAGAAGTTTCTCATCAAAGTACATGGGTGGCTAAAGAACAGAGAACTCAATATAATGACTTACTGGGGATTGTGCTCACAACTTCGCCAACTTGCAGCCGATACAAGATTGTCGTCTTGCCCGCATTATCAAGCCCCAGCACAAGGATGCGCGCTTCCCTGTCCCCAAACAAGTTTGCAAAGAGCTTTGTGAACAGGATCCCCATCCCACTGCCCCTGGATTCCAACTGACAGCTTCAGAAACAAAAATGGAGCTGCGGCAGGAGGAGAAGAAATTTGCCGCTTGATTGGGTCACCAAGCTTCTCCAACTTCACCAGCTTGCAGAGAAAAGGCCCACACCCGGAACAAATGATATAAGTAGGTCTGTTTATCTCAGCTGAAGATGCTAAGAGCCACAAACAGGAACAGCCGAATGTGCCAGTGAGCTACACACGATCTCTGGGGCCGTTCAAGTTTTAGGGGCGCCTTTCTCCACCTGTGCTCATGCAGCAGACTCGTGATTTCGGGTCTCGTCGTTTGTCATACGAACCGAATGGGTCTGAAGCCGAGGTTAGCATCGAATCATCTCGAAGTACCTAAGAGTCCCGAGATCTTCCACTGAGTGTTAACGACGACGACCGACTATGTGTCAGCTTTCACTAACCCGAAAACTTAACCCTGCTGTCACAGTACCTGAAACCAACTTTCCTTCAAAGCAGGCATGATGCACCAAAATACAATTTACGACGTACGACGTGCAAAGAGAGGATGGAAAAGTCGAGAATGCAATTCCCATCTCGTTTTTCCCAGACAATTTAAGGCAGCAGCTTCCATGCCGGTGGAGTGTTCCTGCGCTCCAGAGCGCCAGTACAGTTCAGCTCAGCCATCTCAGTCTTAACGATGAGCGCCTATGCAGGGCTGTGACAATCTGCAGCAAACATGCCCCCTTCTTCCTCCTTCTTGGCGTCAGCGCCAGCAATTGGGGGCACGTTCCGGAAGACCAACGGTTCATCTTCGTCAGGTAGGCTCTCCCGTAGCTTTTGTGGTCTCTCTTGACATGCTGCTTCTGCGAACGTTGGAGGGATGCATTTTAGGGTTCCGTGAAAATTAGGGTTCCAAGCACTCAAATCTCACTTTGAATGCGTTTGGCCCTTCTCCCGCAAGCATGATGCCCCTAAACTGCCGAGAGAGTTGATGCCGTGTTTCCCTCGGTTTCTGCAATTCCAGCTGCATCCTGCGCGCTCGCTTCCATGCTGAGACACTGACTAAAACGAGCAATCTTGCCTCATCTGGCCCCAGTCAATAGAACCGCCCTACAACAAAAGAAGGAGCTTACACTTGTCCAATCCTTTTGCATTCCTACCGGTAAGCTTGTTCTGCTAAAGATCGGAGTGGGGACAGGGAGACAGGAGTCATGGAGCCAGGTGTAGTGAGTCAGTAAACCAGCAACTTAGACCCGAGGTTTGCCAATACCAAATCGCCTGCTTCTCTTCCCCAGCTTCCCTTGCTGAGCTGGCTCCGCCCCCCTTGGCAAGCAATTCAAAAAGGCGGAGCAATGTGGAGGACACGGCAGCTATAGACGCGCTCTTTGACGATGGGCCCAAGCAGAGGAGTGAGGGGCTGTCTACAGAGTGTGCTATTTGCAGAAAAAGCAGTGTCATAGACGACCTTTCTTTGTCATTGATTCATCAGAATGTGTGTTCATGCCCCGTTACAAGGTGTCTCAAAAGTTGGGTCATTCAGCAATTCTTGCTGGAGCTCAAGTACCATCCAGGTTCCTATTCAACTCTGCTGTTCTTGCGCCGCACTCATACCGCAAATCTGGTCGGAAAGAGCTTGCTGATTGCAATGGTTGTATAAGTCTGGCCCCCACTTATGCTTGGTCAACCGATCAGCCTTCCCTAACGGGGGTCTGGTCACCTTGTAGGTGGCAATGCCCCAGAGAAAGGCTCAAAAGGGAAGGGTCGACAGAGCGTACACCTGAGCACAACCGACGCTTTGAAGACAGGTGCGAAGCTTACAATACTCTCTATAATCCCTTTACTCATTTTCATCGTCTCAGCTTTTTGGGGGCTTGGGGCAACACTGAGCGCAAGATCTCACGCAGAGGCCGTTGCTATTAGCGTTTGCTTAGGTGTCCTCGTTGGAACTGGTAAGAAGATTCACAAGAGGCTCCTTGAAAGTCCTACTGAATGCAAGAAATCCGGATCACCACCGTTTCAGCTAAGCAATAATAGAGCCATTTGGCACCACTTGTTGAGTCCCAGCTTATCATCCGCGATGCACTTTGGCAGACTTGACTGACCATGCTAATCATACTTAGACTCTCTGCTTCCAGATTCCCTTGAAGTTTACCGAACTCGCCCCACTCTTCATCTCACAATCTCCATTCTCTGGTACCTTTTGTACTTGAATCATATTAAACTTACACCGATATTTCCCTGCAGACCCAATCGACAACCCCCCAAAGAAGAGCGTGCTCAAAAGCGCCAGCCCTGCCCTAGCCCTCCTCTCTTCCCAACACAGTGTTTCTCTCAACGCACAAAAAGACGATGCTTCCACCTCGAGGCCTTCGTCTAGCTATGGCATCAGATCTCAGTCATCGGCAGACCTTTTGAACTCCGACTCTGAGCCGTTCGGAAAGGAGGGCGGCAAGAGGGACAAACCGAGGGTGACCTTTGCGGAACCTGTGAGGGATAGCTGGGAGAAAGACGAGCTAAAAGCGCACGGAGAAGTGGGGCCGTCCGATAGGAGCGGTGGTTCGGGCGTTACAAATCCGCAACATACAGGAAGGGAGGGGCTTGCAAAGCCGAGCGTTTTTGGATCTTTGGAGGGTGACTCGCTCGATTTTTTGGGACTTGGATCGAGTGCCGCGGCGCCCAAAACGGGGCGAAGAGGCAGGCCGCCGGTGTCTGATGTAGGCACAACCGGCCAACTTGACTTTGGCGGCGCAACCACGTACGCTGCTCCGTTGCTTCAGAGCTCTCAACAAAAGAGCTTGAAAGAACACCCAGAAAAACCAACGGATAGGGCTTTGCCAAAGGAGGAGACGACTGACTGGGGCGATGCAGACGACTTGCTGGCGATGCTGCCGGACGGCTCGGGGGCCCCATCAAAGAAGTCGAGTTCAGAGAGTCCGCCACGTGGCACCGTTCAATTGGCTTCTCAGCAGCCTCGCAAACTGGTCTCTGCATTTGAGGAGAGAGCGGGCGTTTCCGATTCTGAGCCAACCGTCGCCCCGCTTCCGGAGGTCTCGGGATTGGGTGACAGTTTGCCGGCAGCGAAGGAAACTGCCGCTCCTGATTTGGGAGGATACACCCCTTCGTTTCTGAACAACACGGGGAGAACTAGAAGGGCGGGCGTTGGTCTGGGGAGGAGACCGCCGAGCCCCCTCGTTTCGGACACGAGCGTTTGGACGGAGTCGGAAGCTCAGAGGCGTTCGATGGGCGGCTTTCGGACGGAGTCGGACGCTCAGGGCCGTTCGAGGAATAGCGGTTTGAATGGTACGGACGCCCTGAAGCGTCCGATGAGTGCGGACCAGGCTCGGAGTGGTCCGCAACTAGGAAGCGCGCTGGGCGGCCGTCCGGCGACTGCTGACGTGTTCCGAGACGCTAGAGTTCCGCCCTCGCTGGACAGCAGGAACGGAGTGCCTGCTTCGGGTTATTCTCCGAAAGCAGATACGCAAAGAGCGGCTGGTTTCGCAGGTACAAGCAGGGGCGCGGGGGCTGCCAAGACGAGTCGGCTCGTGAATGAAGCTACAGAAGAAGAGCCGTTTCTCCGGCCGGCAGAGACGTCGGGACGGCGGAATGACAGGGCCGAAGAGGAGTTCGTGATGAGACCGGGCTCGGGGGGATCCCTCCGGGGCAGGGACAGGGAAGGTGACGCAGTGGAGCAGGTGAGCTTGTTCTGTTGGAGCCGTCAACGCAATGGAACAAAAAGAGGGAGTTCCGTGAGGAACTCTGAGATGTTTAAAGAAGCCCATGCCTTTCGACATGTTCCTCGGCAAGAGTCTTACCGAAGCCTCAGGCGCGTGCAATACCTCCTGCACTCTCCAGTGACGGAAGTTGTTCCTCGTCTTTCGTAAGTGATTGCATGGCAGAAGCAGTGACTGGCTCGATGTCGATGGCGAGTACGTGCACTTACTTGTCAAGCAGACACATCCAAAGGTTTACATGGTAGTCAATTTCTGGCTCTTTCATGCTCTCGCTTTTGTACCTGGGTCGACGACCAACGAAAGGAAGGAAAGAGCAGAAAACAGAAGGGAGAAGATCGCTAAAAGTGTGCTGCGTGCGTAGTGGAACGAAAAGAGATATAAAAGGGAACTGAACAATGCAAACAAGTACTGGGTTTGCACTTGCAGGCAGAACACGCGCGCGCCCTGGCCGCGCTCAGGGAGGAGATGGCCGCGAGCGCTGCGAAGGCCGCTCGCGAGCGGGAGCTGCTGGTCTCACTGCACCAGCAAGAGCTGGCCGCACGCGACCGACAAGCGGAGGAAGAGGTTCGTCTTGCGGCCTGTTGAATCGGTTTGACTTTACTTGCTTGTTCCTCTGGTTCCATCTCTTCTTTCTCTTCTCTTTTGAGATTTGACAGCTGCCGTCCGGAACCAGCCTACGGAGCAAGAGGTTCGTCCAGTACTAATCTACACGATTTAGGTCCTGTCTTTGCTTGTTCTTGTGAAGCCTTCTGTTTTTTACTTTCTAAGGCTGCTTAAACCTTCAGGTGCCGCCATCGATCAGCAACTGGAGCAAGATGTCTCTTTGGCCTTTCGCGAGAATTTCCGAACTTTCTTTTGCACAGTCTGTTCTTGATGTGTATCTTGGCTCTCTTCACCTGGCGTCTTGCTTCTTTTACGGAATACACTCACTTGATCAATGTTGCTAGCTTTCGTGCAGTGTTAAGCCTCGAGCAGACTCTGTTCCCCTAACTCTATAAAGCTCTCCGCTGGGTGCTTAAAAAGCATATCGTCTCGAGGACCATGTCTACGCTTTGAAATGACCAAGCGTAAAACGACCTTCTTTTTGCCTCTGTGATAGAGGGCCTTTTCCTCGGAGCACCAGAAGAGCCTGGACGTGCTCCAGAAGCTGGTCGCCCAAGTGGAGTCCTGGACTGCGGAAGTCCAGCACATGAGCGAGGCGACCCGGTCCGATAAGGAGAAGATGGTCGCAGGTGAGAAGCGGCTTCCGTGTCCTGCAAAGAACGCTTTCTAACCTTTGGCCGATCGCCGGGAAAGTGGTATCGAAGGGCGTCAGGGGTGCCGCCTTCGTGTTTGAATTGGGAGCTTACCCGGGTTGTGTACGGTTAACACCGTGTGCTGGTTTCGTCTGTTTCCGCTCTTGGGCTTTGCACCGCCATCCCTCCTCTTGTTCCCGAAAACATGAAGAAATTAATTTGAAAACCAGAATAAACACTGGGCTTTAGCCCAGTGTTTACCGGAAGACGACCTCATGCGAAACGTGATCCACGGATGTCAGAAGCCAACCGACCAAGCTCGATTCATCCGGTCAAGGAGATTGAATCAATCTGTATGTCTCTAAGGGCAGTGATGTCAGAAACCGACCGCAGAATTCTGCGGGAAGTGGCTGCTTTTTAGCGATCGGTCCAAGAATTGTCACTTCCAGCGCCTCGTGATACACACTGCTTTACACAGAACCGGTCATTTCTCGAATCGTGCAGAGAGAGCGGAGGCCGTCCGGAGCGGCGAGGCCGGCCTGGCCGCGCGCGAGACCGCGCTCAGTGCGCGCGAGCAGCAGACCCAGAGCGCGACGCAGCGGCTAGATTTGCTCATGGCGACGCTAGACGAGAGCGTGAAGGCGCTGCATAGCGGGCAAGCGGAGGAGAGGGCGCGGCTAGAGAAAGAGCATGCGAGACTGCAGGTAAAACCCGCAAATTGTCGTTCCCCAATCTCCGTCTTCCCTTGTTACTGGTTTAGAATGTGGTTATCTGTAATCATAGCTGGAATGCGGCTCTTGCCTTACGTGTATGATTTGATTCTTTTGCGTGCTTGTTCCAGGGTGCGCCGTTGTCGAGGATCGGTTGCAGCTTTCAGGGGTCCTGCAGTTGGAAAGATCGAACAGAAACTCCGTCCTTTTGAGGAAGTTATGTTCCTAGCTTTTTATAAGCTCAGGATAAGCGAATGGAAATGCGATAACTAGGACGCATACGATATGGCCTCAGAGCCTGCCAGGGCCCAACCGCAGCTTATGTTATGGATCCGCTCCGTGCGCAAAACTCTTACTCATTCTGTCCGTCGGCGTGCAGTCCCTCCAGGAGTCCGTTCTGGCGGAACGTTCCGCCGCTCAGGCGGATCTTGCGGCAGCGCGCGAGCGGCTGGAGGAGATGCGGGACGCGCGGGTGCGCGAGCGGGAGCAGTTTCTAGCGGAATGCGAAGCGGAACGCAAGGAACTAGCAGCGGAACGGAAAGCGCTGGGCGACGCCAAGGAGCAGGTGTGCCTGGCGGAAGCGGAACTAGACGTGCGGATCGCGCAGCACGAGGCGAAAGTAAAGGTGAGGGGTTTCAGCGATCCAGGGAGGGTCGTAACACTGAGGGCCCTAGTATTACTGTGCGTTTGATATACTGAGGATCTTGAAAGGTTGCGGGACTTTCATCAAGAATCATGTTCTCGGACTTGGCGAGAATATCACATGTCAAGATCAAAGGGCGAAGTTGAAGTGAATCTAGAGCAGTGGCGCGTGGTGAACCAGGTTTTGCTTGGTTTAGTCTGTTCCTTTTACAGATATTCTTTGAGAGCGCAGGTCAAGAAGGTAATCACAAACATCGGTGCATCTCGTAGCAAAGTCTTTTTCTCTTCTCTCAGAGTGAGACGGAGGCGCTCGAGCGCGAGCGCCTGGACGTCGAGAAAGTGCGGGAGTGCGCGCTCGAGGAGGCGCACGCGATTCAGCGCGAGCGGGCCGACCTCGAAGAAGAGAAGGCGGCCCTGGCTGCGGAGGTGGATAGCGTACAGGAAACGGCGCGGCACGCGCAGGTGGGGGCAGCAGAAGTTCCTGAAACTCCGAAGCTCAAGGATCCAAAATCCCTGAAGTTTTGAGAGCTCACCAGGGTTTCCAAGTTTACGATCCCCTTATGTGCGTGCAGCGCTTCTGAAAAGCCCAAGAATCTCACCGATGTTTGCAACGCGGAGATCCCCTTCTCGCGTGCATTGGAAGTCAGACCCCGACACCTGACGTGGGCAGCTTTTTGGACCTCTGCAGAATGCCCTGCTTTGCGCGTACTCAGCTAAACTGTGTGGTCATCATTGATATTTTTACAAGCGAGGATTTACAACAGGCATAAGTCTGGAAAGCCCCCAGATGATCTCCTCGTACAGGGAGCTAGACAGAGCATGCAGAACCCGGTGCACAATGTCCGAAATTCACGGACCGAACTGCTCGAAGCTCGCACAATACGATTCTGATGTACCGAAATACTGGAGTACAAGTAGCACAATCACGAAAGGATGAAACGCAAATCCTGAACCCCCAACCGTGCGTTACGCAGGCCCAATTCGTGAGGCGGCCGCCATTCGCGACGAGGCCGCGCTGCTGCAAAACATAAAGCACACGCGGTACATAATCGACAACCAAGACAATCACGTACAAGCAGCAAAAGAAGGAAAGCAAGAAACGCAAACCTGAGCCCATCACTCTTGCGTTACGCAGGCCCAGTTCGAGGAGGCGGCCGCTATTCGCAACGAGGCCGCGCTGCTGCACCGCGACGCAGAGGCGCTGCACCAGGACCGCGTCGAGCGCGACGCGCGCTGGGAGGCGGAACGCCTAGAGGTAAACCTGTTGAGCCTTCGTCGTGGTCTGGTCTCAAGAGCTTTTTGGGGGGCCTTTCTCGGAGGACACGGAGGTTTGTCCTGTCCATTCTACCGGCGGGCTTTAGATTGACCAATTTTGATGCGTTTGGAACGTTTGCTTTGGCGCGCCCTTCTTGATCCTAACACATTTCGAGCGCTCGAGGAGATGAATGACACCCGCTGGAGTGCGGCGCGGATCGGAGTTGCCGCTAGCACAGTCCCTTTGCGAGGGGCCATGCTGAAGCAGGGCAATGATGGTTGTACGTTCGTGTTTTGGGGTTTTTCGCGCCAACACAGATGGTTGCGGAACGAAGGACTCAGCCTAGTTGTTTTCCAAAGCATTGGAGCAGCCCGGTGGCGCTAGTGACTTATACACCACAAGAGTTGCACAATTTCAAATGGCTCATTTTCCGATGCCTCAATCCCCACTCAACGAGAGCAGGAGTGCCACCCTCTGTGTCCAGATTGAAAAAGCGCGCGAGAGCTTGCTGGCTCTACGGCGGTCTCTCGACGAGGAGCGGTATCAGATCGCGCAGGAGCGGCGCAGTGCGGGCGACGAGAAGCTGGAGGCGGTGCGCATGGCGGAGTCCGCGCGGCTGCTCATGCAGAAGGCGGGCGGAACGGGGACGGAATCGGGGGAGCGGAAGGAGAAGTGAGCACCACTATCGCTTCTCTTTCTAGGGTTCAAATCTCGATCAGATTCGTGAACAAGGGTGACTCTAGGATTCATAATCTGATCAAACTCGTGAACAAGAGCGAGAGGAACTCATCGAGCGAGAGAGCAAGATCTAAGGGGTTTACTCAAACTTGCGTCGTTGTGGTTTAATACCGTCCTATAAAGGCGAATATTCAATTGCTGACGCGATCCATAGATTGCCTCCTGGAGATCTGACGTTACTCCGCCTTGGTCACGTGCAGCCTTCCGGCGGAACGCCCTTCCGCCGCCACCAAGAAGAAGAAAAAGTACGCCAACCTAGTTCGGGCGCTCGTGGGCGGCAGCGGCACGCTCGACGACGTCCTCGCCGCGCGCCTGGGCGCGGCCGCGGGGGATCCCTAGCAAAGAGAGCGCGAGCAGGGGCGCGCGTACCTCCAGAGCCAGGCCGACTTCCTCGCCCAGGCGGAGGCGCGCGCGCGCGTGCCTGTGCACGCGCGCTTTGGGCGCGCGCGCTACTGCAACCTGGACGTTATTGAGGAGTTGCCGCGGTTTCGAAAAGGGTTTGAAGGGTTAGCCGAAACAACCGGGCGGGATCGGATACCCCAGTGGGAAAACGCGGGGACGAAAGCGGGGTTTGGAAGTCGGGGGGTGCAAACCAGGGGGGAAAGCGAAGTGGTTAAGCGGAGCGTCGACGAGCCGCTTCGGTTTCCTGAGCCCTATGGGGAAGGCGAGGGGCAGTCGGGTGGGTCTCGACATGTGGCTGGGAAGAACGCGTCAGAGGTGGATTGGGCGGAAGATGAAAGCGCCCGGGGTCGTGCTTGATGGGTGATAGTTGGCTTACATACGGGCAACGGGACACGCGACTAACCGGCGGCAGAAACCTAGTATTTCAGGTCAACATTCTAAAATTTACGGGCGTACTGACAGGAGAGATCGAGTAATTCCAGTAAAGCCTTCCTATTGGATACTGATCGTACTTCCAATGGCTTGGGCCAATAAGCAGCATTCAATGGTCTTGAAACGCGCAGAGTTTTCTCAACGTATGCTTGTTTATCTGCAACCTGCAAATAAGGCCGACAAACCCAATGTAATTCTACGTACTGAGCAACTCGCCGTCGATCGATGCATAAGCGTTGTTAGCTGTACGGCGCTGTAGACGGAAGGTCGCAATATGGGACTCAATAAAGCATCTAGCTCTCTTCATTTTTGATTGGCGACAGTGAATTCAAGCATCAAACTGCCTGCAGCACGATCAGCATGCTAGCTTCTATCGTGGAGAAGCACATTGGCTCACCCCTGTCCAAACCTGGTTCAGCGTACGTACAATATTCTGCACAACAGTGTTCTGAAGCTCACCGTAATTTCAGTGATTGCACGCGGGAGCAATAACAGCGATCGCATGGCCATCGGGGAAGCAGAAAGCAAGGCAGCTAAAGCTCGCCTGATCTGGCACGGGTCGCAACTAATCAGACCTTCGATAGTCCCGCAATGCTGAGCTGATTGTGAGTCATCCTCGGTACTCAGCTAGCTACAACAGCCGTACGCCGTGTTGCCACGTCACCCATCGTCAAGCTTCCATCTCGCAACCCGCGGGCTTGGCCCAAACGGCCGGGCTAGTCTTGATCGGGTGTCGAGCTGCCTTTGGAATTAAGCAGCACTGTGATCGATTGGCCGAGCTGTCGACACCCGCGTTCGAAGCGTCTGGTTTGCCATCGCCGTTTTGTAGTCTTCTGGCTCGACTTGAAAAGGCCTTGTCGAAACAGCTTCCTGAGAGGGACTGCTCCTCCTCCTCCCCTGGTATTTTAAGGCTGCCTCATTGTGCAAGGTAGACGCAGATCAATTCAGTTTCCAGCACTAAATCAGCATTTTTGCTCCCTCCGATTCGCCGCTCCGTTCATAAGCTAGGCTGCGTTCCTATTCCTGAGCGGGACCTTTCGATTTTTCGAGGCGGCAAACGGAGCATGCGCCGTCAGTAAAAGGGAAAGGCGGCAAGCAGATCGAAAAGGCACGTTTCCAACGCCCATCAAGCATTTGAACGGAGCTACAGCCATGACTTCGTGTCCCTTACGTCCCGAGCGCATCGAGAACCTGTCGCCGGACGAGCTGTCTGAGTGCAAGCGGGAAGCCAAGATGGGTTTGCAGCTGCATGCACACTATCTGTCGGGTGAGCCGCAGGTTCCCGCTGCATGCGAGTGTTGAATTCAAAGATGTGACCATAACTTGTTTGTCCGCCTCCAACCCCGTGAATTCTGATGCGATTTGGTTTCTGCCTGCTTGCTGTCTTTGATGTGTGCAAGTCGAAGGCACGTACTTCTTTTCTTCCAGCTTGTTTGCTCTTCTCTTAAGAAGTGACGCGTTAAGTGCACCAGCCGCAAGATGAAATTGAGAACACACAGAGAAAAGTTGGGTAGACCCCTCCTCTCATCGCCTGCGTTAAAGTGCGCTCTCGAACCCGGAACGCGCTAGAGTAGAAATTCATAAAAGGGTCCCTCGCGTCAGAGAACGTATAATTGAACGGCAGTCATGCTTTTTGCAGCGTCCTCCCAGGCTTTGTTTTCCCAGGGATCAGAAACGAAGCTGATTAGGCAGTATTCGAAACAATTTTCCAAATTAATACCAAAAGAAGCTTCATTCCTGGAACTGCGCGTGTTCATTCGCAGTGTCCTTCCCGACATTAGACTTTCACCGCTGCGGAATGAAGGCGAACCAGAAAGCATTGAACGCTTCCTCCATATAGAAGCAAAAGCCCCTTGACGTCGGCACTTCTCAATCCGCAGCATCCTCCCGGACCGTGCTCACATTCCTGGCGGCCAACCCCGAGATCAAAGTGGACGTCGTCGAGAAGGACTTCACCAAAGGCGAGCTGCGGTGAGCGCGTATATACGCACGGCGCACTTGAGTGTCAAACCCCATGTCAACATAATCTTCGTGCTGAATCTGTAGCTTACTTGAATTGGATTTCAAACCTGCAAACTTTTACTGGCTCGGCTTCTGATGTTGTGATTGAGCAGTTGGCTGTAGCTTCACTTCGAGCTGTGCTACTGTAGTTCAAACAGTCTGACAGACCGCCACATTTTCCATCGCCCATAGCCGCCCGAGGTCGCTTCTTGCTCTGTGTTTTTGATCTCAAGCCACGTGTTCTGCAGGGACAGAATATAAGAGCGCCACGTAGCAATGCATTCAGTGCTGCGTGCCAGGGTTTCGAGGACGCACGACCATTTTGCGGCACAGAAAACGTAAGGTCGAACGATCCCATATGGTAATCGTGTGATAAAGGCGCAGAAAAATATTGATTTCCCTCTTCTTGCAGCACCAAAGAATACCGTGAGATCAACCCGATGGGCCGCCTGCCGTTCCTGATCGACGGTCCGGAGCACTTCCGGCTGTGGGGGGCGCTCCCGATCTGCCTCTACCTCGAGGAGAAGTTCGGCCCGGCGGAGCTCTCAGGTGGGCGTTAGGGTTTCAAATATGAAGGCCTATGCTCTAGAAGTTGAGTTTAGGTTGTTTTATCAGCTGTCAGGGCTGAGAATTTGTGAGGTCGTTGTGTCAAAGTTTCTCGTCCCAAACAGATAGCATTATAGAGGTTCCGCCTCCGGTCGGGAAGCGGTGGATCTGAGCGGACATTGGCCGGAATGTCCCCTGTCAAGGCTGGCTCGCAAGCTAAGCACTTGCCTTTGTATTCGAAGCGGTCTCTGAAAAAAGCAGCTTGTAACGAATGCTAAAGGTCTGCATTCAAAATTGTGGTCCGTAAGCCAAGGGGGTCTCGTTTTAACGTGGCTTTCACTTCAACTTCCCTATATTTCTTCATGTCTGCGCTTGATACAGCGGGGCAATTGTTTGTTCTACAATAACCACGAGCCCGAATGAGATTTGGACCACCTTGGGAGAAGTATCTCAATGTCTCGCTCCCTCTAGAAAGCCGGTGATTCCGGTGCCGTTCCGTTGCAGCGCCGCTCATTCCGGTCGCGCTCAAGCCCAAGGCGAAGGTCCACGAGTGGAGTAACTGGTTCTACCACACAATCGGTCCGAAGGTGAGCGTCAGCCGCTGACGTCAGGCGTACCCTCCCAAAGAAGCGTCAGCCGCTGACGTCAGCCGTTCTCTCCTCGCCCGGAATCCGTCGCACCGTCCAGCCGCACTCGTCTCGCACGCATGGCAGACGTCAGCGGCTTTGTAATCTATTCTTGCATGTCGTCATCGGTCGATGTTTTCGTCTCTAGTGTTATCTTTGAGCGTCGAAAGCAGGATACCATTTCGCTCAGCCATTGAGAGAATGTAGAGATGTGGTGTCTCCTGTCGGACTGGTAATCTCTGCTCCGGCGCTCTTCGGGCGCCGCAAATGAATGTCTTCCCCTACGGACGCAGGTTGGGGCGTACGTGGACCGCGTCTTCATCAAACCCACGGTCAATGGCGAGCCTAAGGTCAGGGCCCATACGGAAACATCTCATGTATGCAGATTAGAGGGAGGTTCGACCGTTGTCAGGTTTTAGACTTAACCGAGTCGTCGGAGATGTTTCAAGCCATGCTTCTAACCCTTACTTCTTGCAGTTTTCTGAGAACGAACTCGCGCAAGAATCACGGATTCTGCGTTCCTGCTTGTGCTGCGGTACTGACGCCGATCTTTTCAAGCGGAACTGACATTTCTCTAGTCAGAAATGGAAATGTTCCGCGCCCCAACGGATCCAAAAAGACATGTCCTCAAGTTTAATCACGGGATCCCGAACCCCAACCTTCGCAACCAGGTTTTAGATTCTAAAAGCAAAGTGGTCTATCGCGCAGAATGAAGACGAAGAGCTGGGGGAGCAAAACCGGGGCGTCGACGATGCAATGTCCGAGCTAGAGGCGAGCTTCCCTTTGGGCTCCATATTTAGATGAAGGGAAATCATACTCGGATCAGAACCCCATTACTTGGGACCAGGTACTTACCTTCTTTAGCGATCGCACTTCGAAATCAAATAATGTCTCCGCGCAGCCTGAAGACAAGGAGCTGGAGGAGCTGGCCCGGGGTGTAAACGAAGCAATCGCCGAGCTGGAGGCGTGCTTCCCGGACGGCCAGAAGTGGCTGGTGCCCGCCGTCCCGGGCGTGGACCAGGAGGTTGGCTCCCTCGCGGACGTCCGCTGCGCCCAGAAGCTGGTCATGCTGCGTCCGACGCCGTACGACATCGAGGGCGCGGAGTTCCAGGTGTGCACTGTTCCGCCTCGAGTGTCCGTCTCCGTGCGTTTTCACGAAGGATTCCGTCGGCTTCTTTCACTGCGCGGACGTCCGTTCCGCACAGGAGCTGGTCATATCGCTGCGCCCGACGCCGTACGACATCGAGGGCGCGGAGTTCCAGGTGTGCACTGTTCCGCCTCGAGTGTCCGTTTCCGTTCTGTTTCACGAAAGATTCCGTCGGGTTCTTTCACCGCGCGGACGTCCGTTCCGCACAGAACCATGTCGCTTCGTCCGACGCCGTACGACATCAAGGGGGCGGAATTCCAGGTGTGCACAATTCGTCGAGCGTCCGTTTCCATTGCTTTCAGTGAAGGATTCCGTTCACTGCGGACGTCCGCTGCGCGCAGAAGCTGGTCATATCGCTGCGTTCGTCGCCGTACGTCATCGAGGGGGCGACATTTCTGGTGTGCATCACGATTTTCCTGCTTGATTCTTCAAACTCGAGTGGGAGTTTCCGTTCCGTCTGTGTAACAGGGAATCCGTCCGGCATCCCGTCTGTTCCCAAAAGCTGCGCCGACCTCTCCGGTCTGCTTCCGCCTACCAGGTCGAATGTCCGTTTGCGTTTTTCATTGAACGGGTTCCGTCGGCTTTTTGTATTGCGCGGAAGCCGAGCCTCAAAGCGTACGAATTTCCGGCACATCGCGACTTTAAGGAGACCCGGGAAACCAGGTCAAAGCATCGCTGCTCCCGTAGTGGTGACAGCGACTCCCTCCCCCTTTCTAGTTCCTCTTCTCCTCGGCAGTGGATGCGTGAGTTCCTCCGTTCAAGTTGCGCCTTATTGTTCGGCACCAGAACGTTGGGAACCTTCAATGGAGGTTTCGAAGTGACGCTGAAAGGTATTCGTAAGGAGGCCAGTGACTGATCTCCAACTGGTGCTTTGAAACACCAAGGGGTGATGCGCACTTCTGAGGCCTGTCCTGTCAACCGCTCCGTCTTCGACCAGATTCAACCGAAGGTCTCCCTCAGTCCGCTGATCTCAGATCGCACGCCAAGTTCTTGGATGCGATTGCAATTGACGCGGTGTCGGGATGTAGGGGGGCGAAAACTGAAGCGAATCTTCTTGTGTTGTCTTTCTGCGTCTCGCTAATCTGATATCAGATTGTCTCTGAATCGTTTGATCGCTTGTCCCGTCTTCTGATGATGTACCACTGCCGTTCCGCCTTCCATCTTACACACGTGACTTTCTTACACTGCTGGAGCTCCCAAATCAAATCCATCTGAAACCTTCTCGCATCGCAAAGAACTGTTTCTGGTTTGTTACCCTGATTCTTTCCGCACCCGTAATCAAACCAGTTGTCCGCTTCGCTGGCAGTAGAGTGTCAAAGTATGTTCCACCATCCAAGTCACTCCATCAGCATTGAGCAAATCGAGTTGATTGAAGGTACAAACAGTCTCACTTTTCGCATTTTTACCATCCCTCTCCCATTCCGTTCCCGTTCCGTTTCGCAGGAGAAGTACCCCAAGGTGTTCCGCTGGCTGGAGCGCATCCAGGCGGACCCGGCCTTCCAGCGCGCCAACGAGAAGTGGACCGCGTTCCTGGAGCCGCTCGGCTTCCTCGACCCCGCGCGCAAGAAAGCGGGGGCGTGAAGACCGGACATCGGAATCACCACGGAAATTAGGCCCAGAAATGTACATATGCAATAGTTGGCTCACAAGTGCAGTACACTTAAAGTCTAGCCGTTAGAATGTGGCGGACCATACCACGTCGAGTTAAGGCTGAGAGAGCCAAAAAAGATGCGAAAACGAATGGGTAAGAGCTTCATACCCAGACTAAACATGTAGCCGGGCTGCACCTCACGAAATAACAGGGGTGATTGAAAAGATTGGGCCTCAAGAAGCACTAAACGGGTGGACTTGGAAGTCAAGGGTCCAGATAAAGAAGACGACACTAAAATGAGTAGTGTTTAAGGTCCTACTGTACCTCATGTGCAAACGACGAGTTTGCGTGCCGATGCCCTCAGGTTTCGACATCTTTTCGAGACGGCGTGACGTGGTCAATGGCGATAGGGCTCTGTAGATTGTCGAGAGTTCAATATGTTTTCAGTACACCGAGTGACTCAAACAGGGCGTCCGTTGTTTCGCGTGGCGTGGTGTCGGAAAATGTATGGCTCTTGCATCGGACATGCACACATGAGGGCGTACGTCACCAACATGATTGAGCAGTAATCAACATGAACACGATTGCTAACCACCTCAATTTTACTACAAGCCTCTGCGCGCACCTCGCACTCTCCTGGAATTCGGGAAGTCCATCTAATTAGTCGCGCTTGATCAGCTGACAGTACGGTATGCACTGCCAGCTTTGAATCGTCAAAATCACGTGGTGAAGTGCTCTCGAGCAACCAGCGGTAAGTAAGCGGCTCAGCTCCGTGACTGGCGCCCATTCAGGGTGAATCTAAGCACGTTCGTTCTTCTCAAAAAACCCTGTATCCGCACTCGGTGGATCCAGACGGCAAGCCGTCCCGTGGATGATGTTCTTGAAAACAGCGCATGGGAGACCGGTCCGGTCCAATGGCAGGGTTCTGCTGGTTCCGACCTTCTGTTGCTCCCCCTTTGAATTCTGAATTTTGTAATGACGCTAGCACCTTAGCCAGAAGCCTTCTAGCGAAGCGAAAAGTTGTTAAAGTCAGCATCTTTTGGACCAACGCGGGCGTCGGCTGGCCGCCCGCGTGCACGGTCCGAGACTCGCGGGCTCCCGGAAAGGGTTTGGAGGGTTTTGGGTACTGAAACTCGGGGTTTTGAGATCCTGCGCCTCGGCCGCCGAGACCAAGGCGGCCGCGCGCCAGGTACGCAACTGCGACGTTCGAAGTTTGCACCGTGCACCGTCAGCGCTAGCTGCTAGCAGCGCTGACTAGCAGCGCTGAACAAAGCCATAGCTACTGTAGTGGCGTTGTTCACGCACTCGAAAAATGTACTAGGAGCCAAAATGTCTCCGCTCAAACCGAGGATGCAGCAGCAGTAGGACTTAGAAGCGCGAAATGGCGGATCCGTGTCATGTGGACCGACTCCCAGACGACTTGCTCCGCGACATCCTGCATAGAGCAGCTGTGCGTCTTGACTGGAGGGATGCTGGAGTATGGGCTCTGGAGGAGAAGGGATGCCGCACAGACTCCAGAACCGAATGGGCGCAGGTCAGGGAGCTGTGCCGCTTACAAGGCGTCTCCACGCGTTTCTACCTCATTGCTTCCACCGTCCGGAACCTGCACTGTAGGATCAGTCCTCGAGTTCCCAAAAAGGAGATTGTGGGGCTGGCCAACTTTCTGAGCAAGACAAGATGCGCAAAGGGGCTTTCCCTCACTTTTGGACCTAAAACTGATCCAGAAGATGACGAGGATGAGGACGGTGACAGGCACCCTGAAACGCCTCTTGTCCTGTTCATAAGTCCGGCAGAGTCCAAGTTGTTTAAGGAGATCCTCAATCAAGCTCCCAGACTTGAACAATTTGCGGCAGTGAAAGGGCATTTCACTGAATATGATGGGGGGCTTGACGGGAATGCCGCTGCTAACCTCAGGACGAGAGCATCCAACCTGCTGCTTGAGGCGCTCTCAAAGAGCTGTCCGCGCCTGAGCGCTCTTGCGCTAGGCAACCATATCAGCTCCCCCCTGCGCTTTCCTTTGCTGGCACCAAGCCTGAATCTGTTTGACAAAGCTTTTCCGCAACTGAAGAGGCTGTGCATCAATGGGGACGTGCAAGCTGACTCAAATGGTCAAGGAGTGACCTCTCTGCTGAAGCTGTGCCCGCACCTGCTGCAACTCGAGCTTTGTTACGCTACACCGTATTCCGAGTACCTGCTCGTGGATTCTGACAGTCTTGAGGTCTTGGAAGTCCAGATGCCTTACAGTGAGATTAAGCTAGACATCCGCACGCCGAAGCTTCGCAAACTTAGTACTGGGTTTGGCTTCCAGGGGGCGGTGGTGATAACAGCACCAGAACTGAGTACGCTGGAGGTGGATTGCACAGCCATGGTGACTTTCTTAGCTTCATTGAGGCAGCTAGAGCGCCTGGTTCTAAGGTGTTTTCCAGGAGAAGACCACCTGTGGGACTTTGACAACCCACTCCATAGAGCCCTTTGGACCTGCTCGAACCTGAAGTCTCTCCTCATTGAATCCAAACAGAGTGGATGGATCAGAAACTTGTCTGTCCTGACAAAGGGGGTCGACAGTTTAACAAGGCTGGACGTACCTGATAAGTCATGGTGCGCAGTACGCAAGTCGAAACCTGACAACCTGTGCGACTCGCTGAGGAAGCTCACCGTCTCCTTCGACCCTGAGATAGGGGAGTCGGTGGATGAGAGCACGCTCCTTGAGGCTGTTCGAGGCCTAGAGCGCTTTCAAAAGCTGGAACTTGTCCGGCTCAAGGACACGGGAGACCTCACGCCATTTGCTGCCCAAGCTCTGCTTTCGCTCCAATGGAGGCGTCCCGGACTTCAGATTTTGGTTAACAAACTTAACAAGTGATAAGAAAGGCGTTCCATCGTGAGCTCTATGATTACGAACACAAGGCCAGCGATTGTAAGCGACAGGGTATGATTCCGGGGATCTGAATATTAGAAGATGTACTCAAAGTTACTCTTGATAGGACGCCTGAACTTTGCTTTGTTGAGAACCCTTCTTCACAGGATCTTAATTTCTACCTGTTTCAATCACTAGAAGCTTCTTGATCTCGGATGTGTATTTGCATGCAGCGTCAGGCATATGCCACATTAAGTCGCTTGGATCCTCACACGCAAAATGAGAGAGCGCCAGGCCGTTTAGGGTCATGGGACGAGCTGATACGCTTTGAACATGCTTCAGTATGAAGATGTCGTCTGACGTTGACCTGCCCCCTTGTTGCCTGATTCTGTTTCACTTGATGACGTATGGAAGATGATGCAGCATAATATGCATCATTGATATAGACGCTATGCAGTAACTCTCGGTTGTGTTACGCCTTACCGGAATATATCTCTTTGAAAAATATGCATGCATGCATTCCAAAAGTGGAAGTCGAACTTTCCAACTTTCAGATGAGAAGAATCGGGTTACAAGAAATTGCACCATGTCCATGTGGGGGATCTCAGTGGCCGGAGCAACATCAGATCGAAAGGGCCATGTGCAATCTTTCAGTGACATGTCAAGAGATGGACACTCGTTGATGCATATGAGAACGTTGAGTTACGTATATTCAACAGATCGCTTGAGCTTCTAACTCTAAAGCCAGTTGCTCTATTGTTGCTTCCGGCTTTGCCATTACGAAGTCCGTATTGTAGCAATCGTCCGAACCGGGGTCCTTTCTGTATGGACAGGCGTACGAAAGTTGCAAAGAAGAGGATCATCTTGAATGATCATGACACGCAGGGCGGCTGTCATGAACGTCAGCATGATGCCAAAACTCAGTGTAAGACATCATGCCAAGCCTCCTGTTGCCCTACTAGCATATCATCATCTAACTTGATATAGTGTCCGACTAAACGTCCCTATTACGCCCGAATCTCTCCTTGATCTGGCGTGTGAACGTTCTGTACACTGAGGGGTGGACAACCCCGACATAAACCTAATCCGACTTTTCCCGGTGTGCAATCCGACCCAAATTTCAACTCAAACATCAGCAATGCTAACAGTCGACCAACAAATGTCGGCAAGCTGCTGTTGAAGCCCGACGCGAGTTCCAAGACGCGGCAGGCTGCATATCAAATCTGAACGCTCGCATCTGAATCGTCCTTCTATTCTTTTGTGGCTCGGATCAGTACTGATTGCAGCCTCATCTTTCAGCTTGCAGTGCTTAAGCAGCTCCCGTGCTCCAAACCACAAACCAAGACCGTCATTGCGAAAGAGTGCCTCTACGGGCCTACTCCTGCATAGTCAGTCAGCCTGCTACTCTTATTACTTCGACAATTATGCTAGCGGCCGAAGCCGCTGTCCGTTAACTAGATGTTGCCCCGCAAGCGACGCCCATTTCAAAGACGGCGCGAGAGCACCCATTTCTCCCGACACCGTCAAGCCGCCGTTACTCCGTTCTCACGGTCCCTCAGAACAGCAGTGATCCTGAATGCCAGCGACATCAGGTACAGTTTAAGCACAGAAGTGTCCTTGTAGTGTTGTAGAGGAGTCACGTGTGGGGACGCCCCGTCTATGTAAACTCGAATCGCCTCCAGTCTTGTATCAACGGCTGCAACTGGTCCGCCTTTTCGTACATGCCCAAGAGGCCGCCCGTGTGGATGAAGAGCACTTTCCGCCCCGCCCACTTTTCCGGTTCCGCTCGGACGTCCTTCAAGAATCCGAGGAGCGCCTTGCCACTGTGGACAAAAAGGTATAGAAAGCATGATGTCAGCGGGCCGGACGGTACCAGTAAGAGCTTGCGAGGGCATATGGCGTAACTAGGTTCTGGTGTTCGTTGCCTTTTTACGTTGAGAGTTGAACGAAAAGCTGAAGAGGACCTTTTTGAGGAGAATTAACGAGAGCAGGAGCGACGCTCTGGTGGCACAAGAGAAAGGCGTCCTAAACAAAGCAACACAGAAGGAACTCCCATGCTTTCCTCCAAGGGTACTCTCGACAAGAAAGTGCTTCACAGTTCTCGAGATCATTCCTCGAACAGAATGTTGATACTCGACAACAGCTGAGGACAAGTTCGTGCTCGCGTTCTCCATGCTGAGAACTCGAGTGAAATCTGGATTCGTCAGGTAGGCGCGTAGAGGTCTTTCGCAAAATCACGTTAACCCTTGGACGATTCTACAGCCCCCTTGGGCTAAAAGCAAGAACAACATTTGAAATTGTCTTCTTTTCGTCGACCTTCACTCGTACTCTCTTTCTCCCTACATGCCAGCCTTCGCTGTTTCAGTGCAGACGAGCATTTCAGGGCAACCAACAACGGTACCAATAACCAGCAACTAGAGAGTGGTCAACCTCACCTATATACGGGGTCTAGAATGACCCCCGTCTGCTGCGCAATCTCTTTGGCGAACTGCAGCTCCTCCCGCGTGCTGATAGCGTACCCCTGCCCCTTCGAATTTATCATCCGGACGATGTCGCGCGAGCGCACCTCAGCGTTCAAACCGTCCAAAAGGCCCTGTCAAGGCAGAGAGGGAGCTTGGAAGCGTGCTTCGAAAGGACGGGCTGACAAGCAACGAGGCCTCGGTCGTCGATAGAATCTGGAACAGTCCACAGAAGCATGTTCGAGGGACTATTAAATGACCCAAGCTGCGCAATGAATCAACCAAGCCATTTTCCAGAGCAAAGGGAGTCCATCTCCCTAAAACAGGAATCGTTCCCATAAAAGTGCTTTCCTCAAACGGTGTGCTCTCTGGCCTTGATGTGAAGAACGGCGATGAACGGGCACTAAATTGCGGCTGTCAGGAGACGGCTAAAGCAATGACGCCGGTCGAATGCATCTGAAAGTCAAAGAAATGTGAACGAAAAAGCACGCTTTCGTTAGCCTCCTTTTCCTGACGAAGTGTTCTTCTAGGGGTTGCACGCTATAGCCCTTTCCGCGCCCCATCTCGGACGGAATCAATCATGAGCGAGAAAAAGCCGCACATTACGGAACTCTTCACCCTAGGACCCTAGGACCCTAAACCCTAAAACCCTAAAACCTGCATCATTCGAGCTGCAAGAATTCGTAGATTACAATAGAATCGGTACACAGTTCAGCAGACCGGAACCTGAGAAAAGTCGTAGAAGTGACCGCTTCTTACTGGTGGTCGTACGCATCCTTTGAGAGCAATCCTCGAAAAACAGACAGCGCTACATCGACCCGAACCAATGGACGAAACAAACGCGCAAATCAGCAGCAAAAGAAAAGCCGAAACATCGACCCACCTGTATGTACTCGTAAAAGTATTCCTCATCGTCGCACACCCCGTAACCGTGCACCTTCGCCTTCATCCCGCTTAGCTGCGCCGCGAGCGCGACGCCCGCCGTCGTGCCCCCGCTCCCGCACGCCATGATGACGTCATCGAAGCCGTCGGCGCGGCACGCCTGCCCCGCCTCTAGTTGCAGCGCGATCTCGCGCACGGCCTCGACGTACCCCCACGTCCCGAGGGAGTTGGAGCCGCCGACGGGGATCAGGTACGGTTTTCGCCCTTGGGCCTGCACGAGAAGTAAGAACGTATGCCGTTTGAGGGAGGGGGATGAGGATGAGATTGACGAAAACGCGTTTGGCTGCGACGTACCCCCACGTCCCGAGGGATTTGGAGCCGCCGACGGGGATTAGGTACGTACGGTTTTCGCCCTTGGGCCTGCACGAGAACGTCAGAATGTATGCCGTTCGGATGTTTGGGGGGGGGGAAGGAGGGGGCGGAAGGACGGAGGAGACTGCGATGGATGCCAAAAGTGGCTGCGACGAAGAGCCACGTCCCGAGGATATTGGAGCCGTCGACGGGAATCTGGTACGGTTTCCGCCCTTGGGCCTGCACGAGAAAGTCAGAATGTATGCCGTTTGAGGGGGCGAAGGAGGACAGAGGAAACTGGGATGAAACTGACGAGAATGCAAACGGGTTTGACGTACCCCCACGTTCCAGGGAGTTGGAGCCGCCAACGGGAATCAGGTACGGTTTCCGCCCTTGGGCCTGCAGGAAAGCTCAGTACTATGCCATTCAGGGGGGAACGAAACCAAAGTAAGTTCGGGGAAGGGGGGATGACAAAGCGCATGTGGCCTCCTTGTGACCTTGCACACAATTTCGAAATCTTGCCAGGTAAGGAATCCAATTGTGCTTCTACTGCGGACAGAATAAACGCCGTGCCTTCGATTCTTTGCGGAGGGGGTCAAGTTGCGCACAAAATCGACGTGCCCCCACGTTCAAGCTTTTAAAAAGGCGCCAGTTCGAACCCACATCTCAGCCTAGGACGACAATTGACCGTCTTGGGAGAGGGGCTAGAAACAAGCGGTACTACTTTCCAGGGCTTCATGAGGATGTGCAATTCTCTTTGAATTTCAGTTCGTTCATCTCCAGGTAGTTCATGGAGGATTGGCGAGTTTCGGCAATGTGGAGCGCCAGAGGAGAGTTCCTCAATCTGCCTTCATAGTGCTTGGACTTGAGTCTACGTTCCTAGTTGCCTGAGCATTTGACAGATGCGTCTACATATCCGGGAGTCAGTGACGAACATGTTCGGCAGCCTAACTGAGGACAAATTCGAAATGTTTACCGAGCTCAACAAGCAAGTTTAGATCCTACTGGCCCAATGCACAAACACGTGTTTCTCATCAACGAGGCAAAGCATCAGGGGCACAGAAGCGCTTTACTTAGTACTTCAGAATACCACCGACTCACTTGAGAAACTGTGGGTTCTGAAACAATCGGAAACGTACTGGACAATTGGATGTAACATGTCTGTCTCCCGTTTTCCAAGCGGATTGAGTGCGACAGCGCGACCTTTCACCTGCAGTCTTTCCATCAGTTGCTTCCCCAGCGCCATGCTCCCGTGCCGGACGTACTCTTCCTTGGTGACCAAGTCGATGTGAGCGCCCACCATTCGCTCCACCAAGAGATTGCCCACGAGCCCCGGGTCTTGGTCCACTACAACCTGCAAAACACAGATGCTACAGATTTTCTCGAATGTGTCTGTTCGACTGTCCTCTTAGATGGTCTTCATCGATTTTGCCTCTTTTGCACTACAGAGAACGTCCAGATGAAGAAGGAACTATAGAAGATATAGAGTCAACTAGAAGCCTGGACATAGGTTCAGCACGTCTGCCAAAGAATATTGTCACTTCCTGCTTTCCTCCTCTTCTCTCATGGTCCAAGAGTCACTGGAGTCATGATGGCCTGAAAAGAACAGCAGGGAATCCAGAAGCAAGTGTCGGGCTATTCGATGAGATACTTTTCTTGGACCCAGAACTTCAACGTTCTGGTCAGTTGGCAGAATCCCAGATCTTTTGCAAGTAGCTTTGGTTGAAGGGACACCCGACCACCAGAGAGCACTGCAGGATCCTGATCTTTATCTGGATCCCTCCGCTTGATTGTCAAGTGACTCTAAAATGCGGGTGCTACCCTATGCTGGCCCCCAACCTTGTTAGCTATATCAGAAACATACCCAGCCCGGCTTCACTGTTTGAAAACCTGAGAGACCCCCAGACTTCGACACGCAATCTATTTGAGCGAACCGCATCACTCATAGACCCTCAATCCAGTGGCGCCTCACCTTGCTTGTCCGCAATATGAGAAACGTGTCCAGCCCCGCGTAGCGCGCGGCGACAGCTGTCGCCCTGCAGTGGTTGCTCTGGATCCCCCCGATTGTGATCACGCAGTCTGCCCCCTGCGCTTTCGCATCCGCGATCAGAAACTCGAGCTTGCGCACTTTATTCCCACTCAGCTGCAACCCGGTGAGGTCATCCCGCTTTATGTAAACCTCTAGACCCTCCGGAAGATCTGGGAGGGCCCATCGGTGAATGGGCGTGGGGAATTGTCCAAGGTTCATGCGCGCGGGAGGGACGGGCGCCAGGTGGCGCGCCCAGATTGGTGGTTGGTAGGGCGACACAGACAGGAACTGGCGGTATGGGAAGGGCGAGCTTTGCTGGGCTTGTTTGGAGTCCGGTTTCTTCATGGAGAGGTCAGGGGAGGAGGAAGCCATCGGGACTGGAAAGTGGGTGGGTTTTGTGTGCAATGCTAAGGGAAAAGTGGGGGGGACAAACCTGTGAATTGTTAGTGGGGAAGATATCGAAGGATGTGAGTTGGTAAATGAGTTGCTTTTGGTGGCGCCGGTCAGAAGATTGGGCGCTTGATTCCGCTTGCTTCGGAAATGTGGAGGTGTCGGAATTGCTGGTGGTCTTTTTAGTGAGAGGAAGCGACTACTGCAAAAGGAACACACGGGACTGGGCCGGGCGCAAGCAGCTACCGCCATTGACCAGACGGAGAAAGCATGCACAGCAGAAAAGCTATCCTAGATGCCTGCATGAGCTGAAACCTGCTCAAAGCTAATCCATATTATTATCATGGGCTCCAGAGTCCCTTTGCCCTTTTGAAGGTGTGAATAAGATTGGGGATGCCTAGAGGATTAATCAGTGGGCGACGTCCGACAGGACCGGCAAAAAAGCTCCAACAAGGTGTCACATTCCAACGCCTTTTTGCCTCGATACTCCTTCAAGTTACTGTACACTCCTTGCGCCAGGTACGGAGAACCGACACATAGCCAAGTGTAGGTCAACGGGCGTCCACAGCTCTTGACTTCCTCTAAATACAACTAATATGCTGTCAACATTTCACGAGGATCAGCACTGAAAAGCACCCATCGCGGCGTGCTTGTTCACCAAGGCGTTCCGTTCACTAGCGACATTGAACATTGAGTACTTCTGTAGGAGGGCGCAGAGACTTCTCTGGGCTCTGGCTCAGGCCTGGATCTGAAGCTCTTATATCCAGGCGAACACTTTATTCCCGCAATAAGGAGGGTAGCGGAAATATCGACGAAGCGCTACGGTTGCGACTGTCTGCAGAGCAAGGGCACCTGTAAAGGCAAAAGTTGTTGCAGGTTCCATGAGCACATCCGTGACACGCTCCGTAACTTGTTCAGCATCAGTGTTGTGAAGACCTTTAGAGAAGATAGATAACTCCATTCGGGCAGGTCCGGCTGCAAGCAGCCCATTACAAGGACTTTGTGGATTGGCATCGGCAGCAGGCAGATTAATTGTGGTGTCGGGCGGAAAATCTTCATCGGAATTCTGAGGGGAAAATGGCGCATCAGACTGCAGATGACACTGGCCTCCAACAAGAACGGGTCCCTCACCCGATCATTCTGCCGGGAGCCCAGCAGACTTCATTCTCAAATAGTCAGCCCCGCCAGCCAAAAGCTCCCAAAATCAGCTCTCAACTCCCTGAGATCCCCCCCTACTCATACACAGCAAATCGGTTCCCCCCGCCGGCAGATGCCCCAGCCATGATCCCCTCCATTCCCCACCCCCCCCGGAGAACACTCCCCAATTCCACCCCCCCGCAAGGCCATAAAAGCCAGACCGAGCAGCGCCCACAAGCGTCAAACCGCCTGCAGTTCTCCGGTCGCCCTCACGCGCCAAAGCCCATTCCTACGACCCATCTGCCGCTTGGTGCGCACTTCCCAAGCCCGCTCCAAAACCCGCTCCTTTTGAACGCCCAGCTGTCGCCCGCGCAACTCCATGCGCAGCGGCAGCAACTGATCACAGCATACATGCTGCAAAGCGGAGGGGCGGCGGGGTTGGCTCAACCGGTTTTCTTCTCGGGGGGGGGTGTCCCCACGACGCATCCCGCGCCGAACCCGCAAGCCCCAATAGAGGGATCCCCTGCGCCGAAGTACACGCAGATGGAGGCAATTGTTGCGGAGATGCGGGAAAACATGCTCAAGGTGGGGAAAACCGTCCTAACATTGTGCAATTCCTGTGTATCCCTGCTTCTTACAATTGCCTGTTTCAGTATCTCCCTGCTTATCGTTCCATTCGGCACGGTGCTGACAGCCGGACGTTGCTTGCTTTTTTGTTCGTCAAGGGGGTGATTGTTTCTTCAGCTCCTTGGTCCAAAGCCTGATTGCCAACCCATGCAGGTACTCAAGACCTCCAACTACAAGCGGTGCAAGTCTGCTAAGAATATCAGACAAGGTGCGCTCATTTGTATTGTCAACATGTCTTCTCAATCAGTGTCGTTCTGGCTGGTGGCAAGCTGATTCTAGACCTATCTGCACAAGTCACCAATCACTGCTTTTAAAATCATCAGCGTGCTCTTCCCAGACAAACTTGTCGTTGAAACTTCTCTGAGCAACGAGTATGACGAATCACAGACGTCACAGTCCTTGCTTTTAGCTGGTCTAGCAGACTAGTGTCCGCGTTTCTAGCAAACGAGTGCCGCCCTCATAAGCTGATACGGTCACCCATGGGTCAAGCAAAAATGGTAACTGGAACAGTTGGCATGCATATCAGGGGCATGACTTTGAATGAAGGCAATGTAGACCGCTGCACAATGTGCCGTCCGTCTTCGTTTGGTGGTAAGCTCTGTGGCTCGTGATGATGACGGAGAGCTTTCGACTCAAAGAACGACCGGAGAATGAATCTGAAAGGAGGGTCTTTTTGACTTGCGGTTACCGAGACTGGACGCTCTTCATCTGACAGCGCTACGGCAAGTCCGGACGCTCTGCAAAGACATACGGAACGAGACGACGGAAATGGGGAAGCAGAAGGTGAATCCGCGGAAGAAGGCCCCCACACCAGAGGGGGAGGAAGGGCCATCAAAAAAGCATAAGGGCTCGGAAGACAAGGACGCGAAGAACCCGGAAGAGGGCCTCAAAGGGGATGCGGACGTCAAACATCCGGAAGACGTTCTCGAAACGGAGGAAGCGGGAGCCGACGGCAAAGAAGTACGACGTCAGGATGACGTTGGACCACGGGAGGAGGGGGCTTCTAGGGAGGGGGCTGCGGACGCCGCTGAAAGAAGCCCCCTGAAAAGCGACCGGACTGTGTCGGGGACTGAGCTACAGGGGCAGGGGAACACGGAGTCAGGACGCGTTTACAGAAGTGAAGACGAGTCGGAAAAAGAGGAGGTTAGTGACCAAGACTTGCCACCAGAATAGCAAGGCGCCAGTTGATCCGATGGGGAGAAATGAGGCAATCTGGTTGGTCGATTCTGTATGGAGACAACCTGCACTCAGGCTGGCTTCACCGCCCTTTGAAGTCCAGCCATTAGGCACCAGATTGCAGATCGTAGGTACTATGGGGTCCGGTGCGATGATGTAACGCCTCAAGTCAGTGACACGAGTGAACTCCCACGCAAGAGCAACACTGCTACTTGTGGTCAATGCATGTAAGCACATGCGCGTTGCAATACAAAAGTACTTTGGATTAGTACGGTGGCCGTATATGGCAGCTAGCCGCCAGTATTTCAGGCGTAGTATCACATTTTGCATCAACAACATGGCTCGATTGCATGCATGATGATGTATACACGTCTGTGGACGATCTCAAACATCGATCAGTGCACGTTGATATATGAAACGATCTATGCATGTACTATAGTAATATAACCACATGGGACTGCAAGTCATTCAAGGAACCCTCCTGAGCCACACCTGCGTGGACTGTGCGACTGCATGGGCAGGCCTGGGTGACACGCTTGAAAGATACTATAAGTCTTTCGGACTCGGAAAACTGGTCAACATGATCGGACCATTTCGCCGCTATATATGTAGTCGATCGCTGGCAATAACCGTTGCTACCGTCAATGTTGTAGTACGTTCCCCGCGGCCCCAGCCCCATAGAAGCTTTCTGATTCAAGCATAGACGTCGCAACAATCAGCTGCCGATGGGCAGAGCCATTTGGTTGACTTAAGAAACATTTTTGTGGTTGAAACTTATGTATCATTTCTGTTACTGATTTAGGTACCCAATCTACAGTCATTTGTCCACTTCCAGATCATTAAAAGACCAAAACGAAGCGCTATTAGTTTTACAGCTCTAACTGCGTGCGTGCTTGCAAAAGTTTTAACAACGAGTTCAACCTAGAAATAACGTATAATCCTTTGACCATTGAGAGTTCACAGAGTCGAGCTTCTGCCAAAACTTGGAGACTACTGCAAACCCATGACATCAAACCCCGCACTGACCCACCATCTTGCCGCATGCTCGATTCCACGAACCAATCGCACCTGCTCGATAACCCGCGACCTGAAACTCCTCGTTCTTCCCCCGATTGAGATTCTTCAGACGAAGATGCAACACCCACGAAGCCTTCCCAAAGCGTGCAACCGCACCCGAAGTTCTCAACCGCCCATACCTCCCCAGTTAGTCAGTCAACAACTCCAATTATCCGTCTCCTCTTGAAAACCCAGTCACAACCTTTTACCGCTTCTGGTAGTTCAAAAACCGAACCGCCGCCACTGCCAGTAGGAAGAACAGAACGACGAATCCGAGCAGGCACGCGAGCGCGACGGGCACGTAGCTGTGCTTGAAGCCGAGGTCCGAACGGACGAACTCGGCGACCGTCTGGGAGCTGGTGCCGTCCGTGAGCAGGATGCGCTCATCGGTGACGTCACCCAGCTGGGAGGCGATGAGGCCGTACAGCGTCCACGAGATGGGACTGGAAACGGACGGGAAAGCGAGTCGGAAAGAGTCCAAAGGTAACGACGTAACTTTCAAGCGTTATCAGACTTCAGGGGTTATCAGGTGCAGAGCATAACTTGGAAGGATGAGACAGACTTAAATATACAAAGAGGATTTTGCCTCGGGAGGTACCTGAATGATGGAAGATTACGCATGTCCTGCTTTTTTAGTACGGGTGAGGTATCTCTTGTTTTGTGGACGAAAAAAGACTCGCTCTTTCTAAAAAGCGACCTTTGTCTGATAGGCAATACCCAACTATGCCAAATTCTTCAGCAGACAAATCAGAGGCAAATCAGAAGAAACGAAGCCTCCGGAATCGACCAATGGAGGCAAGGAGAGGCTGGCTCTGATGCTTACTTGATGTAGTAGTACCACACCCACCAGCCGGGAATTTGCTGCAAGAGAGACCATGATGTTTAAGAAAACGGCACGGGGTCTTTGCATCAAGATTCCAGTCGCCTTCGTCATGAAGGAGAAGAAATGACAGCGGGACTTAGCAGCCCGATGCATGTTCTCCAGGATCGGCAACGATCCTCCGAAGGGCTTGAGATCCAGCTCAACAAGCAGCAAAGCATCATCATACATGACTTCAGACATTTTCAAACCCCTCCCGGCCAGTGTTCATATCTCAAACATTCATTTCTAGAGAGTCATTATCTGTAGCACAAGAAAGTAGGGGGCGCTCACCGGCAGCGGGATGAGAAAGCCGGCGAAGAGGTTCCAGAAGGAGTAGAAGAAGGACGAGATGATGGAAGACAGCGCGAGGCCGGGCGTGCCGGCGACGGCCATGATGCCGTAGTACGTGAAGATGAGGAACGTCAGAAACATGACCGTCGTGTACTCGAAGAACTTGACTGCAAGGCGATAAAGGGTCAGGGGCGCTCAGTTTCATCTCAAAACCACCGCAGAAAGTTTACCAGAAACGTCAAGCACGTCGCCATTGTGTATTTGAAGAACTTGACCGCAAGGCGGGAAACGGACGGAAAGGTTTCACTTTGTCAGAGAAGGTTCTCCTCACAAGCATCGTTCTTTCCGTTGCGCCAAAGCGCTGGCTCAAGCTCAAGAAACCTGAAGACCATAACCGTCGTTTACTCTAAGAACTCAACTATGAGGCGAGGAAGAGACGAAAAAGCTTAAGCTTGTCACAACAACTTTCTGCATCATCAGATGAATGGTAACGGATGCCCGCGCAGCAACGAGTTCAACAAATCCAAAAGTGGATGATTCACAGTGGACGAAGGGGAACGTCTTTCGCCCAACCTAAATCCTGTTAGAGTCACGCACCTGCGGTCCACTCGAAGTTGATCATAGCGTATGTGATGACGCTGTACACGATCGTCTGCACGAGCACGTATGGGATCTCGATCGCGCACAGCGCGAGCACCCAGGCGGTCGGGGAATACATCCCGGCCCCTCGCTCTCGGTACGAGACCGCGCGTTCGGTGGCGAAAACGGGTTGAACCGAGGACGCGTTGGACACCCCGAGGAAGAGAACCGAGGCGTAGAGGGCGCCCATCACGTTGAACACGTTCTGCTGGGTGTTCCTGGGGAAGGGAAAAAAGCGACCGGGGTAAGCAACCGGCAGTATCGAGGGTGGAGAAACGGTTGATCAGGACGAGTAAAGAGGCAACCACAGCGGTTGGCGAGAGAAGAAAATGCTGGTGGTGGAAAACGTCTCAAAGAACAGATTGACTTCGGGACTTGAGCGGAAAGCTTGAAGTCAGCGGTGGCCTGTAAGATGCTGGACACTCTAGGTATAGCAAATGCACGTGCAAGACAAGAGCTTCCTGCTCCTCCGTTCTGGCAATAGGCAAGCTCCATACCAGATCCAGAATGGACAACCCCAGCTGTTTAGCCCCTCTTTTGGCCACACTCCCCGATGCTCTAGAAAATAAACGCGTCACTTTTACGAACCCCAGAGATTGTTCCCGCCCGCGCTGACCTCGATTTTTGTGACAACGGAAAGGAATCCCAAAAAAAAGCAGGAACGTCCACAAGCAGCGCACCTGCTCTGGCCGAGGTCCCAGAAAATGCTCCCGAAGATGAGCGCGACGCCCGTGGAGAAGAAGTAGCGCACGCCGTTGTACTCGGGCGTCTGCCAGTAGATGCGGCTGTTCTTCCAGAAGCACGCCGCGAACTGCACCCCGAAATCGCGCGCATGCTTCGCGTCGAACCGGATCGCCGAGGCACCCTCGGCGGGGCGTTTCAGCTTACCGATCAGCTCCTCGTTACGCCTGAGAAAGCAAGGATTACGGGGTTAAGCCTTTCTTCTAGTGGGTTAGGGTGGGTTAGGAAACGTCAGCGAAGTTTTATAGGAGGGGATTTGAGAAATCGGCTCAACTTTACGATCAGCTCCTTGTTGCGCCTGGGAAGCGGAAGGGTCTAGGAGGGTTAGGAGAAGGGTTTGAGGTAAATTATGTGGTATATGGTGGAGTTTGGTTGCAACCTAAGCAAACATTTGGCGAGGAGGTGGTAAGGGCTCTGATTCGAAGGCATAGACGGGTTGGTGGGCTTGTCCAAATCCGAATACAACGACCCTCAGTGAATTCTTCGTTACTTTCTCGTCGTTAGAATGTTACCACTAGCAAGGGCGAGAAACACTTGAAGCATGAGAACTTGCCGAGATCATGAAGCTGGACCAAGCAATCGGCGGGTCCAGCGAAATGAACGTCCAAGTCGCCAAAGTGCCAAGCAAAGAGAGTGAGGCTCCACGTATGCCCCCAACATCTTGGCAGCAGGACATCGGCGCTCACTTGAAGAGGGAGCTGTTCTTGTAGTACTCCGCGAAGTCAAGGTCCAGCTTCTCCTCCATGCCAGGTGTCGTCACCTCGAGCATCCACGTGGACGGGTTGTAGCCGTCCCTGATGGCCGGGACGCCCTTCACGGCGGAGAAGTGCTCGATCAGGAACTTGGAGTGCGTGCCCAGCGGGCCGGCTGCAGGGGCGAGAGACGCAAAATTAGAAGTGGGCTCAGGACTTCCAACGGTTCTAAGGGATGAAAAGGACTCGTTCTAAGCTGTCGCCAAGTACGCTGGGGTTGCTCTGCTTCCTGCGAATCCCTGCTGAGACGAGATGAAGTCGTGACGAATGGTAATGAGCGTTTTGTTACTTGGGTGCTGAAAGAGAAGATCGCGCGTTCTGCTTTTTCATCCGTAAAGGAGCACACCCAAAGTAAGAAATACAAAATAGACGCACAAGGCTGGCTGAAAGACGCTCACTCAACAAGAGTCGAATCAACCTTCCCTCACTCAGCAGGAATCATTTGGCACGGCTCAGAACCTTGAGAGACAAATGACCCACCGTAGATCACGTATCCCCCGCGCTTCATCAGCAACAGCTCGTCGAACGCTTCAAAGATGTCGATGCTCGGCTGGTGGATCGTACACACGACGGTCCGTCCGGTATCTACCGTGTTGCGGACCGTCCGCATCACGATGGCAGCAGCTCGGGCGTCCAAACCGGAGGTGGGCTCGTCCATGAAAATGATGCTTGGGTTAGCGACTAACTCGACGGCGATGGTTAGGCGCTTGCGAGCCTCGACGGGCAGGCCGCTCACGCCGGGGGAGCCGACGAGGGCGTTGCGCAGCGGGGTTAGCTCGACCAGGTCCATAACCTCCTCCACAAACTCCTACAACGGGGTCACACAAAAAGTAGGGTTTAAGGTGGGTTAAGGACTGTTGATTAGTGGTTGAGAAGCGGGTTAGTAGCGCTTGTTGTCGATAGGCATCTGGGGCGACTTTGGCGTCTGGGAGATCATTAAAAATGCCCTCTACATCTTGTTGAGGCAGATCTGCGGCATGATTCATACCGAACAACAAGAACAAGCAAAGATGGATCGGCAAGAACTGCTATTTAGTTAGCTATCGTGCATCGCTTCCTCCGCGGCTCTGCAACGATGATCAAAGAGAGTATTACGGGTCCCAATGGGCAAGACTGCTTTCCAAAAGTAGCGAACAGCGAAGCAATAGCAGAAGCCACTTCAAGTATACAACACCCCGCAACCACCACGCAAGAGCTGCGAAGCCAGGTACAAGTCAACATCATTCAGTCAAGCAGAATCCAAATATAGTGAAATTACCGTGGCCTCACCTTGCGGGTCTGCGGGTCGACGTCCTTGGCGAGGCGCAGCCAGGCCGAGAAGGTGAGCGCCTCGAAGACGGTGGTGGACGGGCTGTGGATGTCGAACTGCTCCACGTAGCCAGACACGCGCGCGAACGAGTCCTGCTCCTTGGGGAAACCGCCCACGAAGATGTCGCCCTCGATGTACCCGGCTGGGGGGGGGGGATACATACGGTGTTAAGATAGGCCTTGCAAGAGCGCCTTGGTGAGATCAAGAAACATGTCCCTTTGGGAAGAGTTGCGGATTTGTTTTTGATATTTGGAACTGGCCGGGACGGCTGTTGAAACCTCACGCAGGTGCCGAGAAGTTGTCGTAGAAGCGTTTGATGTTGAGGGACTGGTTCAAGGCGGGGCATGTTCAAGCATCGATATCCTTGCTGGTCCGCATCATGTATATACATGGCTCTTTGTCCGTAAGTCTCCTCTTCGCAGACCAATCGATGGACAAGCTATGACGAGTCTCAGAGTGTTTGTCTTTCGACAAACGTGCCCTGTCCTGATTGCTCCCAAGCGCACGCTGAAAAGAACCCTGCGAATTCAACCCTATAGCTTAAAACCTCCAGAACTTTGAAGACATGAAACATCCATACTCACTGGTTTTCCTGCCGGCCAGCACGTCCATGAGCGTGGTCTTGCCCGCCCCCGAGACTCCGACCAGCGCGGTGAGCACTCCCGGCCGGAACGCCCCGCTGCAGCCCTTCAGAATCTGCAGCTTCTTGCCTTCCTCGCCCTCCTTAGCCAGGCCCTGCAATCGAAAACATGCCACGTCATCGCGTGCCAAAGTAAATGTAACAGCAGGAACGTTAAATGAGGTTGAGAGTTTCCTCTTGAAGGCCTCTTTCCTCTCACGTCCCCAAGTGCTCACGTTTCCTACGGACGATTGCAAGCAAGGACAAAGGCTACAGATCGTCAGAACCGAGGAAGGATCCGTCGCCATTCACAGAAGCACGCACGAAGGAGTTGAACGAGGCTCTCCAGAGGGGTGTGGTCAGCAGGGAAGAGTGCAAACGAGGCTACCACGAATACGCCTGAGACAGTTCAACCTGCCTAGCCACTCCAAAACTTGAAACTTGGAAATCCAAAAGTTGATTCGACAATTTGGACCATACTCGAGAGCATCCACGCCTAACACGACTTCTGAGCCGACTGCTCAACGGCTGCACTCAAAATGCCTTATGAAACGCCGCTTCATTTCTGATCCCGACCTTGGAAAAATTAATCCTGATTCAGAAACGGGAAATCTGAACCCACCTTGGGCACGTCCACCGAGTACCACACGTTGTGGAACACCATGCTGAGCGGCTGGAACGGCAGCACCATGCCGCGCTTCGCGGCGCCCGACTGCTCATAGTACTGCGCGAGCCCCGACGACTGCTGGCTCAGGCCCGAAGGCTGAACCTTAAACTGGGCGAGACCCGAGGACTGCTGCTTGACTTTGCCTTTTCCCAGGGAGGACGAACTGGGCTGTCCGAGACCGGACCGGGTTAAGCCGAAGGAGCCCCGGCGGGAGGCGGATCTGCCGGGCGCGAGCTCGATTTCGGCGCCAGGGGGGGCGAGGCTAACGGCTGCAGAGCAAGAAAATGTCTTACACTTAGAATGAGGGCTAAGGGCGGTGACAGCTGGTCAACAAGCTTCATCAAAAGTTGAGTAAGGTTGAGAAGACACCGTGGATAAGCCTAAAGAGGCAAAGGTCATTTTAAACCTCACAACCAACCAAAGAGAACATGTTGCAACCAAGTGAAAGACGACATGCGCAGCTTACCTGTCTCGTGCTGCGCAGCCGTCTCTTCGTCCACGGACGCGATGGCATTGCCGTCGGTTCCGGTTCCGTTCCGCGCTTGTTGCTCCTGGAGCGCGTCGACCGGCACCTTGACGCTCTTGAGCGAGTCGTTGTCGTGACCGACACGTGCCTTCTCCTTCTCGTCGAGGACGTCCTCGGGGATAATGGCCTGGGGCTTGCCGATGGCTGTAGAAGCGATAGAAAAGGTCTCATAAGACCTTAAATTCCACAATCAGACGCAAGAGCCTGCTGAGTGACTGAAAAGTGGCTGGGGTGTAGAGAAGAGAGCTCGCTTGGAGCCGATTCTCAGCGGTTGCGTTCACGTGATGCCAAGGACAAAAATGGCGAGAACCAGCTAAGTTTACTACATGTGGACAGGGCGTCAGGATCATAGCACTGCACGTCTTCGTCTCAAAAAGAAGCAGAGAACTTACGCGGGAGTAGTCCATCGCGGCTTTGATGAGCCGGTAAAAATTGCTGACGTAACCCAAGACGACGCCGACGCTGAAATACACCCACCAGTGCTCATGAACGCACAGGGCATTAGAGCTCCCTAAACCTTCATTTAATACGAAAGCAGAAAGCAGCAAACTCACGTGGGAAGTAGTCGAGCGCGGCGTTGATGAGGAGGTTGAAGATGACGGCGTATCCGACCATGACGCCGACGCTGACCCACACCCACCAGTGCTGGTGGAACAGGCCGCGTGACGTCAGGATGATGGACCCCAGCGTCTCGTTGGTGCCCGGCGCGAGCTTCTGCCAGCGGGGCGCACTGAACTCGTTGATGGCCATGCCCTGCTGCACGTAGCTCAGCGGCGAGATCCAGAAGCCCCAGATCCACCACGGGTGGATTTGCGCTGCACAAGAGGTTCGGAGTGTCAGTAAGTCGAAGCATCTGTAATCCTATTTTCACAGGAGTTCTCTTCGGATGTGCGCGGCCCAAGAGGTTCGGAGATCACCAACACGTGCGTCAGATTGCAAGCGCACTGGTGGCATCCTAGTCCTCGCCAATCTGGTTTTTGGCCGGACCGTAGCGTATTTCCAACATCTGGTTCATAATTTGTATCTACGAGTCAAAAAAGCTTCAAGACCATCTAAACGTTTGGAACCAATCAGTGTACAACTTGGCGCTCACGCTTGGCGATGATGAAGCCTCCGAGCAAGAGGATGCAGAATGCCAAAAAGACCTGTTCAAGCAGCATGCTCGGAACTGAACTCAGAAAGGTTTCAAATACTGATTTCACCATATGAGCGGGGGACAACATAAACGAACTTGGCACTCACGCTTGGCGATGATGAAGCCTCCGAGCAGGAAGATGCAGAGGAGTGCGAAGGAGCCGGCTGTGTTGGCGATGGTCATGGTGCGCGCCAGGACACCAACCAGACGGAAGAGGCCCACCCCCATCTGGTGCAGCGCGAGCAGGATCAAGATGTAAATGAAGAACCTGGGGAAGCGACGTGGCAAAGATCGTTAGTTTGATTCCAGTCACAAGGTCAGCTATGGGTCGGTTATTGTGAGGCTCCGTTCCTCAAAATGGGGATGTATTTAAGAAACTGAGATTGACACGTACTTGGAAGTCAGATCGTAACCTTCCTAGTCAAATCAGATGGTCAGCGGATCCCTAATCTACTCAAGTGTTTGAACCATGTATTGCTCTTGATCGTCGAAAAGAAGATATCCTCAGATGAGTCGTGCGCTCAGCGGACGATAAGGATCCCACCAGAACGCCCTGATGGCTGTCTGGGGAAGTGTGAGGCCAAATGAAGAATGCTGTAGGAAGTACCTCTGCGGCTCCATAGCGAAGAATTTAGATTCGAAGCTTCTCTTCAGATTCCGTACGAGGCTCAAGCAGAAGAAGACTCGAGAATCCGGTTTGGACGTACTCAACCCATTTTCACAGAGTGGACTCATTCCCACACGTACTCCGGACACCTCTACGAACATCCTTTTCTTCCGTCTCGACTCACCTGCCAGCGTCCGGCGCCAGTCCGACAATATAGTAGGTGAGCGCGGTCCAGATGAGCACTTCGACGAGGGTATAGGGCAGGCGGGTGATGATGGCGGGCAGGTTGAAGGCCCACCCAGGGTAGAACTGGTCCTCGCGCTGCTTGAAGAAGATGGGCAGCCGTTGCACCTGCGGGGTGGATGGATCGTAGCCAATACCGCTGACGAAGAGGAGAAAGCGAGGAGAGGAAGAAAAATCAAGGAACCAAGATCTTAAGACAGAGGGGATTTGTTTTGTGTAAATGGGTCTTAACGATTTTGCTGTAAGCAGAACAAAGTTGACCCTTTTCAACAAAGTCCTATGCCGTACTTTCGGTGATACACGCTGGTGGTACGCTACCAATCGTTTCGAGAGGTACCAGAAGGTCTGTGTTAATCAAGCGAGGAGTCGAGAAGGAAGAACCTCAGATCCAATTCCGTGCGTTAATTTAGCCCCTGATTGACAGAGGCGGGTATTCTTTGGCTGCTTCAAATTCGGGCTCTAGGGACATCCAACAGCCGCCTAGACATTGAAAAGGGGATGCCGTAAAAAAGAGAGACCAGAAAGGGCTCCGGGTATACAAAGAACGGGCCCCATGCTCACCGTGAGCGACATTTCTGCGTAGCTGTTGAACATGATGTGCACGAGCGAGAAGAAGATCATGGACAGGTACAGCGAGCCGTCCTGGATGTTGTCGGGGTTCAGCGTGGTGCGGAAGAACACCGTCGCCGTCATGAACGCCATCACGGCCACCTGTGAACAGGAGTTACTTCAGATTGTGTAGACCATGCGTTTGTGATGCATTACAGACATAAAAAAATCCTCTGATGAAGCCATCCAGAAAGCGCATGTCCGGTCACATGCAAACCTGAGGATCTCCAAATGAGCGGTTCGGGTTACTTCTGTACTTTCAACACGCAGATGAAGTGGAATCCGTATCTCTATCAGAATTTCTCAGAGATAACATATTGTAAGTTTCCTTTGGAACTCAGACGAAGCGGTACCCAGAGCCGATCTCAAACACCAAATATGCCGGCAAACTCAGTCCCAGAACCCGCCTACAAACCGACCTGGACCGTCTCGAAAACGTGCAAAAACATGGTCTGCGGCAGAAGCGTCTACTCGCTGTCCAGGCACGCCTTGATCAGATTGCCACGAGAACTGAATACCAAACCGACGCGCAACCCAAATCTCAACCGGCCCACGAAACCCACCTGGAACGTCTTGAAGATGTACAGAAACTTGGTCCGCCGCATAAGCGTCCACTCGCGGTCCAGGCACGCCTTGAAGATCTCGTACTGCGGCGCGCCGTACTTCGTCTTCGCGAGGGCGTCCGACGGAATTTCCGACTTTTCCGGCGGAACGGACAGCTCCTTGCGGATCGCCTGGCCCACCTCAAAGTCGTTGAACGCGGCCGCGAAGACGGAGACGGGGACGTACTTGTAGGGCACGTCGCGGGACCAGTATTGCTGCATATGAAGTGAAGCAAGAAATGAGAGGCTGCGACTCTCTCTCCAATGACTTCGAAGCCGACCATTTGAAACCAACTATTTGCACAAAAGAGGAGCAGATGGTGCATTTGATGCTGATTCGATGCTGAGAAAACTGCCAAGAAGGTGAAAAAAACGCGCTACATGACACGGGTGATTGTCTGGAAGCAGTCCTTGGAATCTCTCGGCCGCCACTCAGACGACCCAGCGCCAAACCGTATATAAAGCAAATCATATGGTGCAACGAACCAACAAAAGCGCGTTCATTCTCCTCAACCAGCAGCACTAGGGATCAACCTAAAGAACCACGAACCTTCATTTGATATAGACTGCTACTCAAGGAACTTCAAAAATCGTAACAAGATTATGTAATGCACATATTCTTCCAGGAGTGATTTGAGACCCACCTCCTGATCCTTGCGCGATGTGACCTCCTGCAGAAAGTCCGCGATGCCCTTGCGTGGCGGGCACTTGAACCCCTGCGTCTCGAAGAACGCCAGGATGTGCTCCCGGGGGCCCTGGTAGATGACGTGGCCCTCCGACAGCAGCACGACGTCATCAAACAGCTCGAACGTCTCGGGGGCGGGCTGGAGGAGTGACGTCATTACGGTGGACTGCGTGCAAAGAGGAGATGTGTGAGAACGGGGGGTAAATCCAACCAATAGGAGGGCAGTTGAAATGTTTCAAGACCTCCTAGGATTTCTGGCGCTTTTTCAGAGGCAGTCAACCAGCAAAAATCAGGCAATCCAATACGGAGCCCGACTCTTGTTACCGACCATCTCTTTGCTTGCTAGAAGATCCAAACGGGTGTTTCTTTTACACCAGATAGAACCGCTTGTATCGACTTGCTCTGACAAAGACTCGGATACGAAATGCTTGCTGCCAGCACCTTTTCGCTTTTGATTTTGTACTCGCTTTCATAAGGTTTTCGAGACACTTGGTGAGTGAGTCTTGGGAGTGCCCCGCTCACGTCTGTGAAGTGGCAGATGTTGCGCAGGCAGTTCACAATCTGGTAGGTGGTCGAGCTGTCCAGTCCGGTGGAGATCTCGTCCAACAGCTGCGCACACAAGAAAAACGAAATCCTTAGCATTGTTCAATAACGAGCCAACTCCCCCTGGAAGCATTCCTTTGGACGAGACACCAACGGTAAGCTTAGAGGTTTGACTGCTCATGACGTGTGGATGAAATTGATGGAGGGGACCAGGCCAAAGCAATCGGTGCTCTCTGTTTGTGTAGGATGATATCCGTTATGCGAAGCGAACGGAAATGAAACGGACACTTCCGAAGGATCTCAGGAACTCACCAGCACCTTCTTGAGGCCCACGAGCAACTCGCCTGCAAGCGTAAAGGTAATGTCAGAACCAGCTTTCTCAAGGGTTAAAAGAGGGGTTAGTTTCACGGGCTTGAAACTTGTCTACTCGTTTACTTCGCAACGCCTTCCCGCTTTTACTGCAATCTCGAGCACAGACGTTAGTTCAGAGCGCATCACTATCGGGATGCACTCGCAGCGGGTTCGTTACTGAGCGGCTTCGAGCTCCGCCCCTTCTTTTAATGCTAGCTACCTCCAATCGACCTCAACAACAAGCCACAGTATTGCGCTACGATGAAGTACTTTGCCACACGTACACCAGTTCCACCTCTTACTGCACCTCCGTCTTAACAACGCTTCTCCTCATGAGGTGGTCAGCGTCTTACCTGTAGTGACCCGTTTGCGCTGCCCACCCGACACGCCCCGAATCAGCTGGTTACCGACTAGAGTGTCCGCACAGATGTCGAGTCCCAGGATCTTCATGACGTAATCAGTCACCAGGTTTTCCTTCTGGTTCCCAAGAGAAATGGCCTTCATGAACGCGTCGATGTCAGGATCCGGGACGACGCCATTCTGGACCTCACGCCTCCCCAGCTCCCGGATGAGATCTGGAATCAAGAATTATTGCATGCTATGAGAGCACGTCCGTAGAAGAATACACTGTTCCTGAGAGAAAAGTTGCACCAGTTCAGCTCGAAATGAGCATTACTATGTCTCACCAGAAAAAAAAAGACTTTAGATCGTCGAAAACCGCAAGAAGACACAAGTGAAGACCTTCGCTCAGAGCTGCGGGCATCTGATCTCCGCGTCACACCAAACAAGCCCGTTTCTGAAGAAAATGTCGCAGAGACTCACCTTGGTTCGCTCCCACTCCCTGGCACCGCGCACCAAAGTCCAGCGTCTCACGCACTGTCAACTCTCCCATGTGCAGATCCACCTGGGGCACGTACGTGACTGTCCGCTTCGGGTAGAACTCCCTAGCAGAGTGCCCGTTATACGAGATGCTTCCGGTCACCTTAAGATTGGAGTCCAGTCTCTGAGCAAGAGCCAGGAGGAGGGTGCTCTTGCCGCAGCCAGGGGGACCGAGCAACAGAGTGAGCCGGCCCTGCAGAGGAGGGAGGGCGGAGAAAGGATGAGACGGTTTCTGTCATTCTCAGGGCTCTCTCAGTTTGATTGGATTGAATAGGAATGGAGGCGGGAAGTTCACAGATTGCTTTTGGTGTAAAGGAAGCCTGCCAGAAGCAAGAAAAGCTGAAGCAGACAACCTTGAAGAACTCGCAGTGAGTTTTTTTTTCACAACTTTTTGCACCACACACTTGCTCATGATACTTGTCAGACCACAACATCAGGAGCATGACTCAAACTCCTGATGATTGCTGACATGCCTTCCAATGATTGAGATTGCTTATGCTTGTACTAATGCTACTAATGATGATGGACAAGCTCATTCTTAATTGGAACCAACGAGCTAGACAGGAGACTCACTGGCTTCAACACGCCTGATACATCACGCAGGATCTGAAACCGCCGACGGGTATCCTTCGTCAGACGGAGTGTCCTGAATATTGACTCCATGCTGTTGCGGGCGGCGTTTAGCAGGTTGGGGAGAGCACGGCTGCCAACGTAGACGCCCGCCTCGATTGTGAGATTCTCGTATCTGATCTCCACCTTTGGCTGAGTGACGCCAACTCTGAGGAAGGAGGAAAATGTGGTAAGACGGGACTGACCAATGCAGACAAAATGATGTTGTCTTTCAGTGAGAGAGCCACTGATTGTTGCCCTGATAGCGATTGATTTGAAGGAAACTCAAGGACAGATTCTACTGGTGTAAAATGGAGATTTCAGCAGACGTGCTAATAAGTCATTCAAAGATTGCTAGCTACAGGGTAGAAAGACAGGAAAGATGGGGCAGTGCATAGAATTCCAAGTAAGACCTGAATGAGAAAATTCAAGATCCAAAACTGTGCCGGGGATGCACAAGCAAAAGCCAGAACTGTATACCATACCAAGATGAGTAAAAGTGGATCAAAGCATTGTCTGAAACAACTGCTTTAACAAAACCTTCACATCCAAGACGACGATGAAGAATACATGCAAGCCTTCTGATGCAACTGTCAAGCCCTTCATATAGTCCCACCATATAAAACAAGCTGAAATGAAAGCCTCAGCTCCTGCCTCTTCATCAGATTGCAGCAGTAATCGTATCCGCCTCTGTTGTCTGCTGCTTCATTGAAGATTTGGCACCAACTCAAATCTCACCTGTCCAGTCTCGAGCGGTACTTCTGATAGTAGGCCCCGTTGTCCTGGTCTGTGGTCGCCAAGGCCCTCTTCACAACCTGCTCCCTCTCCTTCCTGCCTAGATTGTGCACCTCAAATGTCACCACCTGGTCGCCAGCAGGGCCCTTCACCTGGTCATCTGGCAGGAGCGCAGTCTCAGCCCTGAGGTGCGAGGAGAGCTGCTCCAACTTCTTCCTCCTCAGTTCGGTGAGTCCCAGGCCCCCCTCCTCAAGTGCCACCTCATGCATGACCTCTTGACCAACACTGACAGGATGTGAGTCCATGTGGCCAGTTTCTTCTCTTGAACCAGGGACGCCCTGGTCATCTACCTCCATCAGGAGGCGATTTACCTTGTCAAGGAAGAGTCGCTGAAACAATTTGCTGCTGATATCAATTCACGGCGTAGGTACAAATCACGGAGCAGGCGCGGAAGTGAGACAGGATGGGCCCCCTGGATCGGTTGGTATGCTGTTATATTTCGCTTACAAAGACTGCACCTTCGTGTGCGGCTTCCTTTGCACGATACCTACGCCCTCTTCGAACTTCTCAGGCTGGCCTTTACAAGAAGCCTGCAAACCCCAGAAATAGAATGCTGAATTGCATGCGCGCCAGCCTGCCAGCCGCAGCTAGCCTAGCTGACTTGGGCGGCACATTCTGCAAACACATGATTCGCTGAGGAGGGCATGACATAAGCAGTCCGCAAACTAAGTTCGTTAGCATGCTTTGTAGGCACATGTTTTTGCCTAAACCCAGGGCATTTTTAAAGAAACCTCTAGCCACATGAAAATAACCCAGAACTTAACCCAGATTGGGCGCTGAGCTCCTGCAAACGTCATACGCTCGTCAGCACAACGGTCAGGTGGCGCATCGTGGCGGTCTCAGAATGAACCTGCGATCTGAGTATCCCGAGAAGAACTTTCGGACGTATCTGCGCCGTCAAAAATGCCACCTCGACACACCGCAGATTGCTCAGACGCGTCAGGTCGACGTCAGGGATCCCGCAACCAAACCCTCGAACCCGGCTGTGCGGCCGCGGACGCCGCTTTGAGGCCGCCCGACCCGGCTCCGCGCGGCCGGCCGCCCGGCAGCCCCGCGGAGACGCGAGCGTGAGCGCGCACTTATGGTGGTATGTAAGCACAGCTAGCTGCTGCCACTCGCGCAAGATGCACAAAACTTGTGAACTCCTTTCGAAAGTTCGGACGCGGACGGTTCCTGTCGCCGGTCAGGTCGACAAAGCTTGCGACCCGTATTTGTCATCGTCCTGCCAACCGGGTGGTCCTAACCACACTAAAATCCTAGGAATAAGTGCTCAGCCGATAGTGGCAACCCTAATCTGAGAGCAGTCACAAGGAAGGGACGTGACCCAAATTAAACAAACCGTCACAGAAAGTGGCGTAACCCTAACACACCATCAGTACTTTGTGACTTAACCCTAATGTCACAGAGAGTGCCCGGCTACTCTGCCGGGTACCGTACTCGTATTCAACGGTGCATACCGTCCGCCATTACCAATCCGCGCCGGTACTCCCCAAAACACTGGACAAAGACCGTCCGCGTCCCAACTTTCGAAAGGAGTTTTCAAGTTTTGTTAAATTTTGTACGTTTTGCGCCACTGGCGCGCCATGGCGTGAAACTCCCACTTGAAACTTGAAAGAGAGAGACCTGGAAAGCTGACCCGGCGCAGGGGTCTTTGTTTCTTCTTCCCCTCTGTCTGCGTGCACCGGACCATATTGCAAGCTCTCTCTGCCTCTGATGTGGTGTTTCTAGGAAATGCTGAGACGGGCACGTTTTAGATGCTAAGCACATGGCGCAGAGGCATGCATTGTCAAAGCTTCGGAAACCACCGTTGCTTACCTTCCTAACTCTCCTTCCTAAAAGCGCCATTTCCGTACGAGATCCTTTGCAAGCTTTAGCAGAACAATGTTATCAGTCCCTGGCACGAAATGGCGAGGCGGCAGAAAAGCAAGTGTTGGCTCCAAGCAATTCTCATTCAGCCTCATGGCGGCCTTGGGCGGATTCGTCACACGGAGGTCAGTTGTTATTGATGGACTTTCAAAATATTCGTCAATCTGCTCATCAAAAGGTGTACTTGGGGTGCCGGAGAGATTACTGGGTTGCTCTACGAAATAGATTATAGGGTGGTGTAAAATGCAGAGTTTCTCAGAGTTGTGTGGCTGGTCTGCTAGCGACCTTGCTGATTCGGTTATTCTGCTTTTGCCCCTTTTTTGTCAGCAATTACCACTTCTGTGATCGCCTGGAGTCTTTTCCCTCTGTAGTGCACATGGATGTGTTACCACTTCCGCCATGTGTGTCGGCTTCATTGAAACTGGGCACAAACAAGTCACCAGTCAGCATTGTTGGTTGAAATCTTCATGCTTGAATTGGTATTTGGTGGTGATCTGCTCCGTCTTAGACCGTCCTGCGGTCTCAAGGACAAATGCAGTACGCCAAAAAGAAGGCGAAGCAGAAGCTGAAACGTTTTCTTATCTCCTTTGACGACCTGCAGGTGATGTTGGGAGCTCATCGGGCATTGCCTGTGATGGGGGACTAGATTGGCGGCTTTCTGAAGAGCAGGTGGAGCGGATACGACTATTGCGGAGCTTGAGGGGGCTTTTAGGGGAAGCGACCTTTGAGAAGCTGCAATTTCCGGCGCCCCAGGCCCAGATCCCTTTGAAGGCAGACAGCGTCAAGCGGAAACGGGTAAGTCAATGATAAAACTTCACACAGATCAGTGTCTGCTGCAGTTGAGACCTTCTTTCAATCTTCCATTCTTGTTTCTTTCTTCAGACTAGTTAAGTGGCATTTGGATGCGTAACATATCAGCGTGGGGAGGACAGATCAACGCAACACTTGATTCGAAATGGAGGCTATGACCCGTCCTTTGCATGCTTTCCTGGCGCTGGGGTTGACACTAAGCAAAGGGTTGATGTGTACAGTAAGGTTCCAACACAGAGCAGCCTTTATGTTTTGCTTATCCGTCAACGTCAAGGTGTCCACTCAACTCTACCTGTCTCTCAAGCCAACAACTCTTTCACCCATTCAGTGCACTTCTAGCTGGGTTCAGTCAAATCAAATCGGAGTGCGGTCCCTTCTTTGGACCGGGCACCTTCCTGATCAAGCCGCAAGGGGTCCGACTGACAAATTCTACGTATGGACAGATGCGTAGACACCAAAAGACTTGTCAGTGGAGACCCGTGAACTGCTGCAGCTGAAGTTTCGGCTCTGCATTTTCTGGTTCCATCGTCAAATCATTCAACGACAGCGGATGTTATACTGCCGCTGGCTTTTGGAATATCTTAGCTGACTGGTCAGCAGTTTGGGACCAGTGAATCTGCTGTCCAGAGGCGTACATAGGTGGACTGATGGGGCTGTGCGTGATCAGTGAGACCGCCATTTCAGTTGTCCAAAACCACTTCGGCTTGTACAAACTCAAATTGTGCGTCTGGGACAGTACTGCTGGTAATTGCACTAGATCTGGTGTACTTATCTTGAGCTTCTAATGTTTCTGGACTGAGATTGTCCATGTTGTCAGACCTCTTGGTCGGTTAAGCGGGTACTTGTCAGCCTAGCGAGACAAAGACACCGTCCACCCGCCAAACAACCGGCAATGTGGATGACCCAGAATCTTTTCAGCATTTTGTTCCCGTAATCGTGAAGACTTGACTAAAAGTCAAAGGAAGCCTCTGTGAAGAAATGACCCGACCATAAACGTGGATTGTAAACGTCGTGCCTGCGTAGGCGTCTGGTACTGCGCGCACTTTCGTCAGATGTGATCCAGTTTGGGGGACCATCCCCGATTTCTTGCTCGTCTGTATCCAATCATGTCTTCGTTTGCTACCGTTAACGATGTTATTGCTTGTGTGCAGAGGAAAAAGATGAACAAGCATAAGCAACGGAAGTTGCGAAGACGGGAGCGTAACAAAGCTTCAGGCGGCAAGTAGAGTAAGTCTCCGATTGCAAAGGTTGAACGTGGAAAGCATACAGCTTGTTCACTCTGTAGATCCTCGTGCGACAGTAAGTCCTTGAACGGACTGTATCTGGCTGACTGTACGCTGGTCAGAAAAGCATGTTGTGAGCTTGTCTCAGCCCTATCGAAACGCAATGCCCTTCAAGCGCGACGACGCAGATTCAAGCGCACTTGCAATGAGAAGATGTTGTTTGCATATACTTCATTCAGGTGTGTCAAGTGCTTCTAGTCAGGATGATTAGTTGGCACAGGCCGATCAATTTCTTGAGTAACCTCATGCATCTTCTCCGGGTCCTTGGACAGTCACTCGATCAGCCAAACTGAGGGTAGTCGCAGCTCCGCTTCACGTCTGCAGCTGCAGTACTAAGCACAATGTCAAGTTTTATATGAGCGGGTGACACGTCCTACATGCATGGGGACGTCCTCCACTATTGAATCTGAGAGGAAGGGACGAATAGTGGTGTCTGCTGAGCTCGCTAGGACTTACACGTGCTCACTGCTAGGGGGGGCGTCTCTGATTACGGCAATTCGCCCGGCAAGACACTATCACGACACACGCGTGAATGCCGCAGAATGCTCATGAGGTCATGCACGAGCATATCCCTCTCGTCGGGGGATTGAATTAAGTAAGTTCCGACCAACACATGCATGTCGCGGTTGCATATGTACAGCCAGATGAGCATAACCCTTAACGGCCAGTGTCCTTGCTGGTTGGAGTTTTGTCCTGTAAGCCTCAATCACGGACTCCCGCTAAGTTCGTACGTACGATATTATGATCAAGAGTTGACAATCTGCGAACTAAGCAATTTGGAGTTGTCTCAGCATGCTGGGACACATGGTTGCGGTTGAATGGATTTGGCTCCACATGTTAAGTCAAGTTGTGACGGCGGCCGCCGCGGTTCTGACAAAACAAAACGATGGGAAATCCAATAATTTAAAGGCCAAGACCGATGCCACTCTGTTGGACAGCTGTAACAACGTGGCGAGGTCGTCCGAATCCAGGCAAAACCTCGATGATCGAACAATGTCTGGTTTGACTGTGCCAGTATGACCAAGGGTTCACGTGTTTGGACCTCGCCACGAGTCCAACGTTCCTACAGCGTCTCAGCCCCGGTTCTAGAAAGAACCAAGGTTTCCCTCACCCAATCGTAGTTGCAAAGACCCAAGTACAGGAGGGGCCCATGGTTGAATTGATGCATTGAAGCTTGAGTCTCGTGATCGCCAGGCGACGCCGCCCCGTTTCCCTTCGCAACCTATGTCAGCTTGGCATTGAACCAAAAGTCTTACAACAGCTTACTGATGCTGAAGCAGAAGCACTAAACGCTTGGTACACAGTGCGTCTTTATCCGGTGCCTTCACAAACAACGCCCAAACGCCGTCCCAGATTATGTTACGTTTTATCGGACCAGACGATTGTCAAAGGCCCACGCACGTACAAACCTTACCGAACCCCATCTCTGCCGCATCTCTGACAGCTGTCCAGCATACTTCACTTGTCACATCATGTCGGTCTGCTTGCAGAACCAAGACGGACGTGTCGACTCTGGCGAGCAAAAGGCTACGTGACCGCAATTATACGCCATCTTAATTTGGACAGGACCGCCAGTGCGGGCGCTTCACTGTGGTTTCTCAGTCCGTCTGTAAGGGTGTGAAAAATGGCGTCAAGCACATCAGCAGCGCCAGGTTCCGGCCGTTGGCTGGCAGCATCGTGCTGCGTCCTGAACCTCCATTATGGCGCGTCTATGGGGAAGAGGAACGTCCGCCTTCTGCATAAGAATAGTACGACTCTGCCTAAGGGGCCTTCAGATTTCCTTGGCAGAGAGCTTCAGCGCTTTCGAAATCTGGCACAGCCCACTACAAGCTTGGAATTACATTTCACTAAGAGGCCCTGTCAAATGACCCGCCCTTCTTCTGCTCTCGCATCAAGCAAAATTCCACCCTGGAAGTGGCCATGTCACAGCAAAGGTTTACACCGGAAGCAGGTGTCACGTCTAAGCAGCTTAGACGCTCACCCGTTGAACAAGACAGTTTCGGCTTCGGGTGTGGTCAAGGGGGCGCCGCTCTGGAAGGGGTTGAGGAGGAATGCACTTGGATCAGCTCTTGGCCCTTCAGCAAGTATTATGTCAAACTCCAGGAGGCGCAGTCTGGGGAAGATAAGTGCCGCGGAAGCTATCAAGGCAGGGAGTATCAAACGGCTGAGGAAACTTGAGATGGGGAAAGTGAAAGCAGGGGGAACGAGTTCCGGGGAAACGAGCCCCGGGGAAAGTAGGTCAGGGGAGCAGAACCCGGGGGGATCCCCCGAGCCGCCCCTGAGCCCCGACGTCTCGCTCAGACTTTCCGTGGGGACGGTGACCCTGGCTGCTTTTGCTCTCGGTTTGTTCGCCCTTTCGTGCTCCGTCCTCCCGCCTCTGAGGATTGCAAACTTGCCCCTTCTTGAGGCCATTCTTCTCCACATCCTGCTGTCGTCAAACGCCATCTTCCTCGAGTGGACGGCTCTGCAATCATTCAAGAACGGAAGCGCTAGTATGACGGGCAGGCTGCGGACCCGGCACCCGGGGCTTCCTCCCGACAGGCACACCTTATCCGACCCCAGAGCAAACCGTGTTTGCTTCTACAACTCGGTCAGCAAAGTCGTTCAGTGGGAGCCCCCGCCCTCATTCCTACTTACTACCCCGGAGGCTTCCCCCGGGCTGTTTGGAACCCTGACCCTGTTCTTCCAGCAACTTTGGGGGCTTCTGCAGCCAATCGTGACGGTCGGGCTGTACTTGAGCACAGTCGTAACGGTCTACTGGTTCTCGCGCGGTCTCTATAGGGATCAACTAGGTGTGGGGACGACTTTGTCCCTCTTGGCAGCTTTCCTCGCGCTCCCACAACCGCTGCCGTTCGTTGTCCTTGCGCTCAGTTCGCGGCCTTCCTTCCTGGGGGAAGTTGTTGCCGCCCAAGTTCGAGTCAGCCCTCTCCATTGCCCTCCTCATTAGAGTTCTCCCCGGGCTCTGCTCCACCCTCAAGACACTCCACCGGGCTGCGGAAGCGCGCCTGCCTAGTTGCCGTCTTCCCTGGAACTGCGCGTGTTTCTCGCGACTCTTAGTCGCTCTTTGCCCCACCCTGAGTTGGAGGCTCCACCCTTACGCCCTCAAGCTGGATTATGCTCGCGTGGCGCTTCTCCCGCTACCCTATAGTGTTCCCCTCCCGGTGCCTGTGCCACGCTGGGAACTCTTGACGTCTTCCTGGAGAGCGCTCCTGTACGCCGCGCCGATGGTCCTCACCCTCGCGCGGCTGCTCGCGGCCGCGGCCGCGGCCAATCCTCAGGTTTATGCACCGAGCAAGCTTTACACCCTTGTGCTCTGTTCCAGGCCGGTGCAGATCAGTGCGTGCGTCTCGGCCGTCGCGTTTCTGCTCGGGCGACAGAGGGCGGCGTACGAGGTCGCTTTAGAGGAGAAAAAGAAGGAAGAAGAAGCGGAGGTCGACACCTTGGACAAGAAGCTACTCGAGAGTTTTGACAGGATGCTGGTTGATACGTAGATTGCTTTGTGTGAAAGGATCTGGCGAGAAGAGATTAGCGAACGAGGCAGAATATCAAAGCACTGCCCAATCCAACCGAATTCCACGCTATTAATAAGTAGATGTACCTTATGCTGCCTTTGACTGGAACACTCTACTCAAGAATAAATATAGAAGAGCCTCAGAATATGTAAGTTTTTTGTCAGACCCATTGACATGGACGCTCTTAAAATAATCCCAGTCAAGTTTGAGCAGCCAAATCATGTACGGCTTAGCATGTACATATGATCACGATCATTGACGTCACTTGCGACGTACCGTTCAATGCGAACCGCGACCACGTGAGTTCAAACAACAATAGAGCTGAAGACACTGAAAATAATTTGCTATTGGACGAGCAAAGCTTGGCGCCGGAGATTGCAGCGAGGATAGTAAATGAATAATTGAAGGCGGCAGAGAAAGGGATCTTTAGAAGGTGACTCGAGCGCCGATTGCAATGGTAGGTGCATAGCCGCTCTACTCCTGCTACACATTCTTAATAGCAAAAGGTCAAGCGTAAGATTCGTCACCAACTGGAGCGAGTGTTTTTATAGCACAATTCTGATAAGCTCCACGTTGCAACTAACCAGGACTAAGGCGTGTTTGGCCGATAAACTCGCTCTGCGTGCTTGTCTCTAGAAAGCTCGATGTGTAGTGACAAAAGCTGACTGTTCAGATCCGCTTCGAACCTGATTCGGATTCGTTTCGGGCGAGATTTCAAATGTGTTGGACATGTCCGATTGTGTTCCGAAAGTGTCCAGATTGCAAAGAGAATTGTTCTGAACGGAGTCCGATTTCAATCCGTACCTGATAAGAATTCGGTCCGCAATCACGCTTTCATGTCGTTGCACCAATCTGAGTCGTGTCCGAAGTGGATCTGAACCTGTCCGAATCAGATCCGAGTCGCACTTCAGTTCGGATCTGCTTCGGACCTGGTTCAGACAAAGGCTTTCTTGCAGTGAAATTTAATTTTATATGGTCCGCAATGCAGATTGGATGGCTTCGTAGCACGTGCACAGAGGCTAGATGGTTGGTGATGCGTGCAATCATTCAGGAGCAGGCTACTGCAACGAGCATGGCAGACTCCCTTGGTCCTTTTCGTACATCTTAAGCAGAAGGATCAATTGTAATGGGCACTCCCCTCTGCATTACGACCACTCAGTACTTCTTACGACACAGTAAGAAAATGATGAGGACTTCTACAATTTGAACTTCTAGTGCGAAAGTCTCATCTTCCGAGAGTACTTCTCCGTTCCGGCTGGAATTAGCAGTGCCTTGATTGAAGCATCCGTTTCGAATCGGCGATTCCAGACTTTTCAGAATACGTAGAGCAGGTTCTAGAATAACGAATCGATTAGCATCCTGTCGAAGTCCTCAAGCAACTTTTTATCTAGGCTCTCAATCTCTGCTTCTTCTGTCTCCATCTTCTGCTCCAAAGCAGTCGCGCACGCCTCACCCTGTCTCACGAGCAGAAGCTCGACGACCGAAACGAACGCACTCATTTGCACCGGCCTGGAACAAAGCACCAGGGTGCAGTTTGTCCCCGCGGATAATCCCTGGGGTTTGGCCGCAGCCGCGGCCGCGAGCAGCCGCGCCAGGGGGAGGATCATCGGCGCCGCGTAAAGAAGCGCTCTCCAGGAGGATGTCAAGAGTTCCCACCGGGGCACCGGCACCGGGAGGGGAACTCTACAGGGAAGCGGGAGAAGCGCCACCCGATCAGAAGTCCAGTCCAGTGCGTATGGGTGTAACGTCCAGTTGAGAGCAGGGAAGAGAGCGATCAGGAGTGTTCTGGAGGACTCGCAGTCCCAACTAGGGAGGGGGCACTTGGGCAGGCCCTCTTTGGCCGCCCGGTGAAATACTCTGAAGGTGAGGCGCAGCCCGGGGAGAGCGCTAACTAGAAGCGCCACGCACAGAAGAGACTCCAACCGGGCGATCAGGGTCCCACTAAGACGCGCTGACCAGCGGGAGCGGCTAAGGAGCAAGATGAAGAACGGCAGCGGTTGGGGGAGGACAAAGAAAGCTGCGGAGAGAAAGAGGACCGTCCCCGCGCCTAGTTGCGATTTGCCCCCGAGAAGAGCGAAAGCGCACCACCGGAGCGTTACGAACTTGCTCCAGTACAGCCCGACCGTCACGAGTGGCTGGAGAACTCCCCCGAGCTGCTGAAACAGGCCGTCAAAGATCAGGGTTAGAGTGACAACTAGACCGGGGGAAGCGCCCGAAGATCTGACGGTGAAGGCGGGGGATCCCATTGGACGGTTTGCGTGACCGAGTCATAGAAGTAAATCCGGTTCGTTTTGGGGTCGGAGAGCGCGTGCCAGTCGGGGGGAAGTCCCGGGCTCCGGACCAGCAGTCTGCCCACGTCAGCCGTATCTTCTTTGAATGCTTGCAGCGCCTTACGTACGAGGTTAAAAGCGTACGCTGCCAGCAAGATGTGGAAAAAAGCTGCCTCGGCAAGGGGCAAACGTGACAGCTTCAGAGGCGGGAAACATGCGCACGAAAGGGCGGATAAGCCGACAGCGTACGTGGCTAGGGTCACGGTTTCCGAGCAAAGTAAGTTGAGCGAGACGTGGGGAAGGGGCGGTTCGGGGGATTCCTCCGGGCTCTGCCCTTCTGAGCTTGTTTCCCCGGAGCTCGTTTCCCCTGCTTGAGCTCTTTCCCTTTCAGCACAGTTCAGCCTCCCTCCTCCGTCGACTCCCCTGCCTCTTGATGTTACCGGGCGGTGTTTCTTCAGATTGCATTTTCTTGCTCCAGCGTCAAGAGCTGATTCAATTGCACCTTTCCCCCAGCCCACCCATGGCAGCGCCCTTGTGACCACACCCGAAGCAAACAGACTTTGCAACGGTCGAGTGTCTAAGCAGCTCAGACGCAACGGCTGCTTCCGGACGAGAGCTTTGACGCGTGGCCGCTTCCAGGGTGGACATATTATCGAAGGGAGAAACCCAAAAGGAGGAGTCGTTTGACAGGGCCTCCTATTGCACACTGTTCCCGGCATTCTGGGCAGTAGCGCCAGATGTCGGAGCTCGCTCCCCAGGAAACGTAAAGGTTCCGTCAGCATCGCGCCACCTCCTTGTTGAAAGAACTTTCTGCTTTTCTGTCACTTGTACACCTTCAGGAACCTGAAGCAACCCAAGAATGGAGGTTCTTCTCTCAACGCATGTGTGATGCTTGACGCTATTTTCAAAATCTCTCAGGCTGCCACCGGACTTCAGACACCGCAGATAAGTTCAGCGCCCGCCGTTCCTGTCCAGCAGAAGCGCAGAATCTCTGGCGCGCGGCCTGCTTCCTTCCTTTTCGATCGAGGCTGCAGCCAAGACCCACAGGATGTGACAAATCAAGACGTGACGTCAGAGATGACGACGGTGAAGTTCGTACCCTGAAGCGTTCGGCAGTCTTGTCAAGTATCACCCCTTTGCAAGCACCGCCACGCGAACTCAGGTTATTTGGAAGCATCGATCTGGTTCAGATGCTCTGTACAGATGCTCATGTCTGCTAAGCATGCCAGTACGTGCTTTAGCTTCAGCACCGCGAATGTCAGACCTCGCGAATCACGGCAACGGAAGTGTTACAGCTCAGCGAGTTGGGCCGCTTAGAAACAAACCGACTGCAGTTTGTACTGATTCGGCCGCAAACTAAGGCGTTTACTCTGGCCATTGCAAGATGGGGTCATGAAGATCGACAATCGTAAGGGCCGACGTTATTGCAGCGGATGACGTGGCAAGGTACTGGTGTTGGCGCCGTCTTAATTCGGTCAGTCATGAACTGATCAAACAGTCCCCTCGTTTTTATCAAACCTCTCCGCCGTCAAGGTCCTTCCAACACAGTGCCCGCGGACTCAAGCTGGATGTCGATGAATGTTGTGTTGACCCAGCTCTGTCCAAAGCGGCAGCTTCATCCCAGCTTCATTTACACGTCAGGTACTCAGGTACTATAGACGTATATGCGGAACAGTTCTCCGGTCTCTTGCGGGTACACAACAGCAAAGACCAGATGTAGCCTAGGGCAACGAGTAACCATTTAAAGCGGAGCTACGTACGGTCTTAACAAAGGAAACGTACAAGGTCCGAGCGTCTTCATATCGACGTTCCAGGACGTTCTATCTAGGTAGGGCAGGATCCAACAAGACGGTATTCTGACCGTTCCGGTTGATTCAATGGCTTTGCAGCGACCTTGACAGAGCTGGTTCGCGAGCCGATTGTTTTCTATTCTGCAGTGTCAGGTGTCACCTGAAGCAAGTCTTTCGTTTCCACCAGCATCCTGTCAAAGTCCGCAAGTAGCTTCTTGTCTGGTTCTCAACCGTCCGCTCCTTCTAGTACCTAGTTCCTTCTTCTCCTGCTCTAAGTACAAGCGTCCTCGTACGCCGCCCTCTCAGAGTCTGTCATCTATCGAACCCGACATTCGAGACGCACGCACTTTTCTGGCCGGTGTAGATTCAATGTGTCCAGAGACTCGGATAGCCCCGCCCGCCGGGGTTTGCCCACCGCGGCCGCGGCCGCGAGCAGCCGCGCCAAGCCATGGGAACCGTGACCGGGACCAGGGCCGGGCGCGCTCTTCGGGAGGATTTCAAGAGTTCCTACCAGTGCACCGGCAGTGCCGGCACCGGGCACCGGGAGGGGAACGCTTAAAAGGGAAGCCGGAGAAGGGGCCACCCGGTCCAGAGCGCATGGAGTCCGGTACGTCGCGCGCGCCAGTTCGCTTTGGAGATCGTTGTGACGTCAAGTTCAAGTTGTTTCATGATGAGCTCTCAGGACAAGCACTCCGAGTCCAAAAGAAAAAGCTCAGGAAAAGCTCAGGAAAAGCACTCACTCAAAAGGCTAGTACTGAGCAGTGAGGACGGAGTGTGTAGACACTAGATAGAGAAAGGAAAAGAATAGCTTTGTCCAAAGTCCACTGTCCAGCCATTTCTTCTGCGCTTTCTGGCCTGTCAGACAGAATGCAGGCAAAGCTAGAGTTAATGGAAAAGCGGACCAAGGAGCTTGAGCTTGCCTGCCCCATCTGCTATGAGCCGATTGTCAGGTATGGACCCAAGGGCTTTGGCAGGGCGGCCGTGGATGCCTCCCGCTTTGAGTGCCCTCGCTGTAAGCGGAGCTTCTGCGGAAAGCAGGGCTATGCTGACTTGACGGTATTAGAAGGCGCACAGGAGTATGCTGACTTCTTGCCGCTTGGGACGGAGCTGTTTAGACTTCCCTTAATAAGCTATGTCTATGAGCGAGGCTGGCGTCAAAACTTTGCCCAGTCAGGGTTCCCTGGGGTGGACCAGGAGTTTGCCTTGGCACAGCGGTACTTAGAAGCAGCAGCAGGCGGGGTGCTCCTGGACGTCAGCTGCGGCAGCGGCCTATTCACACGGCGGTTTGCAGCGAGCGGGAAGTATTCAGTGGTGGTGGGGTCAGACTTCTCAGAGAGCATGCTGGTGCAGACCAGGGACTTGATTAGTCAAGACAAGACGCTTGAGAGTTCAGCCAATATTGCGCTTGTCCGGGCAGACGTTGGGCGGCTGCCATTCCCGACAGGCTCCATCGACGGGGTGCATGCAGGCGCCGCCCTCCATTGCTGGCCTTTGCCGAGCACAGCAGTAGCAGAGATCAGCCGGGTTCTCAAGCCTGGAGGTGTCTTTGTGGCCAGTACTTTTCTAAGTCCAAGCCTACCTTTCTCTCGGGTCACCCAACGAAAGATCAGACAGGCACTTCATCGAGTCGGCATTCTGCCGGTTCAACTCCATTTGGAGCCCGAGTTGAGGGAGCTGCTGACAAAATGCGGCTTTGTTGACTACACACAAAGAACTAACAGGTTGTCTATATGGTTAGCGGCTAGCAAACCGAGGTAGTTAGCATGCATAGGCTGTAAGTTCGTTCTTTATACGCGTTGCTGTGCGGGTAGCTGTTCATTCCTACATTTCCGATTCTGGGATCAAGGTTCAAAAATCAACGTTGAAGCTCGCGTATTGATTTCTTCTGATGAGCGCTGTTATGTGAGGTGAGAGTTCCCTCGGCTTGGTTTAGTTTATTGAGTCTTGAGTGCTTGCTGCTGGAGAAGTAGACCGTCGAGGGGCTCAAAGCATGTAGTAAGAGGAGTAGGTCCACAGAGTAGAAATCTGCGGTGCTTAGCCTGCACTATTGATGTATGTGCCATGACCCATATGAACTGAAGATTGTTGCTACTTGCGTTCTCAACTCATTTAGATGCTGGAATCATCTAGCTGGCCCTTTTGTTTGCCCCAACCCGCTCATCCAAGCGGATTGATCCCTCTTCAAGTGCTGGTGTGCAATCCGCGTCTTGTTGCATATGCATCAAGATTGAATGCATGTTAGATACGAAACCTTTGAAAAATTGGCTTCATAACTAGGCGCCTCAGGCTCTGTCATCCGATCGAATGCTGAGGATGCACATCCATGCGTGTCACTATCCTTAACAAATTTAATTCAATATGTATATTTGCCCGGCAGCTCGCTATAGTAGCCTGTGCATACAGCGGAATGAACCTATGCACCTCACACCTGCGTTGACATGACCGATATGCATTAACAGCCGCGCACGCCTTTCGCAACCATAGCTGATCGAGCGCGGCGCGCCGGCACGTGGGCAATCTTGATACCGTTGAGTCAAAATCATAGAACCTCCGCGGGTTACAAAATGTTATGATGTACCGAGTTAATACATTAAATCTAATCGATCCATAAAGAGATCGGATATGAAGAAGAGATATAAAGCGCAATAAAACGTTCTTAGAAATATAAGGTAGACTTCCGAAGTTGTAGAAGTATACCATGCCAGTGATGTCGATCCAATTAAACGCGCGACATCGCGATCCACAATCATGATTAAATGGTTTGAATTGAACGGCCAGGATCATGCAGCATTCATGTGGACTCCTTCATGAAGCATACGGCCGGCAATCTTTTTTCTACATCTAATCTGCAGGGCGGCAAAGTGCCAGCGAGACACGCCGAGACATGGGAGGTGCTAAGGAGCAAGACGAAGAACAGCTAGAAAGATGGCAGCCGCTGGGGAAGAGCAACCTAAGAAAGCTGCGTAGAAGAAGAGGACCGTCGGGCCCGCGCCTAGTTGCGCCGGTACTTTGCCCCCAAGAAAAGCGCACGAGCACCACCGAACTGTTTACGAATCGGCTCCAGTATAGCGGGGCCGTCACGAGTACGTGGCTGGAAAACTCCCCTGAGCTGCTGAAGGAGGCCGTCAAAGTCAGGCTTAGACTGACAATAAGACCGGGGGAAGCACCCGGAAATCTGACGATGACCCGGGGAGTGAGGGCGGGGGAGCCCATTGGACGGTTTGGGTGACCGACTTATAGGAGCAGGCACGGTTCGTTTTGTGTCGGAAAGCGCGTGCCAGTCGGGGGGAGGCCTCGGGCTCCGGACCAGCAGTCTGCTAACCTCAGCCGTAGCTTCTTTGAATGCCCGCAGCGCCTCAGATCCGAAGCAAACGGCGCACGCAGACAGCACTCTGTGGAGGAAAACGGCATGAGCCAGGGTCCCAGGGGCAAGCGTGCAGGCCTCAGAGGCGGGAAGACTCTGCACGAAGGGGCAAATAAACCGACTTCTAGGGTCACGGTCTCTGGGGGAGTATGAACGAATAGTGGGGGAGGGGCTGCTCGGGGGATCCCCCCCGGGGTCTTCTGGATTTAGATCCGGGCCTGGGCTTGTCTCCCCTGCTTTGACTTTCCCCTCTCAGTCGTTTGATACCCCCCTCCTCTAGTTTCTGCGGCCCTTATCTTTCCCCGGCTGAGCCCCCCCAAGGGCAGGTGTTCCCTTCCTGTAGCGCCAATACGTGATCCCGGTGCGTCTTTCTTAAAACTCATCGAGAGAGGTGCACCTGTGACCATTGCCCCCGAAACCAACAAGTACGGTCGAGCGTGTAAGCAGCTTAGACGCGACGGCTGCTTCGGGAAGGAACTTTCGCTGTAATATTAATATGGCCACTTCCAGGCTGGACGTCTTGCGGGGGAAGTAGGAAAAGGCCAAGTACAGGCCCTCTTTGTGTTCCTCGAGAGCAAGTTTTTGGGCAATGCGAAACCCTGAAGCTCTGTCCCCAGGAGATGAAAGTGTCCCGTGCCACTCCTTTGACGAAAGGAACTCCCTCTGCTTTGACAGAGACCTGCACCCTCAGAAATTAGATTCCGCAATAAAGCTGTCTTAGTCCTAAACGCTGGCGCTGCTGACATGCCTGACGTCACGCCACTCTTCCAGATGAATCCATACAAGCGTCGGAAAAAGATCCTAATGAAGCGCCCGCACTCCGAGTCCTTTCCAGCAGTGGCGCGCAAGTACTGGCGCGGTTGCGTAGCCTTCTCTTCTACAACAATCTTACGTCTTCTGCAAGCAAGCCAGCAGGATGTGACAATCGAGGAAAGATGACGTCAGCAACGACGCACGGTGACGGTCCTTATCTTGGCGGTCTTCTTATATGAAACTCAGCTTCACTTGCGAATCTTTATTCTGCAACCGCACTGCTTGTGAAGGCGTCCGGTCAGGATGTAGCCTCTTCTGAGCGCGTTAACGCTCTGAATCAGCATCGTTGGGCTTGTCAGACCTAACGGTTCTCTGCCAAAACAATGCAGAACAGCTCAGGGCTAGCAAGAGGGATCCTTCCTGAAGGGCAAACGGATTACTTGCAGCCATTGCTAGCGTCAGATTGGCTGCAAGTAATAAAGATTCTTCTGCTCAAACGTACGAAGTGAAGGATCGCGGATACTGCCCATACGCACTTGCATCAGCTGCCTGCTCATATTACCTGGCACGACCAGTCATCTAGCCTGTTTACTGTAAACTTATCTTCTTTCTGGATCTTACAACCTCCATACAAGCGCAGTGACTTCGCTTCATGCACCTGGGTAAGCAGGCGCGCAGCGAGAAGAGCAGCGTCTATCCAAGTAGAGTCAAATCTTGCAATCGAGTGACCACTTGAAGTCTTCACCTGTCGCCTCGTCTTACATGTAATCCAGACTTACAATCTCTGGCCCCTGATCTCGCACGTCCACTGGTTCTCGTTTGCAATGCCATGGACTCGGTCATTCTATCACAAGATCTCGACGTCATTAAGATAATTCTCGATTACCTTTTGACAGCGCAGGAGACGGGTTAAGTCAAGGTCACAGACAAGGGTTGCAGCGTGCATTCAGGTTGAGTCCAGCCACGCAGTACTGCTCCTTCTTTCCCGGCTTTGTCGGAAGCTGCGTCACTTCGAACCATACAGTCGACTTTTCGTGTCCATCAAGCCTCTTTGAATGAGATGATCAGGCAATGGAAATGTGTCATTCGCTATTGCAAAGCCGATTGTAACGGTGCTTTTCAACGAAGTGTCTCTGTTGCGCCCGAAACTAGCATGCTCAACACGTACAGTTTTGCATTTTCAGAGACGACAATCGGAAGACTGCGCTTCCGTTACGCAGGAACGGATCATTCAAGCCTGTCGAGGTAATTGAAGCGCCCGCCTTCGACGTGCCAAGACTCGATATTTACTCCAGCGTCCTCAGTCCTAACGGCCTTCGAGGTCGTGAAGACGCTTTCAAAATCAGAGACATCGAGATGAGAATTTCTCGTATTTGTGGTTTGACCCACTGTTCACAACGATGTGGGAGTCAGGAAGACCTCACGCCATTCGTACTAGCGTCCACTTTTGATCAATTAAGGAGTTACGTCCATTCTCATGACTCGAACGTACAGAATGTAAGCCCGCCACATGCCTGATTGTAATTTCACTTGTCCAGAAGTCTTACTCTCGTTAGGGATCCGGCAAGGAACTCGACCGTTCTAGTTGGATTAGCAACTTCTTGACAGAGCCCATCGTCTTCTATTCTGTACTGTCAGATGTATCTACCTAAAGCAGTTAGTCTTTCACTTCCACCAGCATCCTGTCAAAGTCTGCAAGCAGCTTCTTGTCTAGGTTCTCAACCTCCGCCCCTTCTAGCTCCTTCTTCTTCTCCTCCAAAGCGTCCTCGTACGCCGCCCTCTGTCTTTCAAACAGGAATCCGACAACCGAGACGCACGCACTAATCTGCACCGGCCTGGAAGAAAGCACCAGGGTGTTGAACGTGCCCGATGCTAAGCCCTGGGGATTGGCCGCGGCCGCGGCCGCGAGCAGCCGCGCCAGGGGGAGGATCATCGGCGCCGCGTACAGGAACGCTCTCCAGGAAGACGTCAAGAGTTCCCACCGGGGCACTGGCGCCTGGAGGGGAACTCTATAGAATAGCGGGAGAAGCGCCACTCGGGCATAGTCCAGTCTGAGGGCGTAGGGGTGGAGCCTCCAACTGAGGGCGGGGCAAAGAGCGACTAGGAGTCGCGAGAAACACGCGCAGTTCCAGAATAGTCGGCAACTAGGCAGGCGGGCTTTGGCAGCCCGGTGGATTGTCCCGAGGGAGGAGCCCAGCGCGGGAAATACGTTGATGAGGAGGGCAACGCAGAGGGCTGACTCGAACCGGGCAGCCAGAACTCCCCCGAGGTACGAAGGCCGAGAACCAAGCGCAAGAACGACGAACGGCAGCGGTTGCGGGAGCGCGAGGAAAGCTGCCGTCAGGAAGAAACTCGTCCCCACACCTAGTTGTTTCGCCCCGTAGACAGCGCTCGTGCACCAGAAGAGCGTTACGACTGTGCTCCAGTACAGCCCGACTGTTACGAGTGCCTGGAGAATCCCCCCGAGCTGCTGAAGAAGGCCGTTGCAAAACAGGGTTAAAGTTCTGGTTAACCCGGGGGAGGCGCCGGGAGGTTTGAAGGTAACCGGGAGCGAGGGCGGGGGATCCCACTGGACGGTTTTGGTCACCGAGTTGCAGAAATAAACCCGGTTTGTTTTGGGGTCAAGGAGCGTGTGCCAGTCGGGGGGGAGCCCCGGGTCTCGCTGGAGCAGCTGGCCCGACATGCGAGAATCCTTTTCAAATGCTAGCAGCGTGTATCCGGCGAAAAGGAGGGCGAAAATAGAGGCCAAGCCCTGGACGACAATCACATCACCGAGGGTGACGGCAGCAGGTATCACACCGGGGAAGAATGCGCAAACGGAAATTGCCAGAGTGGCAGTGCAAGCTGACAACGCCAAGGAACGGCCTGAAGGACCCGGCAAGCGAACTTTAAGGACAGGCCGCTCGGTTTCTTGTCGTGGGCTGTCGTCTCCTGATTCTGACGTCTCGCCAGAGCTCCTACTCCCGCCCGCTCTAGTTCCCCTTGCTTTACGTTCCCCAGCTGGAAGAGTCTTCCACGCTCTAGTTCCTCCAGCTAGGCTCCCTCTCCCCCGGATGCACTTCCCCGGGCTGTCTTTGCACAGTGTCGCGTTAGCAGCTGAAGCCGGTTCACTGTTCCCCCGGCCAGTCTGTGGGAGAGCGCCAAATGCTTTCAGAACCGTGCAGCGCAAACGGCGGTCTGTAGAGAGGCATGGTGCCCTGTGTCTTGGACCAGGAGAACCGCCCACTGACGGCTGATAACAATTGTTGCGGAACAAGGACGGATGATGAAAGGGCGGGCCCTTCTCTGTCAACTGTCGTGGCTCCCGATTCGAGGTGGTAGACAATGCGAAAGCTTCCAGAAGGCCTCTCCCAACAACAAGAGACGCACCGGTCAGCATTGTATTTCTACTTTGACTAAAAGGTAAGGAACTTTACCATTGGAAACAAGCAACTATGAACAAGCTAAGGCGATCCCAGGCTGACAACCATTCTGGCTGATGATGAATCTGTGATACTGCAAGCTGCAGCTGGTGTCTGCCTAAATTTCATAGCACCCTCCTCTTCGCCCTACCTTTTAGCTTAGTAGCTTGCTATGTTCATTCCTCAAGCGATGGCCATACCTCGCCTGCTTTGCTTCGCGCATCGCCGTGCGTGCAAAGTAAGACTACTGCCCGTCGCGCCTGGCCTGCTTTCGACAAAATATGAGCGCCCAATGTGACGGCCGGCTCCCCTCCAGCCCGGGTTCGCACCGCGACAGGGTTTGAGGGTTTTGTAGATTAAGACGTCACTCCTCCGGATCGGATCCCGGTCACTGAACTTGAGCTTCGTGCGGCCGCGGCACTCGTTGGCCCGCGGCGCTCGCTGGCCCGCCTGTGGCCAAGAATACTCATGACAACTGCCAATTGAATGAAGCGAAATATGAATGGCATAGCCGGAAGCACTTGTGGTTCCCAAGATAGCGAGTCCGGCTGAACGTGATTGCATGAGGGCTTGAAATTCTGGAGGCACATGATCCGCTTTCCACAGTGACAGTCATTCTCACAGAGGCTATCTTCCTTTGTTGCCAGTCATGCATGGTACGTTCATTTCATGTGCAGCGCCGGGTAGAAGAACGTCATTATAGATGCAGGCAATGATCAAGAATCGCATGCTGAACGGATCCGTACCGTGGGCATTTGAATGAGGAACGAAATGTAGACAATGTGTATATTTGACTATTCGATCCGGCCGCGGGCGTGTGGTGCCGGTCGGTAAATCGGTGATGCAGTGTGTAGGAGCGTGCCAATTCCGATTTGCTCAGGCCGAGTTAACATCGATGATATCAGAGTGCAATCGCTTAAGTTTGAAGTTTCATATATAGGACGGTCGACTGTGGACAGGCGTTTCCGAAGTACTTCATCATGCAGACACATTCTGTCCTGAAATATGCTTAATGACTCCTCCATGGATAATATCACCCAGTTGTCATGCACATGGATGACAAGTGACAGACCGTCGCTTGGAGGAGCCTGTTGATCGTAAGAAGATGCGCATCAACATTACAAAGATGGAGTGCAGGTGACAGACCAGAGGACCTAGACCTGTACTTGTAGCTTAGCACACGTGATGAGCTCTCAGGTGCCCCCAAGAAAGATTTACTCAAGCGTTCATATTGACTATTCCGACACTGGTATAGCGAAAGCACAGCTTTTTTGGTCCATTGAAGGACATTCACGTAATGTGCTGCGAAGTGGTCAATTGTTCATGTGACTTGGCTTGTTCACGTCACCTGTAAAGAAGGTCTAATCATCTGGTTGTTTACTTCTGCAATTCTTGAATGCCTGTCAGGTCTACTTCATTTGGGTAACGGCGGCGGGACCCTGGCGCTGATCTCGACCAATGCTGCTCTAATATTCAGAGCGCATCTATGCGAGTATTGTGTGCTTCGTGAACAATTCTTAGGACATCGATAGAACCATGGAAGCATCAAGGAAGATCTTAGAGCTGCCGCAAGCGCTTGCCACGTGACGCTCTGATATCGCCCATCAGGAATCACTTGACGTCATCTCCTTGGCCCGTAATGACTAGCTCCGAGTTGGAATGACCGCAAAGGAAGACGTCCGTCACCTGCAAATTAACACGTCCACACTCGAGTTTCGACAGGTGAACTCCTCTTATCCGAACAATGTACTGAAAAACCCTAGCAGGACACTCTAAACAATTCTAAATCTGCTCATTCCGCTCAACGCCCACGGCCAGACTGCTGACGTCGCAGCGCAACCGTGAAGTAGACAACATCCCAAGCGGACACAGTTGCCTATAGCTTCGCCGCTACCCGCACCAGCTCGGCTCAAACAGCCTCACAAGCCCAGCGTTCGCACCGCTGACGTCAGTACGGGCGCTGCTACATATATGCTTTGATGAAGACGGAACGGTGGGTCTTTTGTCGTACTCCCTGTAAAATGAGACTCCCGTACACGTTCGAAATGTATGGAGTCGCGCGTTTGTACTAACAAGTGTCATGAGTAATACTGAAATAGTGGTAGCATAGATTTCAATCCCAATTAGGATTGACCCGTGCTCAAGATGTCTTAGCGGACCAAAGAATTCTGTTCATGCTTTTCGCAAAATCCTGCTCCTAAAACATTTCATAACGAGCAACCTCTGCGATTGAAAGTTCCGACCAAGAAAACAAATTCGGCGCACGGGCTGTACGGCTAGTCATGTCCTTTATCTTTAAGCAGGCAGCTGTTGCAACGTACATCATGGACAACAGAGTAGAGTCTTGACTCATTGAAAACATTTGAGCTGGTGCACCGTTCTTATTTGAAACCATTCTACGTTACGTTCATTCTCTTGACTTGGAATCGTATGAATTTTATGACTGTTTACTTTCCAGACGCCTTAATCTTTCTGGGGATCCGGCAAGGGGCTCGACCGTTCCAGTTGGATTAGCAACTCCGTGACAGAGCCCATCGTCTTCTAATCTGTACTGTCAGATGTATCTACCTAAAGCAGTTAGTCTTTCACTTCCACCAGCATCCTGTCAAAGTCCGCAAGCAGCTTCTTGTCTAGGTTCTCAACCTCCGCTCTCTCTAGTTCCTTCTTCTTCTCCTCCAAAGCGACCTCGTACGCTTTCCTCTGTCTGTCGAACAGAAACCCGACAACCGAAACGCACGCACTCATTTGCACCGGCCTGGAATGAAGCACCAAGCCATAGAGCGTGCCCGGCGCTAAGCCCTGGGGATTGGCCGCGGCCGCGGCCGCGAGCAGCCGCGCGAGGGGAAGGACCATCGGCGCCGCGTACAGGAGCGCTCTCCAGGAAAACGTCAAGAGTTCCCACCGGGGCACTGGCGCCTGGAGGGGAACCCTAGAGAGTAGCGGGAGAAGCGCCACCCGGGCGTAGTCCAGTCTGAGGGCGTAGGGATGGAGCCTCCAACTCAGGGCGGGGCAGAGAGCGACTAGGAGTCGCGAGAAGCACGCGCAGTTCCAGGGAAGACGGCAACTAGGCAGGCGTGCTTTGGCAGCCCGGTCGATTGTTGCGAGGGTGGAGCATAGCCCGGAGAGAACGCTAATGAGGAGGGTAACGCAAAGAGCTGACTCGAACCGGGCGGCCAGAGTTCCCCCAATGACAGAAGGCCGCAAACTGAGCGCAAGGACGACTAAAGGCAGCGGTTGGGGAAGCGCGAGGAAAGCCGCCGCGAGGAAGAAACTCGTCCCCATACCTAGTTGCTTCGCCCCGTAGACAGCGCTCGTGCACCAGAAGAGCGTTGCGACTGTGCTCCAGTACAGCCCGACTGTCACGAGTGCCTGGAGAATCCCCCCGAGCTGCTGAAGAAGGCCGTTGCAGAACAGGCTTATAGTTACAACCAGACCGGGGGAGGCGCCGGGAGATTTGAGAGTGACCAGAAGAGAGGCGGGGGATCCCACTGGACGGTGTTGCTGACGGAGTTGTAGAAATAAACCCGGTTTGTTTTGCGGTCAAAGAGCGTGTGCCAGTCGGGGGGAAGCGCCGGGTCCCGTTCTAGCAGCTGGCCCGACATTCGAGAATCCTTTTCAAACGCTAGCAGCGTGTATTCGGCCGAAAAGTAGGCCAAAAGAGAGGCCAAGCCTTGGACGGCAATCGCATAATTGAGGGTGGCGGCGGCGGGTTTCACAGCGGGGAAGAACGCGCAAACGAGGAGTGCCAAACTGGCAGTGCAAGCGGACAACGCCAGGGAACCGCCTGAAGGACCCGGCAAGCGAACCTTAAGGATAGGCCGCTCGGTCTGTTCTCCCGGGCTGTCGTCTCCTAAGCTCGACGTCTTGCTAGAGCTACTCTCTAGTTCCCCCTGCTTTCCTTGCCCCAGCTGGGCGCTTCTTCCACGCTTTAGTTCCCCCAGCTAGGCTCCTTCCCCACTGGGTGCAGTTTCCCGGGCTGTTTTTGCCGAGAGTCGCGTAAGCAGCTGAGCCCGGTTCATAGGCCCCCCGGGCAGTCTGTGGCAGAGCGTCAAACACATTCGAAGCCTTGCAGCCCAAACGGCGATCAGTAGAGATTGTAGAGAGGCAAAGTGACTGACGTCTCGTGGGAGCAACAAAAGCGCCCACTGACAGCTGATGGGCTGTTCTGCGAATGAAGGAAGGGTTACTGAAGGGTGAGCTCTTCTCTGCCGCCAGCCGTGCCTTCCAACTTGAGGTGGTAGGCAGTGCAAAAGCTCCCAGAAAGCCCCTCCCAACCAGAAGGGACGCACCGGTCAGCATTGTACTGATCCTAGGTCACTACAAGTAAAAAGTCTTCGCTTTTCGAAAGCACACCACTTTTGATGGGCTAAGGCGAGCAGAGGCTGGCACCCATTCTGACCTGTTATGAAACTGCGACACTGCAAACCGCTGGTGTCTGCCTAGATATGCTAGCACACTCCTCTTCCCCCTTCCTTTTAGCTTGCTGGATTCCTGCTGGATTCATCACTCATTGGATGCCCATACCTCGCCTGCCTTTCCTTGCGCCTCGCCGTGCGTGCAAACCACTGCCCTTCGCGCCTGCTTCCGTCAAAAGGCGAGCGCCTGGCGGCCTGCCGGCCTAGTGAACCTACCTAGGCCGCCTGACTCGGGCGGCGGCACATTTTGCAAAGACGCTGAGGCCTGAGCTAGCTACGTACATGGCGGCTCCCCTGCCCGGGTTCGCAACGCGACAGGGTTTAAGGGTTTGGTAGGTGACGTTACTCCTCCGGATTCCGGTGAACTTCGTGCGGCCGCGGGCCCGCGGCGGTGATTGGCCCGCGTGGCCGAAAATATGATTCTGACAAAGTGCCAATTTTATTCGGTTATACGGGGCAGTGCGGAAAGCATTGATTCACCAGTTGTGTTCTCAAGATAGCAAGTGGATGACTGACTGCATGAGGGCACAGTGAGGTTTGAGGCACATATTCCTCTTTCCACTGACTGTGAACAACATCCGCACAGAGGCCACGTTCCATTATTGCAAGTCATGGTACGTATACGTGCATACTATCCTAGCAGAATAAGAGAATTCCGACATCACGTAAGGATCGACGTCTGATCGCAGTTGCCGTGCAATCCATACTTCAGGCATGAACCTGTCAGAACGAAGTGTATAAACAATGTATGCAAATCGCACAAACACTTCGCGCTACAAATTTGCTCACGGCTTTGGCAGCTCGCGGCGGTGGCATGCCTGGCTGAGTATGTTAATTGATAGCAGTGCGTAGGCGTCAATATCCGACATTGCCTAAACAGGGCTACTTTTGAGTCAACATTGTGCTAGCTGATCAATTGCTCATGCATGAAGTCTCACAAAGGACGCTTCATTATAGTGCATGGACAGGCGTTTCACCATGCGGACATTTTTCTGTTCTGAGATGCTGATTTGTACTCGATGGATGTTAGACAGGTGTCATGCACATGGATGACAAACGAAGACGCTCGTAGGAGCCTCGTGCCGATGTTGACTTCTCTAACAGCCCGTGCCGATCGAAACAAGATGCGCATAACATTACAAGGATATATTGAGCAGTCGGACGTGATAAGGTTTCAGGTGCCCACAGAGTAAGATGCATTCACGTTCGCGTTCATTTTTGATGATCGACAGTGGCATGGCAAAAGCACAGTTTCTTACAGGTCAAATGGGAGGACATTCACGTAATGTGCTGCGAGGTGGTTAATTGTTCATGTGACTTGGCTTGTTCACGTTACCTATAAAGATGGTCGGAGCATCTAGCTTGTTGTTCACTTCTGCAAATGTGAACTGCCTTTCAGGTGTGATTCATCTGGATCGCGAGAACCTGGCGCTGATCTCGACCAACGCTGCTCCAATCAGAGCGCATCTATGCGAGCATTTGTGTGCTTCGTAAACAATCATATATGACATCGATAGAACCATGGAAGCATCAAAGAGAATCTTAAGGCTGCCGCAAGCGCTTGCCACGTGGCGCTCCGATATCCCCCATAAGGGATCACTTGACGTCGTCTCCTTGGCCCGTGACGACGAGCTCCGGGTTGGAATGACCGGAAAGGAATAGGTCCGTCACCTGCAAACCATCAGGTCCACACTTTAAGTCCCAGAATGTCAAGTCCTCTTTACCTGACGAATCGGAGACAGGCGGAATCTGGCCGAAATTTCTTGATCGATATGAAATCTGCTCATTCCACTATCGACGCCCAAGGCCAGACTGCTGACATCACAGCGCACCCGTGAAGTAGACGATATCGTAAGCGGACTCAGTCGCCTATAGCTTCGCCGATATCCGCACTAGCCCGGCTCAGAAGGCGCAAGGCACAGCGCACCTACCGCAGACGTCAGTACGGACACTGACACGTATACGCTGATACGTATGCACCCTGCTGACGCTGGCGTCAAACAAGTAACCCGACGCCACGGTCAAAACTGATTCTAAAGTAGGCTCACCTGAGAGCATCCGAAGAGCCGCAGATTGTGCAGGCGCCTGCATGAGTCCGCCAGCAATCCGAGCCCCTGGTCCGACACGTGGCGGCACCACGACACGTCGAGTGACGTCAGCGAGTCGCGGGAGTGCTTAGCCAGGGCCATCAAGGTGGCGTCCCCGGCCTGTAAAAGTTCCAAACGAGGTTGAACAAGTCAGAGTGAAGTCCGCAATAGGTAAGAAAGCTGGCAAGAAGCCAAAATATCTTCAAAGGCTTCCGATGGGTCGTGCGATGGTGAGCTTCTAACAGACCGTATATTCGTCAGCAGACCACAAGTCCAGCTTTAGCGAGATCGACCAACCGTTGTGATCTGCAGTTTGCTTTCACAAAAAGGCCGGAGAAAGTCGAAGCAATCAAAACAGTCTTTTCTTTTGCCAATGGCAGTCGCAGGAGGATCCTAAGCTAAACTCGTCAATTAGTGTACACCCACCCATTTGTCCTTAGTGACGTCGAATCCGAGGGGAAATAGTTACAAAAAGCTCTTGAATGTCACTGGGGACGCTCCTTGACAGCCTAAAAGGACCGGTTGCTCGTAAGTAATCATTGCTTTCCAGCCAGCTCCAACCGATGACATCCTACTTCTCTACATTGAAGCGAGGGAGAAGAGACACGGGAAAAGCGCAACTTGCATGGCCCGAAAAGGAAGATGAAAGGGCAATTTGGAAAAAAAAACCCATTTTGAGATCCGTTTCGGCAACGTGCACCCACCTTGCGGACGTTGTTGACGCTTAGGTGACGTAGTTGACTGCCAGAAGCCGTCACAAATGCCGCGAGCGCCTCGTCGCTGCACAGATAACGTAAGCGTTTGCTTGCATTCCTGGAGGTTACACTCTTCTTGACTTTTCGTTCGGAAAAGGGTAATCACGAGGCTTCGTAACGAGCGAGTTCGTTCGGAGAAGGTAATCACGAGGCTTCGTGATGAGCGAGATTGCAATCATCACCTGCAATTGAACCCGATTGAGGCAGAGGAGGCGATAAATTGGCCGTCCACTTGACAGAAACATTTTGGGCACATTGTCAGGCATCTTATTGGGCACAGCTTAGCATCTGAACCATCACAAATGCGCAGATGAAACTCAATCTAGGTCCTAAGCACGAGGACTTACTCGACCGACATAAGGGGGCACCTTCTGAACAGCAGAAGGCACACCAACCAAACTGGACAGCAGAAAAGCTAACCAGTGCGATCCAAGCTTTAACTAAATAAGGCAATGGAGCGGCGCAGAACGAGGCGTAACGGGATAACGCAGGACGAAACACCGAACGAACCCACGTAAGCTTGCCCAACAATAACTACAGGTGGCGCGTCTTGCGGTACCCGTTGGCCAGACCGCAACGCCCGTTCACAAACAGGAGCGGGAACAGAAGGGAAAAGGAACGGAACACCGGAACTCACATGAACTTGCCCCGCCGCAGTGACAGGTGGCGCACTCCCCGGCAGCCATCCGCCAGCCGCGCGATTGCAACGTCCGTCAGTTTCACCGCGCCGTCCAGATCGAGCAGCGCCAAATTCGGACAGCATGCTGCAAGGGCCGCGACCGCGGCGTCCGAAACGTCCGACGCGCCGGCGAGGCGGAGCTCCTCCAGGCCGGACCCGAGCGTAACGCCCAGCTCTTGGACCAGGGCGTCCGTTACGTTGGAAACGGCGGAGAGGTTGAGGCGGCGGAGACCGGTGAGTCGGAGGAGGCTCGGCTGGATGCGGGCTGGGGACAGAACGGGGAGAACAAATGAGCAGCGAAACGAGACTTGTTGAGCAAGTTGGGCTCGGAACGAAACGAGGGCGAATTCGGTTTTCCACCCAAAAAACGAAGGGCTCAAAGAAGCCTGTACTGCTGTGGAATGATCGTGACTCCGAGTGGATTGAGCTTTACACGCGTCACAGAGGGTTTGCAGATGGACCAAAGAAACAGGACAAAAAGTAACCAAACCTTTTAGCAGAAAAACAGGGCTGTGTGGCTGAAATACTGAAGGTCCAAAAGAAGTGGAGGTAGTGCCTCGAAGAACTCCTCAAACGTTTTCGAGAAGACAAAATGCGCACCAAATAAGGAAAAGCTGAAATTCGGCCATACTCGACTTTCGCCGCGTTTGAGCTTGAGCAATTGATGCTGTCCGAAAACTCACCCCCGTCCAGCTGCGCGCAGCCCTCTAACGACAGACTCGTCAGCCGCCCCCACAAAGCGTCCGCAGTCATACGCACCGCGTCCTCCGTCAGCAGGGAGCACTTGCGCAGCTCGAGTGACGTCACTCCAGGAGCGGCCGCCAAGAGTTTTTCCAAAGCCGCGTCGGTTAGGCGGTAGGCACCCCGCAGGGAGAGAGTGGTGAGCTGCGGGAGGGTATTCACACCACCCGCGAACGTGGCGGACAGGCCTTGGTCGGTGATGCAGCGGCCGCACATGCCCAAGTCGAGCACCTGAAGCAAAAGCGGGGGGGATGTAAAAACCTTCTCTGAGAGGGGAATGGTTGCAGAATGGACGAGAGGAGCTGTCAGGGTCAGGCTGTGCTTGTTTCTGAGGAAATTGCACTAAGGAAGGAGAAGGGAGGGGCAAGAACGCGAGTTGAGGGAGGGGGGCCTTGCAAGGTGAACGACGTAGAGTTGATGAACTCTCAGCGCTTCCAGATTGTGGCAAAAGAAGCAAGTCTGGTGGCAGCTTAAGTTTCAAGGAACAAGCTTCTGCCCAGCTTCAACTTTTTCTCAATTGCGCCCGAAATGTCAACGGGAATACACAACGGAAGGGAATGTGTCACAGAAGCAGAAGCTGGGAGAGAAGAAGACCAAATCTGCATCTTACCTCCAACCTCTGCGTGTCCGTCTGCGCCATGGCTTCCGTCATCTCCGCCTCGCCCACCAGAGTGCAGTCCGGCAGCACAATCTCCCCGGGGGATCCCCGGAAGAACAGGCTGAGCGTCTCGGGAATCATCTTCCGTCGCGCACAGAACCCCGCCGCGACACGCTTCCTCACCGCATCCGGAATGCCCTCCATCGACTCAACGAACTCGGCATTATCCACCAACAGGCGCACGCTCATGTCGAAAAGCGAGGGGATCGGACGACGACCAAAAAGTGCGGCAGTGTCCAGTGTTCGAGAGGGGGTCCAGTCGACCACAGGCCGGGGGGCAGAATCCTCTGGCAAATGCTCCCCCCGGGCGGCTGCAGCGGCGCCACGCTCGCGCACAAGCTTGCGAGCGGTGGAGAAGGGGCCGGGCCAGTCCGGCTCTTCGCCCCCTGAATCGTCGGCTGCCACCTGGCGCCCTCGGGGGATGCGTGGGGGGGCATCCTCAGCCTGCCAAAACAAAGGAATCTAGATTAATTGGCATGATAGATCTGTGCCATAAAGCGAGTAGTGAGTCCAAAATGGGACAGCAAAATGCAGTCCCAATAGGAAAGCGTATGCCCTCCTTTTTCAGGCACCTTTGCCGATTCAAGATAAGGCTGGCAACCAGTCCTCAGGCTTACAATTCCACAAACATCAGAGCAGATACTTGCCTATCTATCACAAGTGTACGCCTTATCTACTTGTCAACGGCATACATGCAACACCCGGAGCGCAAGTGTTTTTCAGGCCTCACTCTAGGAGGCCTAACTCGACAATTTTCATTCGTCGAATCTGGAACATGTTTGTGCATTCTAGTCGGGGCTTGTCACTCTTGATCTTCGCGCTTTCCAAAACATGGCTCTTTTGTCCTCCCAAAGCACAACCCAGAAGCCCAAAACCACTCAAGCAAAGAAACACGCCCTCTGCTAGAAGGACAAATCAGGATGTACAAGGCTTCTGAAAAATCGGTCTTATCCACTGAGACTTCCCCGCTACTCTCTATGAGACACATGCTTAGCACAAGACATTCCTGCAATTCAACCAATATGCTCCGGTAACACCTTTGCCGATTGACAGAGGTGACACCCAGAGGCACCCACCTCTTCATCCCCCTCGTCCTCCTCCGCAACATGATCATCCCCCGCAAAATGGGCGAAATGCGCAGCCCGCCGCCGCGCAATTGCCAAGAAGCGCGCACGCGCCCTGTCCCCCTGATCCTGGTCGCCGCCCACATCATCTACGCCAGCTGGCGCATCCCCAGCACCGCCACCTGCATCGACAGCTGGCGCCGCCCTGTTACGCCTGCGGTTTCGGGGACGCTCGACCTCAGCCCCGTCTGCAGCATCCACTGACTGCTCGCCAGCTGGCGCCAGCTGTCTGCCGCGTTGCTCGGCCGTTCCTGAGGGACCTGCTTCTCCGTCGTTCTCGACCTCCGCATTCTTCCGCTTCCGGGGGGCAGGACGCTTCTTGCCCTTCTTGTCCTCAGAGGCACCATTTGCTTGTTGGGCTACTTCGCCAGGCAGGTGTCCGTTCACTTTGGCCCCTGGGGGTAGTCTGCCCCCTGCAATCAGTTCACTGTTTTTTGTCTTGGCCTGTGCCCCCCCCATCTTTGCCTTTCCCTTGTTGACTCTCAAAGCAATTGGATTGTCCTCATCTGTCTCAAGCTCAGGCTGTGCAAACCCAGTCTGGCCCCCACCAATTGTTGCCCCAATCCCTCCCAGAACCTTGGCAGAATTACTCTCAGAACCCTCTGCAAAGCCCTCCTCCGAAACCCCCCCTGACCCACTTGCGACTTCCTCCCCCTCGGTCTGCTTGAAGGTTGCCGACAATCTGACCTTTCTTGTCCGTCCACTTGAGACAGAGTCTTGCCCAAACCCGGCGCCATTTCTTTCCATTTTCATTTCTGGTGTCCGCAAATCCAACTCGGCCCCTTCGTCCAATTGGAAATCAAACACTGCTTCCTCCTTCTTCACCGTCACCTCGCTCTCATCTTTGGCCTTCCTCTTCCTCGACCCACTGACACCATTCACTCGCTTCTGCTCCAAACTGCCAGCTGTATCTTTACCAGCTCGCTTGCGCAAAGTCCTCGTCCGGACTCCCTCTTCATTCTGAGCCGGTGTCACCGGACTCAGCTTCCCAACCAGGGCCCGCCCTTGGACTGGGCTGCTCAGTCCGTCCAACCTCTCGATTTTGGCTTTCCCGTTGGCTTGCACTTGGCTAACCAATCCATCCAACCTTTCAACCTTTTTTGTCCCCATGGATTGCGCAAGTGCAGCCGATCCATCCAACTTCTCCACCTCCGCTTTTCCATTCAGTTCTCTGCTGCCATCTAGAACTCCATTCGCCACACCCCGCGTTCGCACACAACCCTTCTCCTCCTCGTCCATCTTTGATGACACTACCTCTGTGTCAAACCTGCCCTGACCATACCCAGAGCATAGCGGGCAGGCCCAGTCGCCATCGGGCAGCCCGTCGCTGGTGTCAAGCGCCGGCGTAAGACAGGTATCGTGGAACGATCGTGGGCAGTGGTCGCAGCACAAAAGGTCTCCGCCGTCTGAGCAGACAAAGCAGTCTGAGTCGTTGGAATCAACCGACGCAGCGGCCATGGCAAACGTTGCTTCAGCGCCGCTCCTTTCTGAGCGCCTCTCAGTGCAAAATGGCAGGGCACAATAGAGGAGGCGCTCTGCCGCCCCAGCTGAAACTTAAAGAGTGTCCTCGAGTTCCTTGTGCCAAGATTGGAAATGAAGCCTCGCAGTCTGTTGGCAGTGTTGCGCAGCTCAAACAGGAAGCACCGCAGGCTACATCTGCAGATTCTCCCGCGAGTTGCGTTCCCGTGGGCAGTTTACAGCCGTCCAGATTGGCGCGAAATGGTAACGGGTTTGTTTGCGCGTATCTTCACATCTTGACGAATCAACTGGTGCCACATCATCAGCCGTTGCCATGTGGCTAAGGGTATGTACCAATTTGTCGATGGTACCGTACCGGCGTAGCTGGCCTTCGAAAAATTTGGGCATTTCCTGAAGGCAACAGGGGCGGCTAGAATGGGGTGAAAACACGAAGCCACCTTGCAAAACTACAGGGGCGCCTGAGGTGCCGCACAGAAAATCATCAGTATTGCAACTGAAGAGATGAGAGCCTATGGGAAAGGACTAGGAAGGTCGTGAGTTTGTCAATTCCTAGAACAGAGTGCATGCATGTGCTAGCAGACAATGGAGTCGCTAGCAATGAAAGGTGCAATGCCAGCAGGCCAGAAGCTCAGCATTGGGCGGACTTCACAGGCAACTCACCGCTGCTGTTCTCAGAGTGCCGCCCTGCATCAGCACTCCAGAGTCCTCGTCAAACCGCCGGTCAGTGCACAAGCGAGTTTCTCAAAGAGTTTCTTGGGAATAGGATGTATTGGTTACTAGTTGGGCACTTTCCAGATTGCTGTTTCCTGCTGCGATGGAAAGTCCGTTGTGGTGGTAGTAAGTCTTTCTTGCCCTCGATTGACATCATCAGGGTCGCCTCATTCTGTTGCACGTGTCAGATAAAAGAATGTAAGTATTCCACGCCACAGATCACCCCAACAAAAGCTGAATTTCAGACCCTGTAAGTTCCATCATGTTTCCTGATTGGGGACGCACAGACTGCAAAGCCTGTTCCGTGAAAGGCCTCCATGCCGTACCATCACCTCATCGCAGGTCTTTCTTTTTTCCCAACCACCTCGCCAAGCCAGTCGCGCACAAAGCAAGGCAGTATGCGGTGGTAGCCACTTGTGGTGCAGCAAGCACAGTTCGTTCCTGGGTGCGTCCTCACATTCCCTTCTTGAAGCGGTAAGTTTGACTGCTCAACAGAGCCTGCATGCACCTCTTGTAGCCGTCCACTTCAATCTAGCCTTTTCTGGCAATGCACGATTGATGCAAAAGATGCAGAAAGAAGATGGACTCGAAACAGGGTCCCCAAGAAGTTGCCACAGCTACCGTAGCCTGAGTCGAAGAAACTGACTCTACATACACGAGCACAAAATCAAGTGTGGATTGTCAAGGGCAACAGCAAAGGCACATCTCTGTGGGCACTTGTGAAAATCCTTGTTCCTTTGAATTGCAAAAGCGCCTTAGAAAGGTGAATAGGGGCCACTAAGAAAGCATCTTTAGTCATATTGTACCGGACTTTGAAAAGTGGCGCGCATATCCTTGAATGGCTTCCTGAAGCGTGCGCATTGAAAACGTTGAGTGAACCTTGCTTCAGGCTTTGCCGCAACGACAACCGCTCAGGCGAGCACTCCTGATTGTCCGAGCCAGTAAGGGGCCTCTTTCGGTGCCAAAACCACGGGTGCCAATTGAGGTGTCAAATGTAAGTAGACACCTACTTTCTCGCAGTCAGATTGAAGATCATATGAATTTGGTTCTGGTTGAGACAGCTGGGGTCCAGCATCTTGCCCAGCTGGGAGATCTGAAGCTGTCTTCGTTTGGCAGGTTCTCAGCGGTAAAAAGTATGATGACAATAAGATCTGATCATTGTTGAAAGCAAGCTCTACCTTAGGATTGCTCCTGATGTCTACAATGATAGTATCCTTTTACAGCAATAAACTACTGGATCCTGGAACGAATGACCTGCCATTACTGCCTCTTTGCGAGTTTTCCTTGGTCATTCTCATGGGTTTTCTCGTCATCCATTGCCTGCTCTTCCTACCTATTTCGCTTTCTACTCCTTGTCTCCTTGGTCGCTGTGCTTTTGTGTCCAAGAAGAGAGACTAGTCTTGAAACAAGAGCAAGACTATTCCATGTGCAACATGAATTCCAGCTCATAGTACCACCTCATCTTGCTGACCAACATCAGTTTTGGGCTCCTCTTGCAGATTCTCACCGTTCTTACCACAGTCTTCTTGGTCACCAGCGAACCCCTCTTCCACTCAGCTGGGCTTACGGGCTCGGAATTGCATGTGAGCGCGCCTTTGTCACCCCTTGGATTTCTTTGCGAACCCGTTTCTATACCCAGTTTCCGGCGAATCTTCTGTTACTTCGTTACAAGGGCAAATACGCGCGCTGTGCTTTTCGATGATGGTTGGGGGGAAGAACATGCTCGCTTCAATTGCTCAATATCGGAAAATCGGAACACGAACCAATCATTGAACTCTTCTTGAACCCGTAATTAACAAACGGTCAGAGACTCACATGGTGAACACGTTCATTTATCATCGTGGCTCTGTTTCTGCCTTTGATCCATTTAGGTTGTATTAAGTCTCTTTTTCCTTTCGTTTTGCGTGATACCAGGCACTCACGTGTCCCCCAATTTGCCGGTCAACCTGTATCCTTGTTCACTGCCTCTTGGAGGGATGCACAAGATTCAGACAGGTCGGAAGCGATGCGCAGTCTCAGCCCCCGTTCGGCGCACCATCATCACGACTTAATCGATGCCCTGAGCATCCTCACTGTTTTCCGCGTTTCATCGTACACGTGTGTGCCCAATAGTTTGTCTAGTTTTGTTGGCCCTTTGTCGACGTAATTCTTCGACTGACTCTCGCTTTCACGTTCTCGTTTTCTACCACCCTTTTCCACGCACACGTGGTGGGTTTTCTTGAGTCCGGTTGTAGCACGATCTTGTGCTACCTGCGTTCATCGACTCTCCCCTCATCGTTCCTGCCTTTCCATTCTTAACTTCGAGGTCCGGAGTTGCTTTCTCTGATAACCCTCGTTAACCTCTCTCCATTACTTTTTGACTGCTTCTTTTTTTCTTGCAGCGGACCGTTATTTCCACTCAGGCCATAGGCTTGTTCCTAATCCTGGGCCTTACTGTCCAGTCTTACCTAGACCTGCGTGCGCTCCGGGAAGCCACCAGCGGAACGGAAACGGAGCGGCCGAGCGAACCCAGCGAAGCGCAGGCGGAGGTGTGGTGCCCTCTTTGCACTTTTTTTCTGGTTGTCACCCCGTGTGCCTTTTCGGCGACACGTAGCCCGTAAAACTATGACTGAGTTTCGCTGCGACCATGTGCTTTCTGGGCGACGACGAAAACGGAGCCTCGGCTAAACGGTCGCTCAACGACACCGGCCCTCGGAGGAGGGCGTCAGACTATGTACATCACATGGCTACGAGGCGTCCTCAGGGCATGGGCTTTAGCTTTGATGATGCCGCCACCAAAAGTAGGTTCTCAGAGGAATAGGCCGACCGAACCAGCTGTAAACGGGACACTTCCGAAAGCCCGTCTGTAATGTGAAATGTGGAATGTGAAGCCGTGACCAAGAATACCTCCCAATCGCAGCCCGCTCGGTTCTTTTAGAGGGCTCGTTCACGATTGCAAGGTATCAATCTAATCACGCGCGTTGAGTGGTCTGGCGAGAATGCCAATCTGCAAAGTGGGCTGGATGTGCCAGAATCTTTATCAGGAATGATGGAAGTCTTATTTTGATCTTACCGCAGGTGGTAGATAACGCGGACCTACTAAAGGAGCTGGGCCGCAGTCAACCCAGCAAAGACGAGCTCAAGGTGCCCTTGCCGCCCAACTTTTATACGTCCTTTTCTTGCTTCACATCTGATTCGCGGCAATTCAATTTCTGATTCTTTCGTTGCGCGGACATCGCTTGACATGCTGTTATTCCAAGCGAAAGGACTCGTTCAATTCTGATAGAGGAAGAAGAGAAGCGCAAGGAATATCGGTGCAGCGCTCAGCGTAAAGAGAGGAGGATGACGTGAAGACCGGAGCAAGGACGCATTTCGCGAAAGTGGGCAATTTGTGATCAGCGTGGATCTTCAGGAGGAAACAAGAGTCGAAGAGGGTGGTTTGACTGCAGGAAGCATGCTCGGCATTCGAAGGGGAACCTTTTATCTGGGTCATCTCGGAAAACACGTTCCAGAGGCCTCTCCGAAAGCTTTGGCCTTCCTGCAAAGTCTCGACGACCACGGATGAAGGCTTTCTCTGGCAGACACGGGCCACTGTCAGCAGAACTCCTTCGTTGCGTCCCCTGATCAGATCTTCGTAAATAGAGGTGGCGAAGCACGAAGACGCGGATGCTTTGTAAGTTTCTGCTCTCCCCTCTCATCTCTCTCGAGTGAATACCTCGTCGCTCTCCTTCTCCTTCTCTTCACCAGATTTTTGTAACTAGTGGCGAGGGCAAAAAGACGAAGACGCTCCGGTTGGAGGAGTGGAGCTTGGACGGCGCGCGCGACTACGAGTCGCTGATAGACACCGTCCGAAAGATCGTGCCGCAACTCACGGCGTACCCGCTCACCGTCCTATACCAGGTGCGACAAATCGGGGGAGGTTTTCCTGCTTATAAAGTTAGAGACGGATAGTAGTGGCGGCCTGAAATGCGAGAGGGTACAAGAATTGACGTTTGAACATTGGGAGAAGGTGTTGCCATGAGCGAGTTGTGTTTCGAGAAAAGTCGACGGGGAATCTATGATATCGGTGGCTGATGCGCGCGTCGGTGAAGTTTAAGGCTTGGCTGGAAGCTCAAGTGACCGAAGGATGATACTTTTGGTGTTTGGTAGTCGATGTCAGGCCCAACTTGATACTTGTTTAGCACACGTAACAACTCTGTGTATTCGCGTCTTGCGTCGGACGAAACAACGCAGAGCAGTCTTCAGGTCAGGAAAGGTGTTTCCACCCAAAACACTTCCGGTCATCGAGAAGAATCGCAAACCAAGCCCTCTTTCATACGAAGTGCACTTTGTAGTAGCCGGGTAGATCACTGTAGCCATGCACAGGGCAATCGATGATCATAACACTTTCATCGTCTTGCTTTAGCACAAAGTCGCAGAGATTGACGAAAAAGGAGCCGGGGGGTGTAGCAAAGGGGTCGGAATTTGTTACCAGGCTGTGATGCTATGCTCACAGACAGACCCACTCTGCCAGGTTCGACAAACTGGGGAGTTTTTCCTGCTAGAAGCGGAGGACGACGTCCCGAAGCTGCTGGGCACCGCTGGTTTTGTGTACATACACCCCTCGCCCAGCTGGGAGGTGAGTTGTCCCCGTTTTGCGCGCCTTTTCACACCTCCGGAGTCACGGCCTCAGAGCTGCACGGTGCTTCTAACGTGACGTGTCACAAGCTTGCAGGAAAGTGCGGATTTGAGGCGGGGCCCTGGGAACGTATTATTCTCCGCATCTTCGAAAGTCTGGAGAATCACTTCCATAATATCAAACCTGGATGTCTGGCTGTTGTAAGCCAGAGTAAGGGCGGTCAGCCAGATACGGTAGCGGGCTCAAAAAGATAATGATCAAGCAGTTTGATGGAAGCGCATTCGATGGCTCTTGCAGTCGGTTATGGCAAACTGCACTTCAGTAGATATAAAACTCGATCGTCTTCAACGATGCGCAGGGTTTATTCTTTTAACCAGTGGTTAGGTGCAGCCCACGAGGCTTTGGCTTTTGCTGCGTCTGCATCTGTGGTCCACCGGGGAGCGCAAAGACCAACCTATCTGCACTCTGATGTTAACGTTCCTACCGTTGTCTTGCAGTGACAACGCTCCACGAGTTGCATAGCACGCCTTTGCGAGTTGAAGACGCCACGTCAGCAGCTCAGATTTGATCAGCCGCTGCGCCCCACCAGACTCTCAACGCTGTACCACCATCCGCCCCTTATATCCAATTTTAGTATGTATTAAGTTGGTTAGGTCAGGTCAAAAAAGCGTCCCCGAAAGATGTATATGCACAATAATCAGCTGTAGAGTACCATACGTCACCGAGCCCATGTGGACTGGAATCTAGGTTGGAGGCCTGTTGGGGCACAAGTTAAGGTGCGTTTGTATAACCAGAATAATGTTGAGATAAAGTCCAGCAAAGATGTCTGTATCTTCGGAGCAGATCAAAAGAATCCCCGAAATGCTGTCATGCAGTCCCTTACATTTTCGTCGGCGAGCGGGCTGCAGAATTTTGTTGGTGCTGTGTCCGATGCCAGGCAAATCGCGTACTTCCTTATGAAGCATCAGTGGGGCCAGATAGGACAGCTGCGCACCTATCGGTGGCCACGCTACGACTCGTTTGATCGATATCGGCAAGGACTTGGCCTTAAATAAGGCACACGAGGAAACACGTACTTAGGATTAAGTACGCCACAAATTAAGGACCCTGACAGCATTCATGCTGCGGGCAGGCATAGTCTACTAGCAATTCGGGCCAAGGTGACCGTACCGCATATGTCGATTCTGTAGTAGATTCTTGCTGTCCGTTCCTTTCTCTTTCGATATGGTTTCCATTCGACCTTACCGTTGTCAATCAAAATCTGCGGCTTTACAAACTAGTCTTACAGACAATCTGCGAATTTTGAAGAAGATCAAAGCATGGGGGCGGCCCGGCTGTCCCCACTGGCCCAGGTTCTGTAATCAATCAACGCCACAGCCCCCATCCTGCATGAGAGTGCAAGAAAAAGTGTCGAACTTGCATCAATGAACGGGATTCACTTATGAAGCCGAACACACCCATGACCGTCACAAAAGACTGGCGACAAAGCAAGGCTTACGCAACATCCTATGGGCTGTCATGCGGTATGGTGTCGCTGCGGCAACGCCTCGGTTCCGCTATCCCAAATCGCACAATTACGCAGACGCGTAGCTCATCATTTGCAGCTAAACAAAACTAGCTGGCTATACCCCCCCCCCACAGGTAGCTTGTGGAAGGTAGCTCATGAAGCTAGGTTGTAACTCAGGTTGAAGAAACTAGGGTCGACTTACTTTCGCTCAACCCGCAAGGTTATTGGTAGAATATTCTTCAGAAGGCTTCCAAGAACGCTGTTGTTTAGAAGACAATCCATTTGGCCCCCACTCGCACGTACTGCGACGATGTGAGGCTCCTTTACACGCCCATAATCACACAGGTCTTGGTATTCCATGGCACGATTATGAAGTGAGTGTTGGAGTCTTCAATACCCAAAGCTTGCTACCTGCCTCCTACGGTTATTCACGGTACCAGCTCCTTATGAAGGTTTGAAAATCGTTCCGCATCTTCGAACACCGTCAAGCGGTCTCTGTTCGATCAAAGCACTTGCGCAAGCACAGTTTGTAAAACACGATTCCGCTCTCTTTGGCCAACGAAGTGCAATATAGATATAGCATCTACACCTAAGAGTTCCCATCTCCCAACTTTCGATCGAACTCTTCTAATGCCTTCCGATCTAAATCCTCCTCCGTCACCATCTCCTCGACCTCGTTTCTTTCGCTTTCCTCCAGCCGTGCCACGTAAACATCTCTTTGCCGCCGCATCAGAAAAGCCACTACCGAAACGCAGGCGCCAACTCGTAACGGTCTCGACCCGCAAACGGTCGCCCAGAACACGCCCAGCGTCAATGGCGTTTCAGCGGTCGCGGCGGCGACCAGCCGCGCCAGGGGAAGGGCCATGGTCGCCGCGAAGAGGATTCCGGCCCAAGACCGCCCAAGGAGCTCCCACCGGGGAACAGGGACCGGGAGGAGATAATCGAACGGCAGCGGGAAAAGCGCCACCCGGGAGAAACCCAACCGCAGCGCCGACGGCTGCAGCCGCCAGCTGAGCGCGGGGCACGCCGCGGCCGCGAGGCGTGCGAGCGCGCGCGCGTCCCAGTGCGCGAGGTCGCTGTGCGGCAGGCCCGCGCGCGCGGCTTGGCGGACGGCTTTCAGGAACGAGCGCGCGCTCGGGATCAAGGTGAATGGAAGCGCGAAGCAGAGCGCGGTTCCGAACGCGGTCAGGAGAAACGCTTTGCGGGCGATTAAGGAAGGGAGTAGACGACCCAGCTCAATGATGAGAAAGGGGATGGGGGCGGGCAGCGCGAGTAAGGTTGCACTCAGCGCGAGGGAGAAGCCGAAGCTTGACTTCGACTGAAAGAGGGACGTTGTACACCATACGAGTGTTCTCAGCAGAGAGAAATAAACCCCCGTCGTAAGGACCGGAGCGAAGAGTACCGCCAGTTGGTGCCAGAAACCGCTGATTGCGTAGGATAGCATGCCCCCCCTAGTTACACAGCCCCCGGGCGCATTTACACTGTCGGCGCCTGGGCTCGGATGATCCCACTGGGCGCTTCTCTTGGCCGAGTTGTAGTAATACTCTCTGAGCGCCTTTGGGTCGTACAGGTTGTGCCAGTCGAGGGGGAGCCCCGGTTCCCTCGGCCGGAAGTGGGAAGTGCTCGGGTGAGTCGCTTCCGTCAGGAGATGCCAGCCGACAGATATGAGAATAGAAAACCCCACCCAATCGAGAAGAAGCATAACGAAAAAGTGCTTTTCGAGGAGTTCGAACGCCTTCACAAAGCAGAAAATACCGACGGCCAGGCAAGATATCCCGATCAACGGAGCCCACATCTCGTTGCCCGGGGGCTTCTGAGGCGGCCTGAGGAACCCGTCGTTAAGCGGTTCTTCTGACACGTGTACAACCACCTCTGCCTTGGAAGATTGGTCTTCTTTTGCCGCGGGAGTCCCTTGTTTAGAAGCTCGCAAAGGTTCCTGATTGACCCTTTGCAACTCTTGCTTTCTCTGAAAGCTCCGGCCTAGCTCTGCCCGTGATAACTCGGAGATTGCCCGGAGAGTCTTCTCCCAGTCCGCTGCCTTTGAATCACTCCGAGCGGTTGAGACCCCTCTGATCGCAGCAGTGGTTCGGCTCTGGCGAATAAACAACGATGCTTCCAGCTCATTACCAGCAGAGGCTGACGTCCCTCTGTGACTATTCCCAACGCCGCAGGCTGTAAATCTGGTCTGCAACATACTTTGTTTTGAGAACAAAAGCACTGCGCTCTTGGTGCTTGTGAATCCAAATACACGCCGGGTTTTGTTCACATGGATAGCGTCTCGACCGGGAAAAATTCCCGCCCCTACCGGCCTTCCAAGGGCCTCTTGCGCCATTGCCAGACTGGCGTTACTACTCACCGCAGGTCTCATGGGGACGTGTGTTCTGAACAAACTCTGAGGCGAGCTTCACGCTGAATGCGCCGCTGGCTGTCATGCGTCGGTAAGAGACCCTGGCGACCGTGGTTAAAAGCCGCAAGCACTAAGACTTAGCGTGATCTGCGAAGTGTTGCCGGATAGCCATAGACTTGAAAGTGGCCGGCCTCTCAGTCGCGGCCGCGTCGCCCACTTCGGTACGAAACCCTTTAAAACCCCGCAGTACCCGAGGACAGGTAAGATCCAAAACCCTGTCGTTGCCTCACTGTCACTGCTGCGCAACCGAGCCGTGACGCGGCGCGCGCGCGGCTTGTGTTCCACCACGGGGACCTGTACGAACACCTACATGAAGTTCCTGGAGACAGGTTAACTGATCCTTCGGCCGGTATCCACGATATGACGATAGGCGCTCGGCGCCAAAGCCCAGAAACAAGGGTTCGAGTCATGGGAACGACTTGACCCTTTTTCTATTGCTCAGAGTGCTACTGGGGATTGCATCAAACCTGATACCGGTGGACGCTGTCCGTCCCAATCTATCTCGGTACTCTGAGATGCACTTTCACTAATCTCTATGGTGCAAAGAATGAGACCGAGCCGCTAGGACAGTCTTGCCCAACAAGTGAAAATCTGTCAATATGAAGCCCGCCAGAGCTTTCTCTATGTCACCTTGTTTCCCTCATACGTCTCGGCCGTTGAATAAGGGCTTGCTTTTGGAAAGTGGCGCATGTTCTCGGAAGGGAAGGACGGCGGCGCCATTGCGATGAGGAACAGAACAGGAACTAGAGAAGGCGATGACCCCATGCGGATCGACACATTTGGACTGCAAGTCGCTACAAAAAAGGGCCACGTGGCTTTTCCGAGCGACCGCAATCGGGTAGATTCCGTGGCGTCCAGTCGTCATATTTAAGACACATCCCACGACTTCTTTCCAAGATTTGTGCTTGGATTAAAGCTTTTTGTGAAGTCCGAACATCCTGATTGAAAGACGGACCCAACCTGGCGTGCAGCCAATGTATTTCTGCACCAAGAAACCAAACAGCTTCCATGCGGAACCTGTTTTGATCAGCCCTTGCTTTTCTGCTAAAGGTCAACTGAAGGAGGTGACTCCTGATCCGAAAAGGAAACGTACTTTCATACTTTCACAGCCAGCCAGACGATTGTCAAGGATTGATTGATCATCATATGGTGCCGGCCAGACTCACATGCATGCGTATGGGGACGGTATAGTACAGTAAGCTTTGAGAATTTATTTTGTGAAGATCTTAGGTTTCGAGCCTGCAGCCGGTTCTTGGCACTGCCGGTTCTGCATCAATTAACACCATATACTCGCGTCCGACGGCCCGGGTCGACCATATGCCATGATGCCGTTCGTTCGACCCACGTTGCGATCTATTTTAAGACGAATCTGTGCGCCGCATCCGATGCGTGGCGCCTCGCCGCGATCACTGGGCGACATGCCAGGTGCCTGCCATGATGCCATAAATATTCTTGAATTGCTTATATAAATCAAGTGTTTCTCACGGGTACGTATACCTTCTTTATGGCTAGTTTCAGGCTTTTGATGCAACAAGCTGCAGGCCGGATCAAAAGAAACTGCCGAGACACATACGCGATCGACCGGATACGGTCAAGACTCAGTGCCTTCATGCCGATTGAGTCATGCTTCGCATCGATCGAATTTGCTTATGAATAAAGATGCGGCTCGAAATACTGGCAACCCGTGATTCGAGACTGGGTATCATCATACTAATCGTTCAGCTTGCTCACTCATTCAGGGCCGATTGATCTGTCACTTCGCAACGTTGCCAGGATACTGAAGCTTAGGCTGCTGTGGCCGAGTGTATAGCGCTCGCCATGTATCCAAGGGATCAGAGGCAGTACTTTATTCGTCCGCCGACAATCCATTGCCCGCTTGTATCAATCAACCGTCCTGCAGATGTCGTCTCATTCCGACGGATGAAAACAATCAGCTCTACTCCTTCTCCAGCTCTGCCCTCGCTCGGCTCTCGCCTGCATTACACAAGTGCATCAAAGTGGCGAATTGTCTATGTTTGCCTACACCCGTTTCTTGCATCAGAAAACCGCTTAAAGACTGGGACGACACCGTAAGCACCCGCTCCGGAAAGCACAACCCTGATCTAGACTGGACTGCGACGTGATTCTAGATGAACCCAGGAACTGCAATCATGTCAATCTGAGACAGACACTCGACTGTTTGTTGGCAGCATGGATCAGGCCAGGCTGCGCAAATTGGAAAAAGTCGCAGTCCGACGGACTATTGACAGATTGGCCACTCTGACCGTGCTCACGTGCTGCCGATCGAATATTTCCCCTCTGCATTCTAGATGGAACCAGTTTGCATTCACGTGCCGGCCTCTCTGCGACATCATTGCAAGCATAAGCGGTGCTTAGCGGCTGAGGGACCCGACTTGCAAGGAGCTTAAGACCAGCAGTTTCGGTAAAGCGACCGAGCGTGAGTCTGTGAATCTTACCCCGCAACTTTCCACGGGCATGTGTAGATTGGCCAGCCTCGGGGCGCCCACAGTCACAAAATGTTTTCTGAAGCGCCAGCCCTGTGCGGCGAATGAGAGGCGTTTCCTGCACGAGGGTCATACTGTGAAGCAAGGTTCAGTTCGAACATCGACCGCTCCAAAGTCCGGGACTACGCAAACTGGATGATACGACTACGCAAAGTGGATAACACGACTACGCAAAATGGATAATACGATCAGCAGATTGCACAGCAATGGCTGTCCACGACACGTCACAGTCCAGGTCACCGACGGCCTCCTTCAACCAGTCTATTTTCAAATCCCACCTCACCACTTAATCCACCTTTCCTGTGGCTCCAAAGACGGCATTCAGCTCCCCGTTGACAAATACTGGCTGCCACCTGGAAGGGAAGAAGGGACGACTTTCACACTTTGAAACGGGGCGCAAGGCACGTAAATGTCCGATGAGTCGAATCGGCGACTTTACGAGCCGCGCAAATCCTACCGGTCAGCCCGGTCATGCCAACTCCACAAAAGCGCGATGGCAACGTGCGTTTCCCACCCTTCCCCTTGGCCACGTGGCTGCATTTAACCACACCTTCGACTTTCTGGTCGAGAGAAGCGGGTACGCTTTTGTTTGAAAAGTCTCAATCAACAGTGACCAGACTTTTCGAAGAGCGCCCTTGCAACCGGGAACAATGACCATATGTCTGAATTGCGCCATACCGCACGAAAAGCCAAAGGGGATGACCAAACGCGTCGGAAACGATTGTGGCGATCCTAACTTGAGATCAAACGGAAATGGAGATGGGCCGCTCGCCTGTGGTAGGTGACTAGCGTCGCGAGCACCCAAACGTTTGCGACGAAGAAGACAAGGCTGGCAACCTGCAGTGGAGCGAAGGGTTGGCCAATCTTGCCTTTCAAGATACAGTGATGCTGCTACAGTGAACGATGAAACAGAGATGAAGTCCGCCGTAGCGAGGGTGAAGACTAGGAGGGAAGAGAGTTCCGGAGGGACAGGGTAATGTAAGAGAAAGTGCAACCCCGCGGACCAGAAAAGCATGTCGCCTGAACCGCAAATCGTGAAAACCTTGCTGATGTGCGGGACAAACAGGCGAAAAGGTCAAACTTAGGTGCAAAACTACTGTACTGAGCACTAGAAAGCGTCGATCTAAGGATTTAAGCGAGAGTCTCTAAAGCAGATCTGTCGATGCAGGACTTTTGTGGTCCGACACAGGACCAGCGCTGCTTTTCATTGCTCTCCAAACTGTGCGGAAGGAGCCGACGCTGCGAAACCGTCGAGTGCTGCATGGTAGCAACAGACTAAACCTCAGCAGGATTTGAAACGGACTTACCCAGAGTTGCAGGTAAACCGGCTTTCCCTCGAACTCGAGTTGGTACGCCCAAGCGAGCCAGTGCACCTGCGATCGAACCGACACTTTCGAGTCCCGCATCTTGACGCTCCACATCCGATGCATGCAGATTTGAGAAAGAGTCTCCGTCAAAGCAGTAAAAATCACACCGGAAGGCCACTCTCAGAAACGCCTTTTCGTTATTATATAATCGGCTGGCCTTCCGTTGGAATTAAAGAGCTGACTCGGGAAACGAGCTCCGTCGACCTGAACTGCAGCGGGTCATTTCAGGGCCCGACTTAGAGTTCCCACCACGTTGCCAGCAAGGTTCGTACTAGCTGCCGCAGTAAGCAAAACGTTGCAGTCCCTGTCGAGTCGGTCCATCCCAAATCAGAAACATTGAGGAACCCGTACGGAGAACGAACAACATCTTGGCGATCCGTGCAAATGACTTGCTTGCCAGCGCCCTGCAGGACGGCCGCTGTGGACTCATGAGCGGGTGGGGCATACCTGGCCGGCTACCCAGACAAGTATACAGGCGAGACCTCGCCAGCGGAGCTTGAGTTGAGTGGAAGGAAGGATCAGGGGCAGCAGGCAGAAGAACCACACAAAGTACTGCAAGAGAAGTAGTTGCGAACCGTGACGAGGCTTCTAGGATTCAGGCAGGACAATGTGCAACGAGGTCGCGAACTCCGTCAACTTTTGAGTCTTAGTTGCTGGGACAGGGCAGACTTGGATTCGGGGAAGCTGGTTCCAGTTAGGAACCTGTAGTCACTATGGTTGTCAAGGGCAGGCCATCCAAGAATGTTTGTTGTGCCAATGACTCTGGGGGAAATCTTGTCTTTCACTCTGCTGAAATGCACTTTCGTTGGATACTGAGACAGCGGTATTACATTACAACAATGTCAGAGAGAAAGGTTGATGAAGAGAAGAAAGTTGGCAGAGGACTCGGAGAGCGTTTCTTGACCCCAAAACCACGAATTCTAAAACCCTGAAACCCTGGCACCCTAAAACCATCGAACATGCGTACCTGCGCAGTGCAGACCTTGTTGAAGGCGACGAAAGCGACGGTCTGCGAGCGCACAGGTAGTGACTGGCTCAGTTGGTAGATCGAAAAAAGCGACAAAATTTTCTCACAAGAACTAAGTTGGAAACAACAGTCAATCAACATCACACCACAAACAGCGGTCTCCACATTGTAGTTTAGGGCGTCGGTCATTTGAGGAAGCGGCGATCAAGCTCGCAGGACTAAGCTCGCAAGTCAACGGGCCCCTTGAATCGTTCTTCCAAAGGCGAAGGTCTAGAGAATTGCTTCAGCTTACCTGTGCGAACATGCAGAATGGCAGGTCCCGAGCGAAAGCAGCGGACAGACCGAGCTGAGTCAGTGCCTGGGGCAGGAAAGCCAGCAACCGCTCGTCGGCAGTCGGCGCCGATCTGCAAGAGCAGCGCCCACATGAAGACGGGTTTTTAAAAGTCGGACTCCAGTCGAAGCAGCGAGGACTAAACTGACGAAGTCTAGTCACAAAAGGCGGCAATCTTATGTTGGAGTAACACCGCAAACTTGCTGGCCCCTTCTACTCGGCGACTTATGGTCGAAAAGTTGCCACCCCAGGACTCGTCAGCAGACATAACACGTAAAGGGAAAAGAAGAGACCTCAATCTGTGAGTTATAGTGCTCTATGTCAAGCCTGCGTGATCGTTCGTTTCGAAGTGATTACTTGGAATCGTGGAAGTTTCAACGAATGGAAATGTGCGCAAACATGGTTTTCCCGAGTGAAGTGAACCAACAACGGTCAAATTGTGTACCTCGATACGGTGAATGCAGTTTTATAAGATTCACGAGAACACTCGTATTCTAAAGCATGCTTACTCGTGGGAGAGGTAGAACTGGTAGAAGTAGATGGAGAAGTTGTGGCGGGGATCTGTCCTGGTAAGATGGTAAAGCAGCGCCTGCACAAACAGCGTCAGCTGAGTGAGGAGCTTTCAAGTCTGCTTGAACGACAGCCGCTTGACTCTGAAGGCCGGCTTCTAATGCATTTATGGACTCGTGCGACTTTTGGCATGCTCGACAGGGATTGAAAGGCGTGAAGCCAGAATGGCGAGGCTCTTGGAGCTTCGTTTCCGCTACTTCGAATTCAGCTTCGTCCATTTGCCATGCGGAAACGACTATGCATGCAAGGCAAACACGAAGAGGCACGAATGATCCTTCACATTCTCTTCGAAGCGGGATATCTTTGCAGGTTCTCACCTCGTTCAGAAACTCCATTCCGTACAAAAGGTAAAAACTGGCAGTCAGGCCCGTGAATATGCAACCGGCGACCAGGCCGAAAACAAGGCCTTCTCGGGTTGGCCAGCCAAAGGGACTAAGCGACCCTTTTTGCGGAGCGGTGGTTTGGGTCAGGCGGCGATGGCTTGCGGGAAAATTGCTGTCGAGGAACAGAAGGAGAGGAAGCGCATAGATGATGGGGTATACTCGCAGATGGACGGCAAGTCCATACCTGCATCGAAAGTTCACAGTCTAGTTCGACTACTCTGTCTGAGACTGCTTTGCACGAGTACTTATACTGCATCTTAGCTCGTTCATATCGTGTTTGCTTTGATTGAAGGAGGATAAACATGCTTCAGGGTGCGTGTTTGAGGGGTATTTTGAGGAGGAGTGGAGGTGATCAGGGGCGCTATGACGAGGCCTCAGAAAGCAGATGAGCTGACGGTACTCTGTATTCAAAAAGGCCCTCAGTGACAGGTTGCGGCTTGGAACTCCCTATTCAAAACGGCCCAGTCAGGAGAGCGGACGCTTACAAAATGGCTCAAAACGAAGCGCAGGAGAAGTATTAAAAAGTGGATGTACTCCGCAAGGGATATTCTCTACAATTCTACACTCCGTCCAGATCTTCTGCTCGCTGAGTCTGCAGACACCTACTGGATGCATCAACACTTTTGCATGATACCAAGGTTGTTCACATGCAATTCTTATTGACAGGAGCTTCGAAGGCTAATATTGGAAGGGACCAGGGCAACACTTGACCTCGACCTTTTCAACTGCTTACGCAACCGAAACCGATGAAGAGCCAAAAACTGAGCTGTCGAAATCGGTTCGGATCCTCACCATACAGCTGCCATCAGCACCCGGCCTGTAAAGAGGTGGTAAAGCATCCCCAGCAGGAGTGCGCTCACTAGCGCCTCACAGTTGCCCCTGGTGCCTATCGAGAAAGTGAATGGATTGTACAGCCAGGCTGCAGCGCATAGCAAGCTGGCGGTCTCCGACGTGCCCCGTAACCGGACTAGGGTATATGTCAGCCTGAAAGAAACAGGAGCAGGCAGTTAGAAAGTGGTTTTGGATCAAACCGGAGGCAGACCTTTGAAGTATGACCTGAGGACCTTCATAGTTGATGCATTCAGCAACTTTAAGCTTCAGCGACTGGCCTTGTTCCCAAAATTAAATCCATCTAGCCACAGCAGTCTCCCAACAATTGTACGTGGCTAACACTCAGACAACCTTGCAATATCGGAATGCACAAAGGAAAAATTGTGGTCTGATGTCTTCTGAAGGCACAATAAGGCAGCTGCTTTCAGCCCATGACTGGTTGAACTATCTCACTCTGCATCTTTCATCGTTCTACAGCTTCAATCACTTGAAGTAAAAGGAGACTACCTGAGAAGAAGAGAACGAACAAAAGCACCACCGTCCGTCGATACCTTGAATCAAATGTGGGGCATCAGTGGTTCAAATGGGACAAAGTGAACGTCTTCAGGCAGGTCTTACTAAGGCCCCCAAGCAGAGATCCCAAGCGACATCAGGAAGTCTTGCCAGGCAGCGAAGACTGACTGGAAGTTGGAAGTAACTGAAAAGCTCACCACCCAGTTAGGATGTCGGCCATCGAGAACACAACCTTGCCAAACGCAGGAAAGCCCCATGTATTCGGCACCAGAATGTAGGCCAGCAAAGGGGAGTAGCGGTATGTGTATCGAAGATATGGGGACTTCCCAGCAGCCACAAAAGAAGCAGCGTCCGTAAAGACCAGGTAATCTATGTCGGTGTACTTCACCAGCATGTGGCGGTCCTGCCACTCTCCATAAGCGATGAGAGCAAGTCTTATAACCGCAGCGCTTGACAGTAATGCGATGATATTCCAGGATGGCCTCTCTCTGAACGCTGAAGGTTCCTTCCGCTGGTGAACCATAGTTGCCCTAGCCTTAGCCCAATTCTTCTCTGTGGACCTTATGCTCAGAGGACTTGCATCCTACCCGGTCCTGTATTATACCCCCCTAAGCCACAGGATGGAGTCCTAAATGGCAATGCATCAGTAATAACCTGACCATCACTGTTCCACTCATGACCGGAGTGGATGCAGGCACAACGCTTGCTTCTCAATCCCGCACCAATATCCTCTTGGTAAAGCGTGCTTTCCTGTTTCCAGCACCTTGACTGCAAAGAAGGGCGGCTTAGCAGCTTAACATGTAAGCCTTGCCCCCAAACGTCCTTCTGAACCAATCTGATTGCTCAGAGTCACAAGCAGCTCGAAACAGCTCCAGAATGGACTTGGCCGCGCTTTGCTAGAAATCAGCTGCTGAGGAGCTAGGCTAAAGGCTGAGGCAGTGTCAAGGTTTGAAACAAGTCTAAAAACTCGTCCTCTATAGAAGAAGGCTGCCACTTCCAGGTCCCGTCAAAAATAGTACGGTAGTTCCCACATATTTGAGGTCAGTGGGGCAGACGCGGAAGCCGAGTTCTAAATTGCATTCGTTATAAATCAAGGAATCTGCACATCAAACATTGACACCACCTTCAACATGTCACCTCAAGCAGCTTGCAGCAGCTGGCCTAGCTGGTAGCAGCACAATCTACAACTACCACACAAACTCGTTCCAGAGCGCTGCAGAGGGCCATTTCTCTGAAGAGAAACTCAGAAGAAATCCCAGGAGAACGCTACACATCTGCTCTTCTAATACCTGCAACCATGTTTCGAAGCTCTGTGGAGACAAAGCAGCGGCGGGAGCTTCTCTTTGAAGGTGCCTAAAAGTTCTTGGTATTTGGCAGGAATCTATTTCGTACTGCGATCTTGGACCCCTCACCTTTGGTTGGGGTCAGGGAGACTTTCCCTCTCAATCCTCGTTGGAATACTAGGGCACTTCACTTCAAATTTGCTACATTGGTTCGCAGGTAGTCAGTCATTGAGGTCGTCTTTACACAGCACTTACCTGCAATCTGCTCGCGCAAGTATCTGCTCCACTTTAATCTGTTGCCTCCCCATTGCAGTGCATGAGAAGGTGGCTGACATCGCCACACAGATCGCCAATGAGCCAAGCGTGGGCCTTTACTATGTGCAACAACATGTCCAAAAGGCTGTTCCGGCGTTGGTTGATGCAAAGGTGCGGAGCATTCACTTGAAGACTGGCATGAGGATCTTCCTTGCAGCTTGCAAAGTGTTTCAAACTGCTCTGATAGTATGCTTATCCAATGTCAGTGGAGGTAGCAAAAGCCCTCTCCTGATCAAGAGGCCAAATAACCTACTTAGTGCTTTCAGAGACGTTGAGAAAGTCAGCTCCTGAATAATCGTATGCTCAGCTGTCAAGGAAGGCCTCTGAGTTCTATTTGGCGATTTTGAACTATTCTTCACATATTTTCCTTCCTCTCCAACTTCGGACTGAAATCAGAGCTGCCTTTTACAAAGTCACAGTCTTACTATGACTCCAGAGACAAGTGTTCATTGTCCTGTGCAGAAGCAAGTTGCCCACGGGCGGGACATTACCAACTTTGTGGGGGAAGACGTGAAAACTGCCACTACCACCATCCAAGGCATGAAAGAAAGTGGACCGGCCAATCTTGAGCGCATGCGCAAGAACATGGAAAGGGCGTACCAGGCCCTGCCAGCTCTGAAGGCTATGAGAGGGTAAGGTCATTGTGTCTCTGTTCATTCTGAGAACAACGTTTCGGGAAAGACCAGACTCCAATTTGAATGGTGCAGATCTTCCATATTTCCAGGTTCATCAGTTGCGATATGTTGGATTGATTCCACAAATTTGTCTGACCTGGCTCTCGTGAATCGGTTTGAAGCACAAAGCTCGGCGGTCCTGCAAGCGTAGTTGTACTTACATCTTGGTTCCATGCTGCCATGTGCGCCAGACCCTTTCCATTTTGGGCCTGCTTGACTACCGTCAGGCACGGCCTTCTCTTTCCCATCAATCTCTTTTCATCATATCCTGTTCCTGGTTCGACGCGCTCTCAACCTGCAGTCCGTATTTGTCACAAATTTCCCCATTATATTTATGCTAGCTGCCTTCTTCATCCTGCAGCCATGCAGGCTCCGCTCTGCCTACACCTCTGGCTACCCCTCGTGCCACCCCACCTTCCAGCCCCAAGAAGGGGAACAGGTCGCCCTGGAAAGGTTTCAGCGCTGGCAGGCCGCCTAGTAAAGGGACTGCGTTGAGCATGGCAACCTCACCGGATTTGAACAGGGTAGCGCAATCACTTGCGGGGATCCAAGCCCAAAGTCCGGGCGAGCCGGCATGAGTGTTGCGTGATGCCACTGGGGCTCAGTCCTGAGCTTTCAAACGGTAAGATTTCGGAATATATTTTTCGAAGGGGGTTTGAAATTGATCAAGCAATTAGTTCAGTCGGTTGCTGCGCTGAAATGTGCACGGAAGGATCCATTCGGTGCTTCCACATCCCTGATCGCTCGTGTGCCTCTGAATAGATATTTCATTGGCTAGTTCCTTGGTTGTTGCATCATGACATCCAAATCCACCAGGCTTTTGCGAAGAATTCTGCGACGTCAAGTTGGCTAGGAATACGTGTGCAACATCTTACCTCACAGGACGCCTTCACTTCGGCCCCTTACGATGCTCTCGACCATTCCAACTAAGTTGATCCATACATAAGGCTTTTCATTATGTGGACAGTTCAGCGGGAGACCGACCCTCCCTAACAATGATATGATGCCCCTTTCAGGACACAGCCGTTGTTACGACGCCTGCTCGTCAGCAGCAATGAACCAGCGCCGGCCATTATCCGTGTGCTATGCGACGTCCTTGTTGACCCGCTTGGACGAGGAGCGCGAGCCTGCCTGTTTGCCACGTGGCAGGAGCTGGAGACGCCCCAAGCGGGAGGATGCGATGATAAGGAGACTGCGCGAGGGTAAGGACGTAAACACACCTTGAGGTCTCTCTTAGACAATTGGATTCATTCGGCTGCGCTCTCCGGTAGTCCAGCATGGTCGGGCAGAGCCGGTGCAACAAGATCGTTTACAATTTCAAACACCATACGATACAGCTTTCCGTACGTCGAACTCATTGGGCCGTTCTGGACGGAAAGCTGCTTTGCATAACTGAGGCAGACAATCCTGGGAAAGAATGAAGACAAAGTGCCTCCTGCTGCAATTTGCAGTTGATGGGAGCGAAAGAGCTGCAGAAAGAGCAACCCAAATCCGGAAGCACGACTTGGAGGTGTACTGATGGGTTCACCGATTCCGCTTGCCTGCAACACGTACTTTTTGAAACGCTCTATTCCTTCCGCTCCCCACCCAACTTACGGGCCATATTGCTGATCAGCGTCCGTTCTGCTCTTTGGGTACAGTAGAATACTTTACCTCTTCAAGAGCGGAGGGTACTCGAGTTAAGGGCTTTGGTGTCGCAGCTTAGAGGTTCCCCTATCAGAAAAGAAAGTCATCTTGGCTATCTATCCCATGTCAACATTGCATTTGATGGCGCAGCTTCGAGCTTGCTTTGAATGCTCCATGCAGTACGGTAGCTGCTCAACGGTGCTTGACGTTGCAGCCATGCATGTTTGTCTCTCGAAAACTTTCTTCGGGAAGGTTGCGAGCTTGTTCATGAACTACTACAGCTTGCATCATGATTGGTTCATCTGTGGTTTCCTTTTACGAGATTTGAGAATCAATTCTTATAAGTAGTCGCACACGCAATCAGGATATTCATCTTAAAATGTGGCGAAATCTTGAGCAAGGCACATCTATGTATGCCGGAGGCCCTAATTAAGAGTGTTCTTGATAGACGTTTGAGACAATGATCTGGGCTAGGATTCAATTGAAGAGTCTTCATTGAACATGCTTTTGTTGTCTATCATTGAACAAGCTTTTGTTGTCTTCATCGAACATGTGCTTTTGTCTAAGTGCACAAACAAGGAATCAATAACTATGGTCTGGACATGTCGACCATGCATTGAACATAGTCGTGCCTAGCTATACCTATTTCAAGGGACCTAAGGTGCCAGGTTCTACCATGGCAGTTGGCGGTCGACCCCGCCCCAATACGCGCGGCCGTCATGATTGCGCGCGGCCGGGCGCTGGTTGCTACGCGGCCGCGCCCGTCGCGGTGACATGGCTGAATGATATAAGTGCCGTACCCTGACTCCCCAGAGCCTCAGAATCTTGCCACTTGGCCCTGGTGGAAGCATTGAAAGTGGATAGTGAATGACGCCATGAAGCTGACTTGTCAACACGCAGTACGTCACAATTATGTTTTAATCTCCGAAACCTAAGCGCGACATCGAAGGAGGCCAGAGGAACTGTGGCATGCTAGCGTGAAATGCCGTCCTCTCACACTGCACAGGCCGCAGCGACCCTTTCTGAAGGTATTAAAGTCTGATACGGTAAACGATCAGAATACTCTTGCACCTTCCGTGGCGTCTGCCAATTTCAAGACCGGCAGCTGGATAAGGGACACTTTGCTGCTTCAGAAGGGACGGGAGAGAAGGCGCTTCTCAAACGAGTCCAATTGGCAGATGCCAGAGCGCTACTTACAAAGGCCGCAGAACGGAGAGGCGGAGAAGTGAAAAAGGGGAAGTAGAGAGGCAGACTCGGAGAAGAGGAGGAGGTTTCAAAGAGGGGGGTCAAGGAAGCGCATTGAGAGGGGGGTAGTTTGCGAATCAGGGCGCCTCAAATAGCTATCTTCGCCCTATTGCAGGCAGGCGAGCTCTGAAACAATTCTGGTTTCCAGAATGGCTTCCCAGTTGCAGAGTTTCGTCCTTGCTGCAGTACTATGCCTTTTCTCTGTGGGGGCGCTGGGGGGCGGCTCAGCTAATGACGGCAGCTCAGCGTCTGCTATCCCAGCTCGCATGCAAAAGACCAATGTGAAACTGCCCCCCTGGGAAAGTTTCATCCGTTCCAACGTCACCGCCTCTTGTGCCGACACCACCTCATGGGACCACAAGCGCGCCGCCATGGGGGGGCTCCAGCTGCAGGAGAATGCACCCCTCAGTGGGAAACGTTCTTGGGAGGGGGTGAGGAGAAAGGTGGTTCCCAGGAACCTGCTGCCGACCTCAGAGGGAGTTCCCATTTCGGCGGTCAAAGTCCCCAAGAGTGACCCTGCGAGGACAACGTTCCATTTCCAGCCCCCACAGAACTGGATGAACGACCCTAACGGTAGGCGTCTGCACCGATGAATCTAGCTGCATGGGCCGCTTCTGATTGCCTCTTCTTTGATTGGCAGTCTATGGTTGGCACCAGCATTTTGATCAGCACACTCTGGCAGCTTGTATGTTTTACCAATCTTTGGTACATCCGTGATAGCTCGAATGTGGTCGTTGACTGGTCGCTTGGCTGGAGTTTGTTCACCTTGGTGATTGGAATTCTGAGGCTTCAGGGCTTGAGCAGTCACCGTCGGGGCAATACTTGAAGTCTCGAGTAAGAGACTAGTTTACTGGGCAAGTGTTGGATGCTCTTTCGATCTCCTCCTGCTTTTCCATACATGCCGTGACGAAACGTTTCCCAGTCAATAGTCTTGCCACTGTCTTCAATGGTGCAACAAAACTTGAGTCCTGATATAGTGCGACCCAATTATCCTAGTAGGTGGTCCCTTCCGAAGAAGCTGCCTGTGACATATTGTCATTGAAGTCTTCATCTTTTCGTTGTTGAAGCAGCCCCTTCCTTGAATGGTCATTGAGCGGAGGTGGCTGAGACCATCTCGGCCTTGACGACTGGAGCAACTCAGAACTCATTCGATTTGTGGGCCTGTGAACTTTGAGCTGTCCTACTATCTTGAGAAGTCACCGACATCTTGTGAAAGCGCCTAGAAGAAAGCGTATTTTAGTGAGCAAGCAAACTTGCAAGTGATGACTATGGAGCATGGACGGGGTATTGTAGAAAAGCATTTGTCGAGAAGGAAGGAACTCTGGCAAAACAAAGAGGAGTTATTGTTTTCTTGCAGGTCCCATGTACTACAACGGGCTGTACCACCAATTTTACCAGGTAACCGATTGTTAGGTTTCTTGACCAACGAAGACGCTCAACTAGGAAGTGAAGTTGCTTCACCTCAGGAGCCATCGAAACTTGTCGAAGGTGTATACCAAAGCGTGGACTTCTCGATCGATTTGCTTGGAAGGTTCTGCTCTTCTTTGCTTACTGTACAAGGTGATTGCAAGAAAACGTTTCTCTTGAGAAGCCTCTGCAATTGCAGTCCGTGCGGTACTTCCTCTTCGCTCCTACTGGCTCGTCGAAACCATTCCTGGTTATATCTTCTATCAATTTCTTCTCTCGTTGTAACAAACTCTGGTCCGCATGATCCTGCGCTCCTTCACGTACTAGAGGCACTCTGCGTCCCTTCCCCTTTCGCCCAACCGTCCAAATTAACCGATTCACAAGTTTCAAATTCCCAGTAGTAAACTTTAGCTATAGTGAGCTAAGCTGCCTGGAACCTGTGGGGTTAGTTTGGGGGTTTAGGGTCGGAACCGGTGTGGAGCAGGTAATATTGCGGGTTCGGATTCCGGGTGTCAACATAGGAACTTTCTACTCATAGAGCTCACCCTTGCTAAACTGAAGAGACAGAAGAATGTAGACCGGTTTCGGGCCCCCAGGTCTAGCTCCCGACTTTTTGTCACACTCTGCCCTCTGCAGTACAACCCGCAAGCCGCAAAGTGGGGCAACATCACGTGGGGCCACACCGTGAGCCGGGACTTGATCCACTGGGACTACCTCCCGCTCGCCATCCAGCCCGGGCCGGACTGGTACGACATCCAGGGATGCTGGTCGGTGAGGACCTACCGGTCGCTGAGCGTTTCTCTACCGGTTGTGGGGCTTAGAATTGTTGACTTTGGGTTCTGCTGATTACAGCAGCCCGATAGATGGTTTAGGTGATGCTTCCGGAGCTCGATCCGTGAGGTTGTCGAGGCTCTTTACGAGGACAGTTACTGTGGTAGACTCGAAGAAGGAAGTTGCTTTATTCTTGGAGTACGTTTGGGACCTACAGTAGCTTCAAAGGTGATCTTTCTGCTCAACGCCTGTACACATCCCAGGGACTCGGAAGAAAGCCGAGGAGAAGTAGTTTCAAGGTAAGCAGATCGATGTAGACCAGAAATTGGTTTCGAGGCAGACCCGAGGTAGACCTCACGAGTAAGCTCTCTGAAATATCCGCGGATTATACTGTACCGATTGTCCGGTTGGGCAGACTCGTATATTCTTCTTGGCCTGCCCAAATCTGAGAAATCAATGGCCAGATTTTGCCCAAAGTTCCAAATGGAAAACGACTTCCTAATTCTGCTTGCCTGACTGAATTGCCCCGTGAGAAAACAACAAAAGCACAAATTTGGAGTTTGCCCAAATTTCCAAACGGTTGTAATACGAATTCAAGCTGCCCAAATGCCAAAACATACGAAATTAATTGTTGGGCAAAAATCTGCACAACCGGACAATCGGTACGGTAGTAAACTTCCTTTCTCACGGATTGGTAATGCTCTTGGCAGGGCTCCGCCACCATCGTTCCTGGGAAGGGGCCCGTCGTTGCTTACACGGGCCACAGCAACGCGTCCCAGCAAGTAAGTAACGGTTCTTTCTCGTTCTAGCCCGCTTCAAAGGTATGAACCGAAGGAGTCTTTGACGTTGAAGGCAATTCGAACGCGGGAGGTGGGAGATGGCTCTCATGCGCGAAACGGCTTTTGACAGTGGAACAGCATTTGTTGTGGCGTCAGGACTCCGAGAGTTATGAAGGCTCTGAAAGGTTTATTTTTTTGGTTCTACAAAATGAAAGGCGACTTCAAGATTCCTGGAGTTTGAGTGACCAATTGTCCTTTTCATGTCCGATGAAATACTTTAACCCTAAATTAGTCTTTACGAGGGGTCCGAAGGCTTGCCACTCACATCAAATTTGAAATGCTCTCCATTTGTTCGTGCTCAACTCTGTCGGTTACTCTATTCCGTCTCTAGATTCTGTGGTTGCCCCACCGGGCTCGCGGTTATCCTGCACCCCACCAACTATTGTACGATTGGAATGTACGTTGTGATTTGGTCAACGCCGATCTGGCGGTCCGAGCAATACTGTTGTGGATCGAGATGCGTGCAGCTCCACCGACTGGAGATCTTTGAGCTAGGATAAAAATCGGCAGTTTCGTACGTTGAGGAGTTACGACCGCGGAGCCCGAAGGGGCGCTTTGCAGAGTTATCTTGGCAGAGAATCTTGGAGGGAGAAAAGTTGATGTCTTCCCCGGCGGTATTGCAACTTAACGCCAGTGAAGCTCTTGAACAAAGTTTCATTCATCCCTTCGCGCCTTTGTAACGAAGAATTCACTACGTTCCCCCAGGTACAATGCCTGGCTTACCCTGCTAACCTGAGCGACGCGTACCTAACCACCTGGGTTAAGGACCCCGGTAACCCGGTTCTTGCTACGCCTCCCCCCGGGGTTAGCAGCGACAACTTCCGTGACCCGAGCGAAGCGTGGCTGGGATCGGACGGCGTCTGGCGATTCGTGATTGGGATTGCGAATGGGTCAACTGGGGGAGCGCAGGTAAGACTTGACTCTCTTCGTTCGGTCTTCGGTGGACTGCTTGGACTCGATTTGATTTTCTTTGATCTTCCCCTTTTTCCTAGTCCTTCGAGCTGCGGTCGTCTCATCGGACGGCGTCTCGCGTTTTGTGATCGGGATTGCAAACGGATGAACGGGGGCGCAAGTGCGTTTTACTTTTTACAGTCCGCTTCCGCCGTCGAGTCCAATTTCAGTCAGTTCACCTTGGCTCAGGCTTTTCCTATTCCTCCTTTTTCCGAATCAGACACCTCCAATTGTGTGTGGCGGATCGTGATCGGGTTGGGAACAGATTGTGAACGGGGCCGGAGCGCAGGTATGGAACCGCTCTTGCCGCTCGGTATACTGCTCACTTTTGATTTTGTCTCCCCAGTGTGGCGTGTCGCAAGTTCTCTTTTCCGCATGATAATCTCGGACGGCGTGTGGCAGTCCGCCGTCCGTGGAAGTGCGCAGTTGGAATCCGCTACAATTGCCTCCCTTACTTCCCCGGAATTCCCGATGTTCCCCGATTGGACATGAGAGTCTTGTCATGGTGTTTCTCTCTAACGGCGTCCCTTGTGCAACGTCCTGCACATCTTGCTGACATCACTTTGTGCCGCCTCGCTGACGTCATCCCGTCTGCACAGGTGTACAAGAGTATCTACCCAGAGCAAAACAGCCCGCGGCTGGCGCCCCGCCAAAGCCTGGGCTACGCAAAATTTCTGGTCGCCGTCAATTTCGTCGTCATCTGCTGACGTCATCCCGTCTTTACAGGTATACAAGAGCACCAACTGGAGCACGTGGACGGTGGGTCCCCGCCTCGCGTCGCACAACGGCACCGGCATGTGGGAGTGCGTCGACTTCTTCCCGGTCGCCGCGAACAACGCGACAGGGCTGCCGCTCGCGGTTCTGGCCGGCGACCAGACGGGGCTGACCTACGTGCTCAAGTCGAGCCTGAACGATTTCAGGTGCGCTTCCGTTTGCTTTGGTAACGGCGGAATGGCCGAATTTGCCGAAAGTTTCTTTCTGGTCGCCGCGAACAACACGGCGGGCTGCCGCTTGCGCGTCTGGGTGGCGACCAGGCGAGGCTACGTGCTCAAGTCGAGCTTGAACGACTTCAGTTGCTTTTCCGTTCCCTTTTTGAAGTTTGGGCACGGAACGGGCGGAATGGCCGGAATCGTGGAAAGTTTCTTCCCGGTCGCGAGATTAACGCGACGGGGCTGCCGCTCTCGGTTCTGGGCGGCGACAGGCTGGCTGACCCACGTGCTCAAGTCGAGCTTGAACGACTCCAGGTGCGTTTCCGTTTGCTGTCAAAGTTTGGGCGCGGAACGGGCGGAGTGGCGGAAGCGCCGAAAGTTTCTTCCCGGTCGCCGCGAACAACGCCACGGGGCTGCCGCTCGCGGCTCTGGGCGGCGATTAGGCGGGGCTGACCTACGTGCTCAAGTCGAGCTTGATTAAGTCTGGTCACTGATTGCCGAGAACGAGACTTGGTACGGCCATGCAAGCGGGCATATAGCGGAATTTCTTTGGGATGGTGCATGGGGAATGGTCTCTGAAATACCAAGCATTGACCTGAAAGGAACTTCGGGTCTATTTCGTGGGTGTTGCAGTCCGGTCTCGTGTCACAGTACTTCTGCAGACGTGTATATTTCCGAACACGTTGAACGTCTGCTTTCGAGATTTCAGAACTCCAAAGGGCGTCGAATAGTCTCATCTCCAGCTCCCAGACTCTCGTTCCCGACGAATCAATTCCTGACGAGTGTGGACTCCTGATTGGTGTGAATACTGACCTTGCCAGGCACGACTACTACATCATGGGCACCTATGACCCGCAGCAGGACGTATTCACACCAATCAACACGATCCAGGATATCGTCACTGGCTTCGACTTCGTTTACGACTACGGCAGGGTAAGCAAGAGACTTGCTTGCGATGCTTTTGAAGACTTTATGCTGCAGAAAAGCAGTGGAGTTTTAAGAGACAAGCGGACTTCGAACTCTTTCAGAGGAATTTGGATTCCCCCTATTGAGCGGAGCTTCTCTAAGTCGTTGCTTGCGTTTCTTTCCTAACGTTTCCGACTGCCTTTGGTCCTGTTCTTCAGCTTTGTGAACTGTCACTTTGCATGCTTCAGAACTCGGCATGTGCTTTTGTATTCCCTCAAAATATCAGAATCAAGTTCGACATGCTCGGTGCAGGTTAGCCGCTGTGATCGGATTTTACAAAGCCACGTCGCAAGACCCTGATTCTCTAATCAGTGCCCGTTGATGCGGTGCTCTTCCTCTCGGAGACGTGTCGGAGACCTGCTACTCACCGGACTGAGACTGAAAGACCTCGAGACTACCCTCTAATCGCAGCAATCACCTCTTCTTCGCAGTACTACGCATCCAAGTCCTTCTTCGACCCGGTCAAGCAGCGCCGCGTCCTTCTGGGCTGGGCTCTCGAAGCCGACTCCCAAGCGAACGATCTCGCCCGGGGTTGGGCCTCGGTAATGGCCATCCCGCGGACTATTACCGTCGACCCGGCGACACGTGGCACCAGCCTACTGGTCTACCCGGTGGAGGAGCTGGCGGCGCTCCGCCAGAGCCACGTGACGCTCAGCAACTTCACGCTCGCGAGCGGTGACATCGTGCAAATGATTGGCATGGCCGGGAGTAATTTGGATCTGGAGTACACGTTCGAGAAGCCGGTTCCGGCGCCGGAGATCGTGCAATTAGCGATGGCGCAGCGGAATAGCAGCCTCACGAACGAGAACGTGTGCAGCCCAGGTATGGATCCTCGCTGACTGAGACGCAGCCAGTTTTTCTTGTTCGCTTTCTGGTTCAAATCTGCACGTGCTCTGCTTGAGGGACACGTCTCTCGCACATAGCTGGACAGCGGGAGTTGACGTCGCACAAGAATCGGCAGGGCCTCCTGTAGAACCGTGGTCTTTCAATGAGCGTAGGTATCCGCTTCACTCAGTTCCAAAACGAGGCTTCGTATGCTCCATTGTGTTGTCCTCTTGCTTCGCGACAAGTCCAGATCCTTAGCGCTAGAGTTAGAAGACCGTTTCAAACCACCCGCAGCGGCCCGCAATTTTTACGATGGCTTGCCCATAGAGAACGGAGAGGTTCTTCCAATGCGCCCGTTGAAATACTCGTCGGATCCGCCGTAAAGGTAATCCTGTCTTGATAGAGACCGGGATTATTGCTGGATCCTACTAGCTTCGCGTTTGTTCCCAGCTGGTAAAGCGCTCTCAGAGACGGTATGCCCGCACAGCGACACCGCATAACCAAAAGCTCATAATAAGCTGACTCGAAACGCAAAATGCTAGCAACCGTCAGGTTCGCGGTCAACTGAAAGCGTGATCTGCACACCTATGAACCAATGAAAAGGTTCCATTTACCCTGCGGGATAACAGCATTCACTACCCACTTTCGTTGAAGCGCAAAGCCTAACCTGGGCGGACTCAACCCGAAGTTGAGGCGCTGGAGCGATCGCCTCGGTTTCGGTCAACGCGGAGTAAAATAAAACCTGAAGATGATCTCCCCACCTGTCTTTCAGCCGGAGCCGAGCGCACGGGTTCGGTGGGCCCCTTCGGTGTGAGCGTGTTGGGTGCGGTGGGCAATCAGGAGTACACGTCCATCTACTTCGAGTACGTCATGGGCGCCGACGGCAACTGGGCGACCAACTTTTGCGCGGACTACACCCAGTGAGTCGCCGCAAAACACCATATTGATTCCCTAGTTTAGTTGGTCGAGCTGAGAGAATCGTCGAGCTGCTTCAAGTCTCGAAGTTGCGGTGGTCACGAAGCGCAGTAAACGGGTCCATCTGCTTCGACTTTATTATGGGCGCCAGCGGCAACTGGGCGAACAACTCTGCGCTGACTACGCCCCAGTGAGTCGCCGCAAACACACCGTTTCTGCCAGGCTGTCCGAGCCGAGAATCATTGTCGAAGTGCTCTAAATATCGCGGAGAATGGTCATTATTGAGTGTGAATCAGTGCGTTGACAAATGCTTGTGGAGCTTGCTGTGTGGACAATGGACTTGGACGTATTGCAATGGAGACTCGACCTCAGAGCTCTGCAGCTGGTCGAGCAAATCTTTCGAGCCGCTCCAGCTTCTGTTTCAACGGGTTGAGCTGCCCGTGAGCGTGCTGTTCCCGCGCTGTCTGTTTCAAATGAGACCGGGCAACGTTGTACTTTTTGGATCAACCGACTTGCAGCACTAAAATCGGCTGTTTGTGAAGACTGTGGGCCTTCGAGCTGCGAAATGCTTTGTTGCTCTGAGAAGCCGGTCCGTTCCACATGAATGGAGCGTCAAAACGGTTTAGACTTCCGCGTCCGATTCTGAGGCCCCGCCAATGTGGGGTTGCCTTTGTGGGCCCGAGAGAATTTCGTTGCTGCATAAATCCTCCGACGCTACCCACGAACGGTGGAACTCCTTTCTTGTAGCTATTTCGATTTTGCAGACTCGACGTCTGTCGGAGTGCTGATGATGTGCAACGCGCCATCGTCTGTGTGCAGTTCGTCGACCCTGACGACCGTCGATAAGCAGATCGACGGCGGGCCTGTTCGCGTCCTGGAAACCGACACAACGCTGACTCTTAGGATCATCGTAAGCGCGACCTCAGCTACTGTTTACCTTGCTGTTGCCTACTTTTGGCGAGAGTGGGAGAGCTCTCCTTGCAAAGTTATTCTATCTGATTGCGGGGGTTTGGAATGCTTTGACGTTCTTTTGCTCTATCTTCTTCCGCTTTCTGTGGAAGCTTTCATTCAGAAACTTAAGAAGAAAAAAAATGGGAGAAAGAAAAAGAAAAACTTGAACATGCTTGCAGTGGTTTCAGGAGCTGCGAATTCGCCGGTGAATAAGCTTCGAGAAGTATATTTGGACACAACGTTCAAGGTTCTGACGGTTTCGAGTCCCGATTCTGTGCTGAAGACCAATGGTTGAATCCGACTTCTGTTCAGTTCTGTCCACTAACCCCCCCTCCAACTTGTCTTAGTCCCTTTGAAAACATCGTTCTCTTGTTCCGCAGGTCGACATGTCCATCATCGAGTCGTTTGCGCAGGGCGGCCGTGCTGCGATCACGACACGTGTCTACCCGCAAGTGGCCAATGACGCCAACTCCCGGGTCGTCGTTTTCAACAACGGCACGGCGCCCGTCAAGCTCCTGCAGCTCGACTCGTACCACATTGGGTCGGTGAAATTCAACCAGCTATTTTGATTTCCCGCTAGTTCGTATTGTCAGTGAAGTTGCGTGGGTTGCAACGGATTTTCGCTCTACTTGAGTGGTACCAGACTTTGCAAAATACTGCTCGCTTGCGCGCGGCATATATGTTTTGGTGTTGACATACGCGGGGGTTGGTTGGACAGGAGAAACTCCTAGGACAGCAGGTGTTGGAGAAAGTTTAATTAGACACAAGCTGTAAAGTGTTCCGTTAAGAGGTGCCCGCCGTAGAGCGTCAGTCCGAGTTGTAACATAATTAAGGTGCTTCTGGGGTTACGAGTCGCTGTTGAGTAGCATAACTCGATTTTGGCCGTAGAGGTCAGCGCCTTAATAAATGATTGTTTTCGGTAGACCGTCAGGAAAGGCATTGGTCAAATGCGGACAGCGTCAATAGATCAGTCTAGCTAGACTTCTACTGCATCCAAATGTAAAGTTGCTGTTCGTCGACAATCTTGTATGATATCAGAGTCGGACGTCACTGCTCAGTATCGCTTGTCAATGAATGCCCCTCAACGATCGATATGGTTGTCCTCCAGCCAAGACGAAGTTGCACGTGCAGTCTTGTTGATCAAAATATACACAATTGCAACATGCACTGCACTGAAATGGTTTTTCAGCCGTGTGAACTTTTTAGTACTGCAGCAAGTTGTTGGATCCGTTGCAGGAGTAGGGCAGGTTGAGGAATCTGTCAACCGTTGCGATGAGAGTTCCTATTCATCGGACACCACGACAGAATTGGAGGCCAAATCTTTCGACCAACCAGATTCGAGGATTTCAATCCGACCCTCCGCTGCCAAAACCCGCGGCAGAAACCTGAGCCGGCGGCCGGCTCATCATGCCCCAGATCTTGTGCTAGCATGCACGCGTGAATCAGGCTGCTCCGTCCAACTTCAGAATCAGGCAGCCGTACTCCGACATTGGATCGCGGGGTTGCCCGTCCGATATTAATTCGTCCGAAATTGGGCGCACCTGCCACCACCAGTAGAGTCTAGATACTTGCTAGACTGTCACATTAATTAGGCCGGTAAGGTGACCCATAAAGGCGCCGCAGGCGCCGGAGGCGCGGCTTGTGCAGGTACTGCCGCGATGATCATTGATGATCATAGTTTGAGGTTGAGGGAGAATCAGCCAATTACAGTCAATCAAAGTCGATGGTCATGCGGCTCATGAGTCATGCCGAGATGTCAGGACAACTTTACAGTGAAGTTTACACCGATTGGAGTTCCCCAACTTTCCCGGAGGCTACCGGGGGTGCTACCGGTGGTAATGATTGAAAAACGATGTGCACCCTTGAGCGAAATACTTCTCGATTTCAGGTTGACTAGGCGCATGTTGACTAAGGATAGTGCTCGGGGCACAAACAAACCTAAAAACCTAAAACGATAGTTGACACACGCTCCGCACCCGTACCGCCCGTAACCCCCAAACCAACCCTACCCGTCCCCCGGGTGCCTTCCCTTAGTCAACATGAAATCGAGACCTATTTGAGCGAACACAACACACGTCAGTCAACACACCGGTATAGGTATCTTACCTATGCGGTCTAATTTGGTTACATATGTATAGGTTGTCCAACGAGTGCGAGAGAATATCGAAGTTTCGCGTCGAACGAGAGCGGATATTCCACGAGGGCCTCCGAGGCCCGAGTGGAATATGGAGCTCGAGTTTGACGCGAAATCTTCGATATGCTCGAGCACGAGTGAGGGTAACCAACTTATCGCACGACCGGACTCTGATGCATCGTCGAACCTGGTAAGGGTCTCGCGTTTATTCAACGGCTGAGCGTTGAATAAACATATATATTCACCGCTGGGGTCGCCAACGGAATTCGACGTCGAAACTTTACTAATACTCAACGCCGAAATGGCTGAGCGCAAAAA